ACGTCTCTTAAGACGGCTAAACCCGAATGATTCTAGTTCTAGGTCTTGTGCTAGTTCTAGTGCAAAATTAGAACTAACACAAGACCTAGAACTAGAATCATTCGGGTTTAGCCGTCTTGAAAGACGTGCGGCTAAATCCGAATGATTCTAGTTCTAGGTCTTGTGTTAGTTCTAGTTTTAATCGTTATTCAGCGTAAGTTTTTTATATATTTTTCTTGAACTAAAACTAGAACTGACACTAGACCTAGAACTATAAACATTCGGTTTTAGCCGTCTTAAGAGACGCACAGCTAAATCCAAACGTTTCTAGTTCTTGGTCTAGTGTTAGTTCTAATGTTAGCTTTAATTTTAGTTGTTGTGCAAATTAAAAATGTTTTATATATATCATATTAATCCGTTATATCGAGGTTTTACTGTTTTAAAAATGAATAAAAATGCTTGATTTAAAAAAAAATGTGTTTACAATTAGCTATTGAAGAAACAAGATCGAACAGTTCAGGAAGTGAAACTGGAAAAGATATTTCTGAAGTAAAAAGTATGACTGAACAAACCACTTCAACTTCTGTAGAAAAATGCAGAAAAACTCTTAGGCTTACTTCTGATCAAATTGTAAATATTACCCTGTAATTTTTATTATCACAAAATTAATAACAATCATTTTTTAGGCACGTTTAAATCTTCGAGATGGAATGAACGAGGTTGAATTTAGCGTAACAACAGCTTATCAAGGAACGACAAGATGCAAGTGTCACCTTTATAAATGGAAATGGGACGACAAAATTGTTATTTCCGATATTGACGGAACAATAACAAAGTAATTTAAAAAAAAATCTGTAATAATTTAATTTTATGTCTTTATTTTTTATTTAGGTCTGATGTTTTGGGACACATTCTTCCAATCGTTGGAAAAGATTGGGCTCAATCTGGAGTAGCTCAACTTTTCAATAAAATCAAAGATAACGGCTATAGGCTTTTGTATTTAAGCGCAAGGGCGATTGGTCAAGCGAGATTAACTCGCGAATATTTGAAGTCAATTCGTCAGGGTGATTTAACAATGCCAGATGGACCGTTACTTTTGAATCCAACCTCTTTAATCACAGCTTTTCATCGAGAAGTTATTGAAAAGAAACCTGAACTGTTTAAAATAAGCTGTTTAAGCGATATTCGTGCGCTGTTTCCATCCGATTCAAATCCATTTTATGCTGGATATGGAAATAGAATCAATGTAAGATTATAATTGATATAATTGATATAGATATACAATTTGTTATTTTTAGGATGTTTGGGCTTATACAGCTGTTGGTATTCCAATTGTTCGTATTTTTACAATTAATCCTAAAGGTGAACTCAAACACGAATTGACTCAAACATTCCAATCTAGGTAAGTTATTTTCTTTTATTTTTTAGAACCTTTTTTTCGCTGAATGCGTAGTCATTCGCTTTTCTCTATTCACATTAGTTTTTTGACGTGCTGCATCTTCTACTTTTTATATCTTCAAATTTTTCATCTGGATTCTTTTAATTTTTCCTTATATTTAAGTTTGAATGTTTCGTTTTTACAGTTATACCGGTCAGTCGTTGGTAGTGAACGATGTTTTTCCTCCAATGATGCATAAGCTTCTTACTTATGATACGGAAAACGACAGTGATTTTGATGAGTCAGATTTAACTGACGATGATTAACGTTAGCTTCTTTTAGGCCTTGACCTTAGTTATTAAATGTAATTTATTTATTTAAAGAAATGTTTGCATCTTCATTTTTTGTGTGTCATCAAATCATTTCTAATTCATTTAACTAAATCAACTAACACTATTAGAATGTTGGATGCAAACGTTTCGAAAAGTAGTTAGTTCAAAATTATTATTTATGTATAAATGACACAATAGTGAGATTTTATGGTTAATTATCATCCCTATGATGTCTTTCTACTAAAAGTAACGGTAAGCACTTAATTGAAAATGAAAATTTTAAAGGTGCCTATAAAGAGTGAACGAGTGAGACGTATTTTTAACTGCTTTTTAAAGAAGCTTTGCTGGTGGAGGGCGATTTTATTGCTTATTTAATTTGTATATGTTTGTCTTTTATGTTATTTTTGTGTGGTTTTGCTTACTTTTTTTTTAAACAAACATTTTTCTAATTAAAAATTAAAAAAATTTTCTTTTAATTTTCAGTTATTCGAACATGACATATATTGTTGATCAACTCTTTCCATCATTACCAGAGGATGCAACAGATTATTCTCAATTTGTTTATTGGCGTGAGCCGCTAATACTTTTGGAAGAGCTTGGCGAGGTTGCCTAATTACCGTTTTTAATATTACCAGATATTGTTAGCTAAAGCATTTACCATTTGTAGAACTAGTAGTATTTTATCCTCAAAGCGTTTCAATAGTGATAAAAATATTAAAACGTACCCGTTGCGGTTAAGCTACCCACAGAAACCTCCGTTTTGAAAGAATAAAAAAACTTATAAAGCGATTGTACTCCTTGCTTATTGATGATGATAGTCTTTGCTTGGTCCTCAAACGTATATATCATATCTATATATTATATTTTTTCTTATTTATTTTTTATGTATTGTATTGATTATTTAATAATTGGGATATGATTTTTTTGTTCAAACTTTTTAATGGTAGGTTCAACGACAATTTCTGTTGTAAACTTTTTCCCTCTATTTTATTAATTAATTATTAAAGCATAGCATTTGGGAAGCTTTAAATATTCCCTTTTACCATGATATTTTTATGTGATATTTTTATTGTATTTCAGTTATCTTTATTGTGTATTAGTAAAGGATAGATTATTTTTCATCCATTTGGTTATTTATTTAACTTTCCGTTTATTTGTGATTGATGGATTGCTATTGATAGTGGAATAAAGTATTTGTCGTATTTTATTCAAGAGTTTTTATTTTAGTACTTATGCAAAGTTGAACTTTTCTTTGTATAATGTATAGGTGTTCAACTAAAATTAAGTCACACAGTTGTACACCAAATTAAGACGAGAACGCAACAATACAGAACATTCGTTTTGCTTTTTACTACTCGAAGACGTTTTCATGAAAGATTATTTTCTCTTAATTAAACATTTCGATACAAAGTCAGACCCCAATAGATTTAAAACTTGCTGAATGTGTAAAAGGATTTTATTTGAAACTGTTGATATTTTTGTTATTTCTTAAAGTATAGATGAAGAAATTGCTAGAGATTGGAATAAATTAGCATATGTTGGAAAGATTGAATTTTATTTTCAAGTAGAAAATATAATTAAATATAATTTTAAAACGTTTATAAAAGTTTGCAATCAACATCTATTTCACATAGAAACAGAATAATCAGTTAAAGTGGAAGCTAAACACTCCAATGCCAACATTTAGTTTTTAAAGTTTGCTTTACTTGTATTTGGTAATCCAATAAGGACGTTTTATAACGGTTATGAAGTTAAGTAATTATCTAAAAAGCCAGCAATCAATTGGCATTTACTAGCCATCAATTTGTTGTATTCTAAAATATCATATGTTCTTCTTGGCTTTCAAAAAATTATTCTAAAATAGTCAGCGTTTCTTGCGTCAGCTTAGGTTGCTACAGGACTTTGCATTTTTAGTTTTGCAATATTTTAAACATCTTAACCCAAGTTTTTATTCAGATAAGCTTCCAAAATGACGTCATTATTTTGATCTGTTCAGACTCTTAAATCACTGTGGATATTATTTTAGTTGTTGTGTTTGCATGAAGGTATTAAACATTGATTCACTTTAACTAAGTAAATTTGTTATGAGCTTAGCAATTATCAACGACAATAATAATGGTTTTTTTTTTTTAGATATACAATTTTAGACAGATTTTTTTGAGAGAAAATATAATATGATATTGATCACTTGGAGAAACCAACCTCACTCCAATTTCGTTTTTAGCCTCACTCACACAAAGGTTGATTGATGATCTTTCAGATGAATCTGCTTTTGTTATCTAAATAATTATACCGTTTTAGAAGTCCGTACATTTCCAACCATTACTTAGTTCTATTTTGCATCGGGATAATCATTGCAGCTGTCACTTCCTCAGTATGTAAGTTTAAGGAGTTAGACATAAAACAAAATATCTCTATTGTAGCTGTTGTAAGACCGAATAAAGCTTTCAATTCTAATTCGGCTATAAGACTTAAACTCGATTGTACAGAATTAGAATTTACTCTAATACGTGTCATTTCTTCATTTCCGATTTGGCATAATTTCTTGGATCGTTGCAATAATTAGTTATAAAAAATAGAAGGAAATATATTCCTTTCGCTCATAGCATTTTGAGTTGAGCACCACCAGTTTTGGTACTATAAAAGAAGGAATGGCACAAAGATTTCTCATTCGTACCCTGATTTCACAAAAACTCCATTCAATCATAAATCTGCTAGTTTTTTACTTTCCAACATAAATCTATTGTACCACTAAATAAATCGAAATTATCTTCAATCCAAAATTTTTCCATTTCATTAGTTGTTTTGGAGTCTATCGAATAATTTTGACATTGAGGTTTCTACCCTCTCTTAACTTTCTCTTCTTATTTGTATTGTAAATGAGGATTTACATAAAAAGATATATAGTATACAACGGTCCATTAAAATCTTCTACATTTCTGTTGGAAGAAAAATAACTCATTTAGTGTTCTGATCATGAACGGAATTACTTTTTATGTTCACTTAGAACTCAACAAAAATAGGAGACTAAAAGACTCTCAAAGATTTTTATACTATTTCTATTATTTGAAAATTTATTTAAATCTGGTTGACATCATTTGGAATAGCAGTCCAAATGATGTCAACCAGATTTAAATAAATTTTCATATGATTCTAATTCTCGCGATTGCCTAATTTTTAATTTGTAAGATTAGATCTCGAAGGTTGCCTTTAAAAGCAATTTGATATCGCTTATTACTACATATAAACTGCTCCTAGATAATTATTTTGAAGGATTTTGAAGATCAATATATTTCAACATTTTAATTTTTGTAACCTTCATTTTTATTAACATTTTCAGGAGAACATAATTTATTTTCTATCAAATCAGAGATCGTTAAAGGGTTAATTTGTAAGAGTCACAATTACTCTGCAATTATTCTGACGTCTAATTAACATTTCGAATCTAACAGAAAATGCAAATTAAAGCCAATCTATTGTAACAATTGTGACAATTGCGTTTTACCTTGATAAAGATAAAATTTAAATGCAACCAAATGGAATTCTTTACGTAAAGTAATATGCGCACAACCTACGCTTTATTTGAATGTAATTATTAATAAATGCACCAACTGATCTAAATAATATTTTTATCTTTTTAATTAATTTCAATATGTATTACACGATGTGTCAAAAGTAGTGTTTTAAATAAAGATTTTATGTTTTTGATTTTGGGACAACTTTTGAAACACTTCGTATAAGAAAATAGTACAAGGTAAGAAACGGTATTTTATTTTGACATTTATTATTTACCTTTTTTGGTTCAATGCATTACTGATATAATTTATAGCTATATTTAGACAACCATTGAAATGTTCTCATTGAAATTTTATTCTTACAAGAAAATTTGCCTTCAAGGATACACCGTAAATTTCCTTTAGAAAATGCTGCAATATTTATGTTTACGCAATCTTTATTTATTATAGTGATATCCCAATTATTTTCCGCTTAAAGAGATTTTAATCACAAAGATAATAACTCTTAATCCTAAAAACACAATCAATTTAATTTCGAAAATACATATCAAAATTTAATCATTAACATAACAAATTGTTTAGCGTATTAAACATCCTTTAAATCCGCGTTACCAATTAATTTCAATGTGTATTATGCATCACACGGAGGGATATAATAAATAACCAAGTGTTACACGCTTGTGTGTAATTACCAGAGCTGCGACGTTGTCGGGCAACTCATAAGCGGCTCGTCGCCTTACGGCCTTACGGTAGAGACCACAGAATAACCAGAAATGACACTGACGTCGATTCCTTTGTTGTTGGCGGCACCCAAGGTTTATATATTAAAGGTTGTCCAACAAGGGAAGTATCAGAACTGTCCCTCACCGATTTTGTTGAAATTTGGTACAGCGATAGTATGGCCAAAAATAAGGTTTACGTATTTTTTTATACGTGCTAATAAAGCCCCTAGGGCGAGTTATAAGGGTTGGAAATCGGGGCGAAATACAGGGTGTCCCGTTAAGCGTACGGAGCGGCTGTATCTCTAGAACGGTAAGGCCAAGAGGTTTGGGAAAAAAATCCTTATAAGCAAAGTGACCAAGAGAAATAGCTGGAAATTATTTTGAAGTTCGTAATTCGACCGCTAGGGGGCGTAACTGCCATTGAGAAACATAAAGTTGCCGCTATCTCAGAAACTTAGACGATGAGCTATAACTTTGACAACATCATTTAATAGCTTGGATAATACCGCATCGCTTTTGTTTTGCGATATTTCTCATATCTGTCATAATAAGGGAGGGGGAGGCCAATGCGTTTTCATATGTTTACATTTTAATATCTCCTAGACCATTCAACCGATTTGAATGTTTTCGGTGTTGTTTGAAAGAGCATTTTATGCTCTTTTTAAAGATATTTTCAGTAAGACCGTCTGCTTTAAAACAAATGAGCTAGAGGACGTTATCTGCAGCGATTACATATTTTTGTGATTTTTGAAGAAAAGTTAAATGGAACGATACTATTTACTTCACAGACCCTTAGTCACCTTAAAATTTGCTAAATTTTAGTGAAAACCGCATCTCGATATCGCCACCCGTTCTCGAGTTATAGAAGAAAATGTTAAAAACTCGAGTGCCATCAATCGGATCCAGTTACCTCATCGAGAAAAACAAATCACATAACCATGGTAACTGTAAACATGTCATTTACTAACGCAGAAGCGTATGATAGAGCGTATGATGATTTATTTTCAATGTTTCGAATACGATGCAACTGCATGGCAAAAATGTGCAATGCAATTACGACAAAGAAAGACATTTTTCTCTAGAAGTGTTTTTAAGATTGACTTAGCGATTACGGAAAACTGGCAACGTGTAGCCCATTCAGACATCTCTATGAATTCGTAAATCACATTGGTGCGCAATGTGATCCCACATAATCTGGGAACTCCGAAAACAATTGTCCACAAGAGTTCTCAAGAGAATAATATCTCCACCACGTTGTTTTACATCAGGCCTTAACAGATACCGATTATGATAACAGACTGAACTATTACCATTGACTTTTAAATATGATTTGGGCAAATCCAAACCTTTTATCACAAATGCTATGGATGCATGAAGCATCTGTCCACAAGCTGATGTAAACTTGCATAATATGCATTCTTGGTTCGAGCAAAACCCACATTGCTTTCACCCCTTTATCTATTGGGTAGACTAAACGACCTGACTTTTCAAGAAAAACCAATAACCAGGGAAAATATGACAAAACACTAAATACCAGTAGAAACGTGTCCAGGGCCGAGACTTAAGCAGCGCTTTTTTTTCGTCGAAACTAGATTAAATAAATGCATCGAGGTTTATGGAAGGCATTTCGCACATTAGTGAGTTATTTTTGCCAAAAATTTAAGTTATTCTAAGTGTTTTGGTTTATTTTGTTTTATTATCATTGTTGATGTTTCATTGATCCGTTGGCTTTTCAACACGCCTCAAAAGTAGTTTTGAAGCAGTTCTAAGCTTGGATAAAGTGTGAAGGAAGGTTCTAGATAATAAAATTTTTGTTCTCTCTTATTTGTTTCCTAAGGTAACTTGATCCGATTAAGATATACGAATTTTTAACATTTTCTTTTATAATTCGAGAATGGATGGAGATATCGAGATGCGGTTTTCACTAATATTTAGCAAATTTTATGGTGATTAACGGTCTGTGAAGTAAATAGTACCGTTCCATTTAACTTTTTTTCAAAAATCACAAAAATATGTAACCGCTGCAGATAACGCCCTCTAGCTTATTTGTTTTAAACCAAGCGGTCTTACTGAAAATATCTTTTAAAAGAGCATGAAATGCTCTTTCAAACAAGACCAAAAATATTCAAATCGGTTGAATGGTCCAGGAGATATTAAAATGTAAACATTTGAAAACGCATTGGCCTCCCCCTCCCTTATTATGACAGATATGAAAAATATTGCAAAACAAAAGCGATGCGGTATTATCCAAGCTACTAAATGATGTTGTCAAAGTTATAGCTCATCGTCTAACTTTCTGAGATAGCGGGAATTTTATGTTTCTCTATGGCAGTTACGCCCCCTAGCAGTCGAATTACGAACTTCAAAATAATTTCCAGCTATTTCTCTTGCCCACTTTGCTTATAAAGATTTTTTTCCCAAACCTCTAGGCCTTACCGTTGTTGAGATACAGCCGCTCCGTACGCTTAACGGGACACCCTGTATATATATTCGCTTATAGGCTGAAAACGAAAGTAGCTATCGAAATGTGGTAAATGTAAACTGATAACCCCTTTCCTTAAGAATAATGTGATAAACTGTTACACTGTTGAACAATATTTTGAAGAAAAGCATAAATTAGATGTAAATTAAGATTTACGCAGTAAAATAAACCCTATACGACATTTAGGGGTGGCTGCAATTAACTACCCTAACCACCCCAAAAATTAAATTTTTTTGTGAAAAAATCGATTTTGGTGCAATTTACGACGATGACTTTTGAAAGAACTTAGAAGTTTGGGGTAGAAAATATATTTTCGCTAATAATTTTTATAATCCTACAGAAAACGTTTTTTATCTTTACTCTATTAAAATAATACAAAAGTTAGTGTAGTTATATAAATATTTATTAATAACAAGTTAAAAATTAACTGGCAAAGAAATGGTTGACTATTACAAATTGTATTCTACATTATTAATTTAATTTCTTTCTTTTTACTTTTTTTATTCAATGTATTGTTGGCAATAATGAAAATCATGGAAAGAATGTTTTAAACACAACAATTGTTTACACCATGCACAAGTTATAACAGCTATTTCTCCACAGATATCGCACGTAGGTTTTTCATTGGAAAAGCAAACCTCCACGAGATTTTCAACTGTTCTGGTCTCTCTATATATCCAGACGCAAGCCACGCGTATTTAAAAACATTAATAAATCATGGGGAAGACAACTGGTTATGCGTTAGGGATTGCAATTTTAAAATATTATCTCGCTGATGCAAATTGACATCGTACTGATAGAGAATAATTTGATCAGAAAATCTTCTAATGAAATTATTCCATATTCTAAAACCAAATACATCCAGGGGTTGAATTTGACCTGTTTGCAGTGGCCACTCCAACAATCCAGTAATAGTAATGATTTGGGTCCGGTGTTTGGGAAATAGACATTTTGTAGCCAATTGTTCATATGAGCAGAAGTCAGTTTAGCAGACTTTGATGCCAAAACGAATATGTTATCTGCTTTGAACATTGTATTTATTACCCTCGGTCCAAACGTACCAGAGGATTCTAACAATGTAGAATACAATTTGTGATATTTAACGATTTTTTTTCAGTTGTTTTTTAACTCATTATTAATAAATATTTATACCGATTGGTAACTTTAATTTTAGGAGATACACCCAACACGAACGTACGTATAAGTATACGTGTGTGTGTATATTCGGTGTCGTTAAGTGGGGGATAAACAAGCGTAGGGGTAATGCACAAATTGAATTGTTCATAGATTGTTGAGAGGCGAAGTTGGTCGCATCGCTTTGCAGTTAACCCTAGCAAAAAAAAAACTAAGATGTTGTTTACTGTAGCGGAAAAGGTACAGATTATAAGATGGTTTTATGGTGGCAATTCTGTAGCCCAAATAATTAATTTGTTGCCTGTGACCTATGAAAACAGATCAATTCCTAGTCGCGGAACAATTTCAAATATTATTAAAAACTTTGAGCGACATGGATGTGTGTCTCCACAGAAACACAAATTACGAAGGGGTAAAAGAGATGAGTTACGTGATACGATGATATGTGCTGATGTTGAACGCAATAAAAATCAGTCAAGCAGACAAGTTGCGGAGACGTTTGCTATCAGCCATGTTGCCGTCCTAAAAACATACAAGGTACAAAAAAGTCAGGAACTCTGCGAGAACGATAATATTACAAGGGCGGAATTTTGCTTTACTATGATGGAAATGGCCAACGGAAATGTTGATTTTATAAAAAACATTTTATTTACCGATGAATCTACATTTCCTTTGCATGGTCGGCATAATCCCAGCGTTGCTCGATATTGGAGTCGTGACAATGAACACAAAGTTTATGCGGCTCGTACACAATATCCCCAAAAATTAAATGTTTGGGCTGGCTTAGTAGGTGACCATATTATCGGTCCTTTTTTCATAGAAGGAAATTTAAATGGTCATAAGTATTTAAACATTTTGCAAAATGACGTAATCCCATCGCTTCAACAATTAGACAATGTTCAATTTGGAAGTATCTGGTTCCAACAAGATGGTTGCCCGGCTCACAACAGCCGGCAAGTTAAAGAGTATCTTAACGCACAATTTCCAAATCGTGTAATATCTATTTGCGGAACGTTAACTTGGCCGCCTAGATCACCAGATTTAGCCCCCAATGATTTTTTTCTATGGGGATATTTAAAATCGAAAATTTATGGTTTTGATGAAGAAAGGACAACCAATCTGGATGACTTACAAACAAAAATTCGCAATTGTATACAGGATATTAGTCCCGATATACTAGCGAATGTAAGGCGAACTTTTTACGATAGATTGGGCTATTGTTTAGCACAGAATGGTGGTTTATTTGAACACCTAATATAAAAAATATTTTATTTTTATAGTTTTTTGTTTTATTTGTTGTTTTACAAAGTTTATTTCAGTTACTTACGAATTGTTTTTATTTTTAGAATTAAGAATTTGCTTTGTCTTATTTGAATTTCATTTATTATATTAGTTATTATTTTTATAATATTTCTTATCATTGAACGATGTCAAACGACTGACTGCTCTCCGATCCACTATTCTTGCGATTCCCCTCCCACAAACATACTCCGCGCGCATATGCACACACACAAGTATACTTATACGTATGTCCGTGTTGGGTGCATCTCCCAAAATTAAAGTTACCAATCGGTATAGTATACCACGCCACTGGTTGAGTTTTAGTCAGACAATCGGCCAAACACGTATTGAATGCTGCACCGCAGAGAACCCCCCAAATTTTACATGGGCCAGCATTCAACCAGTAACGATACGTTGCGGCACAACGATGTGCTCTATAGAAGCATGTTACTACTACGCTATAACCCGTTCGCTGCTCTATACAGATGGTGACATCAACAGCCCGAAACGTCGTGGCTCTGCTAATTACTTATCGCCGGCTAATAAGAAAAGAATTATCTTACTGCCAAGGACAAGGCAACATTCTTCCGGAGTAATAACAGCAGCAAAAATACATTTGCTGGAACTGAAAGCCATTCGAAAAGCTTGGTTTGGCGTAAACGCCGCGTTATAACTCGTAAGAACGGCGAAGCGAAAATGTTTCCGAAATGGAACATTTTATTCTTTCTCGTATTAGTTTCGGTTAATAAAGTTCGGTGTGATACGATCGAAAATATCGTTTCCAATAAACATTTATTTCCAACGTTACCGATCGCTTCGGTCGATTCAAAAAATGATCTTTGTAAAAGTGAGAGTGAAACTTATGTGAATCATTTGAATAATTTAACTTTGTGGGCTCATAAAAGTAAGTTAAATAATTCTTTTTTTTTTATATCAAAATTAAATAATGTTTTTATAACAGTGTGGGATGCCACAGCTAAATCAACCACCGGTATTCTTCAGGGAAATAATTTTGAAATGGGCGATTTTGATGAATGTATGATAGCTCAAGCTCCGTTTAAAACACAATTTTGTTTTGCTGTGGTTACTGCTAATATTTCTAATGTTGAACCACCAGATGATCAGTTTAGTTTGTATTATGATCCAATGGATATCATTTTTAAAAGATTATACGTAAGAATCGATTTTAAAAAATTGTGCTTGATTATCGATTTTTGATGTTTAGAGAATTCATCTTTGTTTTGTTTATATTTATCTCCAAATCTACTATCGTAGCCACCAATTTAATCTCCTTATAGCCTTCCTTCAATATCATCGGCGTATCCTATGATTTATATTGTTTTATACGTTATTGTGCCTTTAGCATCTATTTTATATTGGCTCATGACATATTCCAGGACCAAATTGAATGTTGATGGTGCTAAACTGTCACCATGCTTGAATCCTTCTGACTACTTATAAAACTATCTGTAAGCCTATTTTGGATTGTAACTTGAAAGTCTCATTCATAGTTAACATAACTAATTTAGCTAGTTACGCTGGTATTCCAAAACTCGACATGATGATGCTTGTCGAAAATCGATAAAGCATATATTATGTAAATGCCTATATCAAATTCCCAGTATGCTACCTCATTTTCTTCTTTGTCTCATTACTAGAGAATAAGTTCACAGAAGGTGATGTTTTTCCTTCAATTCTCTATTAGTCCAACGCAAATAAGGCGCAAATTACTGGATCTTGTTCCTCAAACAATCTATCTTTGCATACTTGTTAACTCATCTGCCACTTCATTGCCAACTACGCGGGTATGACCTAAAACATACCTAGAACGTTACAGATCCAAGTGTATTGTGTTATTTTACTGCCGCCAAAAATAAATTCCCAGCATGCTACCTCATCTTCTTTTTTGTTTCATGACTAGAGAATAAGTTCACAGAAGATGATGTTTTTCCTTCAATTTTTTATTAGTCCAACGGACATAAGGTGCAAATTACTGCATCTTGTTCCTCAAACTATCTATCGCTGCATATTCATTAACTCATCTGCCACTTCATTGCCAACTACGCGGATATGACCTAGTATATACCTAGAACGTTACAGATTCAAGTGTATTGTGTTATCTTACCGCTGTCATAAAATGCCAATTTCACGACTCTTGTCATTGAGAGAGAGATAGAGAGAGAGAGAGAGAGAATGAATTACATATCCTATAGGCTGTAACATGTAAACATAATTAAGAGTAATCCCCTACGGAGTTAGTTCACATTTAGCATTGAGAATACCACATTTCCACCCATTGCCATAAATACATATCATAACGCAATATTTGGGGGTATTGCCTATATCTATAGAATAGATATAAAAATTTGGCTACAGTCTTATTTCCTTGTTAGAACTAGACTGGTAGATATCGCATTAGTTATTGCTAATCTGGATGTTTGGTGAATTCGTAACTGTGACTTTTTGAATTTTATTTATCATTTACAACCTTTAAGTGATTATGAGTCTCAAGTTTAAGACTCAATCAGTCCTGTGTTTCATGTAGTATCTAAAACATACAATCTTAAATGAAAATACTTATGAATTGATTACACTGCCCAACACATTTTTTTTCTCATACACCATTATATGTAGTTTATGTCGTTTTTCATGCTGATTCTGAAACTAATTTTAGCAGTTTGAGAAACTTTTTAAATAGCTTTTTCAAAACTACATTAAATTTTACAGAATTTTAAAGCGACTTTTATATAAGAAAGATACTACAAGATACATTGTATCAATCAAATTATGAATTTATAGATTTCTAGCTGTGTGTGTAAATAAGGACTCGTTAGATTCAATTTAACTCTGTTTGTGATAGCTGAACGTCTTTTTGTTTCATAATGTCCCGTATCTGTACAAATAATCCCAACAGCTTCTGTTATGTGTGTGGAGAATTTACTTCCCAACGACATAAACGATTTATTACTCCTTTAATAGAAAATTTATATTTCCACTATTTTGGTCTAAAAATTAAAAATTAAGACAAGGAATGGGCTCCTCGCATTTGCTGCGCATGGTGTGCTGTTACTCTAAGACCTATGATTTGGCGTGAACAAATTGGTCATTTGTCTGATTGCTACCTTTTCTGCACGAAAACTTTCGGGTTCTCCAACAAAAATAAGAACAAGATTAGTTACGTGTGTCTTCTGCTATTCGTCCATTACTTCATTCAGAAGCACCAGTACCAAGACCTATGGCTATGCCATTACAGAAGCAGAAGAACAAATTTCTGAATTATTGACCAGCAATTATGAATATTCACCATTTCAAAAGGACGAACCTTACTTAGTAAATCAGTCAGAATTAAATGACCTTATTTGAGATCTGAATTTGTCAAAATCTAAAGCAGAAGTACTAGGATGGACTCCAGGCACACATATTTCTGTGTGTCGTAATCGCCAGAAAGAACTGTCACAGTATTTTTCAACCAAAGAAGGTCTTTCATGATGCTGACATTAGGTCATCTAACTAGATCTAATAATTATGAAATTGTATTTCATAGAGGCAAGATGTTTCATGAGCAGTATCGCCAAATCTCTTTCGCCGCGTGCAAGCTGATTGTTTTAGGCATGTTGAGCTTTCCATAAACCTGTTAAGAAAAATTATTTAATAAATATAGAATAATGCCCAAACGTAGTTTCAATACCTTAAATTAAAATGACGTCTAATATATTCAAATATTTTTGCACGAGGTGGATTACACATTAAATAAATGTTTCAACATATATTCATCAGACTAATAAAACTTATGACGCGATTGACTTGAAGGTTGACTTCTTGAACAACTAAAGTAGATAGCCAAGCACAACATTTTGAATTAAATATCTGAAGAAATTTATTAAAATATGTAGTTATTTCAAAAACCATTTTCCAGAGAACTAAAGATATCTCTCAAGCAACAAGAGATACAATTCGATTAGGTTGGTGCGTTCCAGCTTCATGTTCTGTAGATGAATTAGAAATGTCTTTAAACGAGCATTTAAAATCGACGGAATTTTATTTGCGTGAAAAAAATATTAGCTATTATGGCGTTGTGCCGGAAATTTTATGTCAGACACCCGACGGTGGAAAACCTTTTGATGGGAACGATATTTTTTTTTGGTTCTTAACATAATTATAAATGTTATTATAAATTATTTTTTGTATTATTTTAGTATAATAATTGGATTATTTCTATTCTTAGTTATCGTAGCAACAATGTACGATACAAAATTAGAAAATGAATTAACGGAAAAAGAGAAAAGTCATTATCAAAGTAAGAAATAATTTTTTGTCTTAATAAATTTATGCATTTAGATTTTTTTAGAAAATGTGTTACATAGAATCATTATGGGATTTTCCGCAAGAAGAAATTTTTTAGAAATGACCAAAGCTGAAGATTCAAATAAAGCATTGAAGAGTCTTTATGGTTTAAGAACAACATCAATTTTTATGATAATTATGGGTCATAGATTTGGAACTTTTACATCTGGACCAGTTATTAATTTTGATTACATCGAAACTGTATTTATTCCCAAATCAAAACCAACAACTTTTATAACTCATTTTTTGTAGCAATACAGATCCTTAGCTGGATGGTTTATTTTCCACGGTGATCTTTTCGTCGATACATTCTTCATTATAAGCGGAATTTTAGTAACTTATGGCCTTATTTCTCAATACGAAAAAAGATTTATTAATCCTGGTTTTGTTATTTTCCTGCGATACATGAGGTAAGATTTTTATATAAGAATGTTATTTGAATACAACAATCACATTAACATATCTGAGATTACATCAATGATGATTAATGAGTAATGAGAAGTTTACATGTTGCACACAGTGGTTAAAACCACAATATTCTCGTAATTCAATTTACGTAGGTTTAATAAATTATAATTTAGATCAAACCAGCTTCCATAAACATTTTCATTAAATATTACAAGGACATCATTTAGGACATCAAATTTAAAAAAATTGTAATTCTGGAAACCTTTCACTTCATACAAGGGCAATTTATAAGTTGTTTACACCTTACTCTTAGATACTTACTAATTAATTATGCAGCGAGATCATTAATGTATATTTTTTTGTTATATTATTGTCAGTGTTGTGTAAAAAATTCAATATTAATATGCTGAATATAGGAATATTAAAAACAACAACTCATAGTTCATAAATATAGTTACAAATAAACATATTTGTTGGAGTTATTTTTGTTTTTAGATTAACACCACTATATGCACTGGTTATTTTTTATTACGTAACGATTTTGAATTATATTGGATCTGGACCTTTATGGAAAATGATTGTTACTGATGGAGAATCTATGGATTGCAGAAATAATTGGTGGACAAATATTTTGTATATTAATAATTATGTTAATGAAGATCACATAGTAAGTTTTCTTAATGCCTTTAATTTGAAGCAAACCTTTCTTTAGTTATTCACTGTTAACGTTTCATCATTAAATAGAGTATTTGCTAATTGATAAAGATATTAAATAGCTTATATTTATGAAAAAATTATGATTTTATTAAAATTTTTGGAAAATCAATAATAAATAATCAAACTTAGTTCGGCTCTGTTCTTACAGAATATTTTTTTTAATTGTAAATAAGTTGCTTGTCGATACTTATACAGGTGAAATGAAGTAATAAAGAAATTGCAATTGCTCACTTTCAACGATCAAGGGCAATCCGCTTAGATCTACTACTTACTTATAGCATTTATATGCACACGACCACGATTGCAATTTTTACTTGTGCTTGATCGTGACTTTGAATGACTGTGCATAATTTGTAACGAATGTAAAATCGGATTAAAATAGTAATTGTAAAACATGATTTTATAATATTGGAATGTAATAATTTATTTACAATATTTATATATTTTTTCTTTGTAGTGTATGACTCAAACTTGGTACCTTTCTTGCGACATCCATTATTTTATAATAGCCATTATTTTAATCATCATTGGAAGAAACAAAAAAAAGGTGGCAATCGGTTTATTTTTCCTCCTTTTATTTTTATCTTTAGCTATACCTTTTATAATAACTTTAGCTTATTTAAGACCAGCCCTTTTATATTTCTACCCTGAATTCCTCACCAATCCAAAAGGCCATCCAGATTTTCGATTAACTTATATTAAAAGCCATACAAGAGCTACACCGTATTTTATTGGAATGATAGCCGGATATATTTATTACAAAATGAAAGATAACGAATACAGATTATCAAAAGTAAAATTTAAAACAAAATTAAACAATAAATTCCTTTTTAAATCATCTTTTAATTTTAGGTACTCTCTCATTTTTTGACATTAATTTCGATTATACTTTTATTTATTGGAATAGCAAGTTCTGGAATCTTTTACAATCCTTATCATAAGTACAACGCTATAGAAGCAGCCGCTTACGCTGGTTTACATCGATTAACTTGGGCAATTGGAACTATCGGATTATTACTCACCGGAAGTTTCGGACACACAAGCGTCGTCCATAAAGTTTTATCTTGGTCACCGTTTATTCCATTGAGCAAACTCGTTTATGGCGCTTATCTTATCCACATGTCTTTTCATTTCAGATTTTTGGCTATGACTACAGGATCACAACAATTTGAATATTTTAAATTGGTAAAAATGTTTTATTAAATATTCTTTTTGAAGTTATTAATTATTTACTTTGCAGTTTCAATTAACCATATCGGATATAGCTATTTCATTTATTTTCGGATTTATTATGTATATTTTAATTGAGACTCCCATAAGGAAGCTTTGTAAAGAATTGTTTATGGGGAAAAGAAAATCGCACTCGGAAAGAGAAAATAACGTTCCTAATAATAATGATAGTAGATTGTAAGAATTATTTTTATGTAATTATTGATATTGTTGAGTAAATATATTTTTAGTTAGTTTTTTAAAATTATACAGATAAATATTTAATAAATAGACTCCAATAAATAATATCTAATCTCCTCAATTCCTAATTACTGCATTCATACAACTTGGTATGTTAGGGATTAAATTTTGAATGATATTCTGGGAAAAATCCGAACAAAAGGAGCAAATGGAATTTCGTTTTCAAACGCAATCTTTGAACTTTGTTCTCTCTGGTAAATAATGTTGATTTTTGCTGCTCTTTAATCTGCCTTCATCACTGATAAATCGTTTTGTAACATATTACTAGCGATTGTCCAGTATTTAAGAACTGATTACCTCAAGAAAAGCTTTTCTGCCTTTACCTGGCCTACAAGTGTATTGTGGTTGCTATCGGTATGCTCAGTATAACTACCTTCCAGTGATTGCGAGGGTGTCAGAAGGACACAATCAACTGCAGAAAGCAATTATAAAAATGCTAGTTGAATTCTAGGAGCAAATATGGAACAAGATCCTATAAGATAAGAGAGAAGATCTAAACCAATTCATATGTAAGCTCCTAAAGAAGATAAAAAGCCAGAATCCAAAATGCCATCAGTAAATATGGCAGGCCAATAGATATTTGACGACCAAGAGAAAACGAAGCCATATCTCTATGGAAAATCCAGCAGTTTTAGAAACTACCTATAGAAGATATTAATAGGAGAAACCAAGAAAAGTGGAGGGAATAGTAGAAGGAATGATATCCCAAACTAGGAACAAAAATGCAAGATTGTAAATCACGAATATAGTTAATGGGATAATAAAAATGACTTCTTTCCAGGACTTGTGGAAAACTGCAATGGTACTAATAATCCTAAAATCGCATCACAGCTTGGAAACAGAAAAACAATCTATTGACAGGGTTGTAGAAAATTATAGAAATAATTCTGCTGGAACAACTACAACAAGAAGTAGAGGATAAACTACCTCAGAAGAAGTAATTCGATTTTATGGAATGTAGAGGAGCTGCACAGAAGGCAATGAATCTTATTAGCACATCGGATCTTTCTTAGAAAGAAAGACATCAGACGATTGTGGTGCTATTAGATGTCCAGAAGGCTTACGACTCTATCTAGAAAAATAGCCAGCTGACAAAGGTGATCACGGCCAACTCTGAAAAGAGCCTAATCAGATCTTTTCCAGGCAAACTTCCTGAATATCCCAAAGCAAATACAGAACCCTAGCCAAATAAGCTCTACGTCATCATAAGAGGACAGTCACTGCTTCCAATATTTTTTCAGCCCTAAAGCCAAAGTGTGTATGTCATCGTGGCATAAAAAAACTTAATGTTGGGGCACACGAGTCTAGCAAAACACAAAATATCACTGAGGAACCAGTTTTATTTCTTCTCACCAAGGTTGTGTACAGCCATTTTCTTATTTATGGGAATTTTCCATTATCAATGTCATAAATGCTAGCTAGAACCGACATGCGTTTACGAGATACTGCCAGGTGCCTGTCTTTACTCAGAAAGAAGAACATCAGACGATTGCTGTGCTATTAGATGTCGAGAAGGCTTACGACTCCGTCTGGAAAGATATCCAGCTGACAAAGGTGATCACGACCAACCCGGAAAAGAGCATGGTCAGATTTTTTTTTCGGCCAAACTTCCTGAATATCCTACAGTGAATACAGAACGGCAAATAAGCTATGCGTGCACAGTGTGTATGTCATCGTGGCATGAAAAGCTTAATGTTGGGGCACACGAGTTTAGCAAAACACAAAATGTCACTGAGGAACCACTTTTATTTCTTCTCACCAAGGTTGTGTATAGCCATTTCCTTATGTATGGCAATTTATCGTTAGCAATGTAATAAATGACCGACATACATTTACGAGATACTGCCAGGTGCCTGGTTTTACATCTTCATCACTTGAAAGTAATAGATTTCAACGTACAAGTCGTTTGTTAGTTTGTGCCTGGTTGTGATATACAAAAAAATCTGTTGAAATGTCGCGCGATGAAGTCCCAATCAATCAGATATGCACAAACATCAGTAACTTTTTTGTTGTTTTATATACCTATGCGAATAATGTTATAAGTATGGTAAATGTTGATTCGGAGTTGAATATGTTTTTTGATCACCCCAACAATTTTTTAAATCTTACAGTTAATAGTAAATAGATAATTCAATTAATTTAATTATACTTTTTGTTTTAATAAAACCATAAAAAATACAATTTTTAAGACATTTATTAACATGTTACATCGTACAATAAAATATTAAGACATATAGTAACTATGATAACGCCCTTTTTTTTCACTTGCAAGTTAAAAATGGGCATTAAAACGTTCCTAAAATAGTTATTGTCTTTACACAACAGTTTATTTATTTTTTTATAATCTCAAAATGAACCGTTCATAAAAAACATATTTATTAAGTCTAAAACGCAAAAAATCGTTTAAGTAATTTTATAATTTTTTTTTTAGAAAACATTTTTCCGATTTCAGTTTTCTATTTATTTACTTATTTTTCGTTTTATTTAAATTTATGTACATCTAGGTTTTCGTTCGTGGAAAGGAAACGTATTGACTCAAGTAGGAAATAGACAACAACACTTCTGACACAAGCAACAGTCATTTTTAAACCGTCACGGAGATGGGGAACAATTTTTTTTGCCGGAGGTGATATGCTTATTCCACAACAAGTTCTTAAACTGAAACGTATACAAATCACTATTAGATTTGATTTATAAAAAAATTTTTTGTTTTATTTACAGTTTTGGTATGGAAGACGTTGATTTTGTTTTTTTTTTGAAATATTTACATAATAGGATTTATTATTAATGTAGTACGATCAGGTACATTTTTAAATAGGATTAATACCGTTTTTAGTTAAAGTGTAGAAGTGTTTTTTTTTAAGTACGTTTAAAGCAAGATTACCATTGAACATTGATTTAAAAAATTAATTTCTTAAGTACTTAAATAGTTGAGATTCTAGGATTAAGAGAGAAAAGTGACTTTTTTTTAAGATTTTAGTCACAACAATAAAAAATAATCGATAAAATTTGTTTATTAATAGCAGTAGGTAATTATTTTTTGTTTATACCTTATTCTAGTGTTCTTTTTAATTAATCAACGTGCAGACTCATGGGAAGGATGTCACAATTACATGCAGCGCCACCATCTCCAACGCTACACATTTGCCTGCACCATTCCTCCCAATCCACCGTCTTCAAGCTTCGATCCAACGATGAAGATGAAGAATTTACAGAAAAAACATTTTTATCCGTTTTTGCTGCCTCTTCGTAAACTTTGCAACTTTGACATCCCGGCAAACGATGCTTGAAATCAAGACAAAAATTTCCACAAACCTGCACGAAGTCGATCTCTTCGTTAACTTCTTTCGCTCGATTTTTTGGATCTTGACAATCGCAAAGTGGTTGTCCAAGGCCGTTTTTGCAAAGAATCGGGCACACGTTTCTTCGGGCCATCGAAGATTGAGCGACGCGAACGGCGTCGCTACTGTTTGGAAACTGAGCAGGAATTGTGTTAGGGGTGAGGTCCTGGCAGTCTGGGCCGCAGGATTTTCCACCTAAACCAGACATACAGAGGGCGGCGCAGATGCGTTTCGATTGAGACACGGAGACTATTGGTTGGAAGGACTCGGTGTTTCCATGGTAATAGACCTGTTTGGCAAAAGACATGCCCACCAGCAGGATGAAAACGATGGACATCATTGCGCAGAATCGCATCGATTTCAACCCTCGAAACATCGTCTGTGGAAAAGTGTGCTTGGGTTTAATATCGAGGAAAACTTTCGTGGGAAAAACTTTACTTCTAAACTAGTTTATATAATTATCTAATAAAAAAGTATGTTGTTAAAGTTGTTAACAAGAAAAAACGTTCTGCAATTAACAAATAGATTAAATTCAATAAATTTTAATTCAACAGCAATTAAAGTTGGTGAAAACGTTTAGGGTTCAAACAATAACAGTTAAACGCGATGAGGGTGAAGAATCGCCGCAAACAATTTAATAAGTAGTATAGTTGGACGATAACCGAAAATATATCACCGTCAGGGACAGAGGGTGTCATAAATCGCAGTCAGCGGCAGGACGCAAACAATTGAACGTCGGATGTCAACAGCAGAACGGCAGCCATTTTCCGCGTCGGCAAAAGGGGCGCCGAGGAAATGTTAGTAAGCCATGGGAATCGTGGCTGTTGCGCGATTTACATAATTTACACACTAAGAGGATTTTCGTAATCACATTGACAAATTTAACTAATTGTATAATCGCAAATGTTTTGGTTTATTATGTAAATTTCTGATAAATTAGTTTGACATGATGATTATGATGAGTTAAAAATTTTAAATATTATTTCCACTGCCTTTTACTTACAATAATTGATTAAATCCAAAGGGGAAGGTTTTACCAAGTGTGTAACGTTTTATTGAATGATTAAAACTGTGCCAGTGATAATTAGCGAGACTTTATATACGATGTCCGACTATTGATTAGTTCTTATCAGGATGATATCTGTGTATTTGACAGCAATATAATGTGAGAGTTAACATATCAGTAATTTTTTTAATGAAAATGTACTATTGTTATAAAGTATATACAGTAAAATATCGATATAATGCAATAATATGGGGAAGGGAGTGTCTGTTATAGACAAAAGACCGTTATATGAAAAATTTTAATGCACACAAATTCGAACAGCTATACACACGGTTGCGTTATGTATTAGTTAGTTCTACTTTTTGTTCAATAAAAATATACAACAATCTAGCGCTGAATAACAAGTAATATTAGACCTAACACTAACACTAGAACTAACACTAGACCTAGAACTAGAATCATTCAGGTTTAGCCGTCTTAAGAGACGTGCGGCTAAACCCGAATGTTTTTAGTTTTAAGTCTAGTGTTAGTTCTAGTTTTAGTTCAATGAAAAATATACTGCAATTAAACGCTGAATAATAATTAAAACAAGAACTAACACTGGCATTAGAACTAACACTAGACCTAGAACTAGAAATATTAGGGTTTAGCCGTCTTAAGAGATGTGCGGCTAAACCCGAATGTTTCTAGTTTTAGGTCTAGTGTTAGTTCTAGTTTTAGTTCAATGGAAAATATACAACAATTAAACTCTGAATAATAATTAAAACAAGAACTAACACTGGCATTAGAACTAACACTAGACCTAGAACTAGAAACATTCGGGTTTAGCCGTCTTAAGAGACGTGCGGCTAAACCCGAATGTTCCTAGTTCTAGGTCTAGTGTCAGTTTTAGTGCTAGTGTTAGTTCTAGTTTTGGTTCAATAAAGATATTTAAGACCAATTTAGGAAATAACCCGAGTTGTATTATATTTATAAGCGTTAACATTTATATTTAAATATGCTGATGTAAATATGCTGAGGTCCGTTATATCGAGGTTTTACTGTATTTTCAGTATCCATGATTAATAAGGAAACAATTAATTAACAATTTAGATATTAACCAATTTAGTAAGTTTTCCACGTAGTACTCAGACAATAATTTATTAATAAACAAATTTTATAAATAAAAACAAATATTAAAAAAAAAAATAGTTTATATCTTTATAACACATTTATTGCTATCATAAAAACTAGATTTTATCAATTCATCACAACAAAAATATAAACTTTCGAAATAATGATGTAACTTTTTAATTGATGTTTTTAATTGAAATTTAATTATTAAATTGTTTGTTTTTAAAATGATGATAATATGCGTAGTGTGTTGAAACCATTTAATTAATCCATTCGCGCAAATTGTGTTTACCCACAATTTTTCAGGAATTAATTAATTGCGTAAAACTTTTTTATGATTTTATTATTCTTAAAATATTTATAAATAATGTCTTTATAAAACTTATTCTTTATAATGAGATTATTATACATTATAAATAGATTCATTATGTATAAACTCGATGCTAAGATGTTGTCTAATACTTTAAATACGATAAAAATCCATTAAAAAGTCCCAACTAGAATTTCCTTAACTCGAGTTATTTCCATACTCAAATATGTTTTTTATTATATTTCCATATTTAAAATCTTGAATTTCGGGGAATTACCGCTGTAATTTTCATACAATTCTGTTCTTGTTGAAGTACGAACCTACCAACTTGATACGTGTAGCGAATTGATGTTGTTAATGGCAATGAGCGATAAAAGTAAAAAGCGACTTTAACTAAGAAATTACCATTCGAAAAACCAACATATATGTTAAAATAAAAACACCTCGAGTTATTATGCCTCAAAAAAAGTAACCGTCGGTTTTTGCTGTTATCGTGTTATATTTCGGGGAAGCACCGCAATTTTGATTCATGATTGGAAAGCAAATTCCATTGAAACTTGCAATAGTTTTAAATAAAAATGGAAAACATTTGTGCGAAATTGGAAAAATCGTGGGAAAAAGTCAGTACTGTAGAGGATTTAGAACGTGTAAGGTGACTGAAGCGGCTTACAGACACGGTAACACGAAGTGAAGGCAAATCCCACTCAAGTGAAGTTCAAATAGGAACGAAATATTACAAACATCAGGCAAATCGGTAACTTGCAGTTCCATAAGAAGGGCACTCTACTAAACAATGATGGAGTACGAAGAAAAGAAGACATATTATTTGCTGATGAGAGTAACTTTGAAATTTTTTGAATTTTTTTCTATGAAAAGTTTGTTACCAACACTATTAAACACGGTGAAGGCTTTATTTGATTGACTATATCGAACCCTCAAAACTTTGAATCATTAACCGAAGGCTCCAGATTTCAATTCTATAAATCATTTGTAAGAGCACCTTGAGAGAAAGGTCAAACAAAGGACTATTTGAATCAAAGAGAACCTAACAAACGCTTTAAGGTAAGAATGGACGAAAATCCATTCGGATAAAACAAAAAGTTTTGGGGAGTCTATGCCAATGAGATTAAATAAGGTGCTGATTTTCAAAGGATGTCAACCAAATATTAAAATTTATATTATAAAATTACACGCTTTCAGTGTGTCAGCACGACGTTTAAACTGTTTAACACTGAGTGAGAAACTAAAATTAATTGCAGAGATAGAAAAGGGCGAAAAGAACGACATACCATAACTATTTGGAAAGCCCCCTAACACATTATCGACTATTTAAAAAATAAAGACAAACTTTTAGAAAAAGATAGCTATGTCAACATCGATTTTGATGAAGCAATGCTTAAATGTATAACGATGGTGCAATAACTAGAAATAAATGCTAAGGTATTTGCTGCTGTTTTGGAAAAGGACAATTTGTTAGGTAGCGTAAGATATTGAAGAAGTTTTTGAAGAGGCATAATCTAGATTACAGGTGAAACAAAGTATCAGATTTATAACATAGTGAGGAATGGTAATCTTACTCTGAAGACATTATGGAAACTCTGAAACATCATTACAGAAAATGTAAAGTAATAAAAATTGGAAAGTTGGCATATTAACTCCTACTCGCATATCATTAGAGCAACTTTTGAAGATTATGTTAAAATTGATGATGATGTACAAACAGTAGTATATACCACCGATGTAAATATCTTAGAAAACGTTATAGAACGCTTGGTCTCTAATCAAAACGGTAGATTTACTAAATCCAACGCTTACGTTAATCAAAATTCCTATTTTGTGTAATATTTCTAATCATTGTAGATCAAGAATCATGAGGACGAAGATAACAGTGAAACCAAATGAGATATAACATCATTGAAAATTTGGCATATATGTTCCGTGCCTTAGAGGTTCGAATTAAAAAGTATGACGTAAGGTTGACCATGAAACTCAATTGAACTGAGGTTGTGCCTTTTTGCTACAACCTCAGTTGTGCAATGGGACTTGTATCACTTGTATATTGCTGATTTTCGTTATAGAATCAATATGATGAATTTTGCACAGAATGTTTACTGTTTCAGGATTTAAAAATTAAAAATGACATAATACTTGATATCTAGTAAAATGTATTTGTTATTGGAATAGGTGTATTGTTTAGCTGGTTTCACACTTTTTTTATGTAATTTATTTTTGAAGATTTAAAGGTATGAAATGAATAGTGAAAAATAGTACACTTTATAGAAACACAGTAAATATGATAGTAGTGCAAAGTCTGCTACAACTGTGTAAGGAAAGCTACACAATAAATTATGACAGATTCGAGCACAACAACAACAACAACGGTAAAATATAAATAGAAATAATAAACAATAGAAAACTAAAAGATAAAGGCAAATATTCCTTTAGTTTTTTTCTCAAGCTGATATTAATCCAGAACTTGGATATGGTTCAAATAATCAAGAAACCGAGCAGCATTACAATGTGCTATTCCGCTATGTAATTCTAATATGGAATCTGTTAAATGCTAAAGGACGCAAAAAGAATGCAAAAAGATATGGTAGCACGTTTTGCAAAAAACTGTAAAAATCACCTCGCCATCACGTATACCAACACAAACGGTTACATTCTGCAACGAAAGTCCTACTAAAAACTTCTCCCTAATAACCTTTAGTAAGGTTTTCCATAGAATTGATAAGATATTGATGAGTTTATCTTTCAGATCTGAAGGGTGTGTTTATTCTATTTGTTTTATTTCTAATTGGGTCATAAAACACGGATATTTCAATGCAAATTCATTATGTACTAATTTTATCACTATCAATAGATTCATTTTCTATGAATTGTGATAACCATTCAATTCTCTCTTCTGATGTTAACATAAAATAAAGAATCAGAATGATACGCAGCATAAACATGATTCAATTATCATTTTGGCAACATTTTCTTCAGTTTACTTTTAACTTTTAAAACATTTAAATATACATCAAATGCTGGTTATCGGTCCAAAGTTTGCTGGTTTTCTTTAATGTTTGCATTAATAATACCATTGTAATGACTAGTCTTCGTATTGATATCCCAACAATATATACAACACACAATCTATTTGTAAAAAGGAGTGCTACAATCTTGAGAATTAACACGAAAAACCTCTGACATAAAAAAATTTATACTCATATGAGTTAAAAACCACCTTCGTGCACAACACAGAAAATGGCTTTTGAATCAATTCGTGCTGATGAGGAGGATTTAAGGAACTAAAATCAAATTCCTTATATTATTTTATACTATAACTGATTCTTTGACATGCAATTTAAAAAGAAAAGATTTCTCGTTATTATAAACTTGTTGTTTAAATTGGAAAAGTAATATACGTTGTATTAAACATTAAAACTTAAAAAACAATACGATATTTTTTAATATTCTAGGAATATTAATCATGAAGATAAGCTGATAAGCTAAAGTTACACCACATGCTACACCGGATAGCGATGTTTTAGTAGCCTTTTTGCTGGTTCACTCCCTATTATAGTTCAGGTACAGGAAAGAGATAGGTAGATACGATATGGTTCGAAGTTTCTGCCCGGGGTTCATATACTGAAAGCTACCTGAGGCTGTAACGATCTATTTTGTATCGTACATTCAACTAACTAAACAACAAAAAAAACATTTTAAAATAAAAAAGATCATAGTTTCAAGCTCCTTAGTTTCAAGTAAAAAAAAAAAGAAAAACTAAACTTCATTTTGTAATCAATCAAAATAATCATCAAAAATCGTTTGTGAAAAATCTTCATTTGATACATTCCCCGGTCGGGCGGTTGCGAATTAAAACACTCAATGCCATACAAAATTACATCTTCTTTGTAAATTCAACGATTATGGAAAGATATATGTTAGAAAAACTAATTGAAAGTATCTAGTATAAGACGTCAAAAAGAAATTTATTAATGATGAAAAGTACCCAAGAAATATGGATTGTAAACTGTATACCCGTAAATTATAAAAAAAAGACCGAACACTGGTTTCTTATAAAAAAATAACTAGCTGTATTATTTTAACAACTAATTGTATTGGTCTTATTATATCGTTAAGTAATATTAAATAAAAAAACTTTTATAGAAAATTCTGTTGAAATAAATCGATTTTAAATGTTTTCCAACTGGCTTTTAAACTGGACTTTAATAATATTGATTTAGAATGACTTCGAAAGCTTTAGTTTGGCGCGTGCCAAACGCCGATTGCTTTCAATAAAGGGCCCCAAGGAGCATTGTGGTTGGATTAAATCCGGCGTTACCACCACTTCATGCATATTAATGGATCTAAACAACGCCGAAACGTCAACACCAGAGGTCTTCTATCATTGTAGATTCAAAAATTCCGAAAATTACTCTAAATCTTAATATTTTAATCAAACGGTTAAGTACTTAATCTATTGCGAATTCAAGATTGATTTAAGTATGCTAGGAATACTTAATTTTTAAACATTGATTGATGGTTATGGTTTATATTTAGTATGGAGCTTATAAATAGATTGATTATAGCTAAAAATACGTATATTTTAAGATGAGTTTGTTAAAAATGATTTTGATTTATTGGAATTTCTTCAAGTTAATAAAAAGATTATTCTTTTTCTATTATTAAAGATTTGTTTGATAAATCTGCCACTTTAGTTGATTTGATTTAAAGTGGGACCCGTTAATGAAAATAATATGATAAGTAACAAAAACAAAAAGATAAAATTCATAATCTTATAATTTTCTTATCTCATTCCCTTTGCACGAATAAAAAAAGAACTCAAATTTGCATTCAATTTATGTTTTGGTAATCCGATACAACAACAAAAAAGTGAACAAAACTAAATCACAACTAATTACACAACGATTTTAGTCCGGAGGGGACAAAATTTACGAGTGGCGGGGATGGGGTGGCTTCCGGACAACGTGGATGAAAAAGTCAACAAAAAAAAAAAAACTACAATTTTTGCCACATTTCCGTTTGCCCGGATCCGGTTTGAATATTGATCATCAGAAAGCACGGGTTCTATTGGGCGTCATTCGAAAAGGTCACCGCTCATGCGTTCTCGACTACCAACCCCCTTTCGAATCGTTTTTGGGGAAATAAATTAAGACCCCGTCGACTGAATATTCCGTTAAAATGATATTTCCACCATTGGAAATTTGATGTGCATACGTATGTACCACAGTAAATTGGCAAATGTGTGCATGCCTTGAATTTCCAAATTGTTCGAAATTGATTTCCATTGAAAATATAATTGACATAGGATGAAATATTGGGTTAACAATGATATGTTGATGATATAAATTTAAATTAGAATACTGCGTAATTTGTAGGTTAATCCAAGAATTATTGTGAATAACAAAGTTTGATGAAATTACAACAAAAATGGATGATGTCCCATTTTAGTCTCTCAGAAAGTTTCTGCAACATGTGTTTCCATTTTAATACTTTTTCTTTTTATTAAACATTTTGAATTTTTTTTGAAAATTGAAATTTGAATGACGGTCTTACAAGCATTATGGAAATAATGTAAGTATTACAATGAACAACGTGATTTGAGTTTTTCCACGAAGCGAACTCACGTCGCATTGCCTACCCTGAGCGTACCATGAGTGATGAGGCTAAAGAAGCTCATAGAAGCTTATTGTCAGATAAATTAGCTGCAGAAGAAGAAAATAATCTTCAGGAAGGACAAATGTACAGTGCAGGAATCGCTAATTAGGTATTCCGAAAGAAAATATTATTTTGAAAACTACATTTATCTAATCTGTGCGCATGATAACTCTCACATTTTTGAAGAGATTTTCACAATTTTTTTAAGTTTATATCATCCTACTCTAGGAAATCCGTTTTTGGTACTGGAAACTTGATAATTCGACTTCCGGTTTAGGAAAAATCCTGCACACCAATTGACTCTGCACGATTTTCAATCCTAACATTGTAGACAAGACTAGTTGGTGCAATTTTAATAAATGTTGATGAATAAAATACGTTTTTAAAACTAGAAAAACTGCTTATTAAAACCCCACAACCCCTTTTTGCAAAACTTTTTCCCTCTTTGCAAAGAAATGTTAAAGTTATCTTTATTTTTGGGTCTCCAAATTGGCATACCTACCTTCTTATCTGAATTTGTTAAGAACTGTTGACAACACTTCTGGTGACCGCTAAACCAACTTCAAGCTGTCATTTTAATAAGTGTAAAATTTGTCCATTGGCAAAAAATTAATCGGTAAGTACCTGCAAAATAAAGTATATGGCAGCAGTGTATAATTTTGTTATAATACTGGATGAAGCATACTTTCAAACTTATTTATAAGAAAAATCCGCCTCTGTGAAGATAGCAATACCTGCACACGTCAAAAAGGTAGAGGGTATCATTTGGTGAGCATTTTGCAATGGGAAGTGAATGTACGGTTTTCAGTTCGTTGAACATTATCTTCTATAGTTCCTCCGTAACTAACTCCTGATCTTTCTCCATTGCAAGTCGTGCTGTGTCATCTGCAAACGTAGCCACTATAGTTTCCTCCAACTCTGTTATGTCATTTCTATGTAGCAGATACACGGTAGGACCCAATACACTACTTTGAAACACTCTTAACTTTTCAATTGACAATCTGGGATTAGGTTATTGGTTTCTATTATTGGCAGTAATTTTTCGAAGATTTTTGAGACTTAGTAGATTTAACATCGTTAAGTTGTTTTCCTGGCTTTTACAATATGATAACCTCTGCAACTTTCCAACAAGCCAGTATATCTTTTAATCTAAAGGCTATGTTGATGAAATAGGTCAGCATGATACCTTCTCTAGGCAGACCCTTTAGGATTTCTCCTGTGATAAGTTTTACCCTGGGTTGGCAATAAAGATCTCAGCCAGAAATTTAACAAACACTCTAGAATTACTTCATTTAATTCTCTTCCATTGATCGTGGTTTTGGCCCAATTTTTGGCCGTACCTACGTGTTTAGCGTTGTACTCCTCGCCAGTAATAAACTTTTCTCCGAAATGTGTCAGAAGAGCAGTAAACTGTACCGACACTTCCCTTTACTGTTAGTTGGATCTCCTCTCTTTGCAGATGGCATTCTTTGAAATGATTGATCGATTCTTTTATAACGATTACACTACCATTCTTGACAACATCAGCTTAAATCCATTACTTTTTCATAGACACCTTGGCACAAGATATCAGACAGACCACGTTAAATCTGTCGAATAATTTAGAAGTCATTCAGCTTCAAACGAAAATAGTAAAAAAACATGTCGTAAACTCTACTTTTAGAAACAAGATTACTGACAATTCAAAAAAAGACAATTCATGATTTGGAAAATGATGTGGAGAATAAGATAAGAATAAAATTTAATTATTTCGTGAACCAACTTGAGGAGTTGATCGATATAGCAACGCTACAATTCTTTGTCTACGTTAATTAAGTTAGATTCCTAATAGAGAAGTTAATTTTAAGAAGTTTACTGGATCAGCAATTTATGATAATTTTGAAAATAATATGTAATGAACTGGTTTTATTCCGTGTGTTGGAGCAACAAATGTTATAAAATGCAATGACAGAACATTGCTGTTTAAGACGAACGTGGGCGTATTTGAGCAAAACTATCTACAACTTTAAAATTGCGTGCTACAAGCTGCTACATATTTTATGTACTTTGTGTGCATTTTGAACGCCTTTACGTACTACTTAAAGTATTACTACTTTAGTCAGAAGTTAGCCAGCAATAGCCATGAGTGTGAATGAATTAAAATCTCTTCAAGTATTATTGACTGATTTTTATTACTAGATACAGTTATTACCAGTGCATGATAGTACAGTGCTTCTCTTAGTAGCTTTAAACTTGATCCAAAAATTAAAAGGAATATTTTTAACAATTTATGCTATATAAAAATTTTTTATTTGTCGTAAAAATGGAATTTTATAAAATGAAAAATTCCTTGCTTTGTTCACAAAATTAAATATAAAATATCATTTTAAAATACTGAATAACCCAACAGATAAAAAACTCAACTCTCACTACATTTGGAAAGCTTCTTTCTCCCTAAAAGAAACCCTTTTTCCATCAAAACTACATAAAATGTAAAAAGTTTGTCGTTCCTGGTTAAAACTTTGCTTCCCTCGGCATTCCCTTTATTGAGGAGTCGAAAATTCCGTCACGAGGCTACCAGTTTCATCTGCGATGCTAACGGGAAAAATCTATATTCCTCCGAGTTGGGGGGTTTGGTAACCGGCGCCTCCACCATTTTAGCCACACCTCCATTTGGGGGCGTCCGACAGCCCTTTTGGTAACGTGACGCAAATGCGCGGGCGCACATTTAAATTGGGTCACCTACTATGACCTCTGCGACCACCGCCGGGTCCAACTTTTAGACGTTGCACAGCATCCACAAGAAGCTTCACCATGCCTAACACCTCCAACTACAAGCTGAACGCGGCTATTGCTAACTCCAAGTATACAGGTGAGAAAGCTGTTTCTTAGTTTTAGTCGTTATCCTTTAGCAGTTTGCAAAAATTTCTTTAAAAAAGTCGTTTTTGGGTTGCTGTTTTTGGCGCGATTTCGCTCCTTTGGAATCGCGCCAAGAAGTATTGATTTTCTGAGTCTTTGTTGGACATTTAAGTTTATAAGTAAGAATAGGGTAATCTAACAAGTGGATGTAGATATCAAAATAAAGGCTTTCAATTATTAATTTATTTTTCTTTCAAAATCGATAGCTTACAGAAAAAATATTAAAAGATGATCTCTAAAACAAAACGAGGGGTCCAAAGAATGAATAAATGAAAAAGTAGAGAGGCAAAAAGCTCGTTTGTTGTACTTTAAAATAGATCCACTGAGACGGAAGTAATGTTTAGCGTGGAGATCTCCAAGTTTTCTCTTCGTTGCACCTCTCAAGTCTTTGTCATGAATGGAACAAAAGATTATTGAAAGGATTATTTCTTTTTTTCATGTTTAATTTTTTTTGTATATATTTGAATAAATATACTGTTTTGGGGAACACCTATACAATTTTAGATATCGTTTCACAATTATAATCTGTCCAGACGTGGAAGATTTATGAGTTTAATAAATTAATAATCCTCGTGGCGCGATAATATTACGTTATCTGACTTATTTAACCTGTAATCTTAGTAATTGATTAAATTCATTGAGACTTAAAATTTTAAACCTAAACAATGGTTACCTGATGATTCAAAAAAATGTATTCCATCTTCTTAATCTTAACAGAAAATTTTATAACTTCCGTTCCATACTGACTAAATATAATTAATTTTTTGTAAGGAGGTGTAAAATTAAAGTTCCCCAGGTGAGGTTCGAACTCACAACCCCGGCATAGCTCACGACAACTGCCTTATAAGTACCGTGCGCTAACCAATTGCGCCACTGGGGACTGAAGTTCGATCAAAGAACAGAACTTCAACGACTTCCGGTAATTTATTTGAAGCTTAACTTCTATTTTTACAACATAACATTCTCTTATTGGTCAAGTTTTGGACTAAACACAAATATAAATCATTTTAGGTTTGTTACAGTCAATTGATCAAAATTACTCGAATATATTACGTGACGTAAATCGTTAGCAGGTGCGAATCTGGACATGGATCCCTTAATTGGAATCCAAACGGGAGAATTAATCATTCATAGTCCCTCGGGGAAACTCGGCCCGGGAGATACAACGACGAACTTGGATCGCAAACAATATGTTCCCAGTGTGCACCATACTGCTCACTGTTTAAGGGCTGGGGTGGTTAGATAAATTCAAAATTAATTTTGATAACCCCTCACTTTAAAGATTCGACCCTTTTCAATCTCTTTTTAACAAATAAGTTCCGTGGTTAACAAAAATTAATTTTAAATGGCCTATTTTGGTGGATCTACCCAATTTGCACAAAGTGATAAATCTGGGATAATCCTATTTTTTATCAAATAAGTTGGTAATTATAAACGATGGATTACAATCGTTTGGGGATTAAGTTTTATTGCTTTATTCAGAATGTTTTCTAGTCCAAATCTTTCTTTTCATTTTTGAGTCATTATCTATTTTAGTATAGAAAATGTGTTATGATCAATTTCAAAATAATAAATTGGTGATTAATTGTTACGTTACTTTATCCATTATATTTTCAATTTTTGATTTATAACTCATATTGATTTTCTTAAATTTCTTAAAATAATTTGGTGATTATTAACGATAAATTAAAAATCGTTTAAAAACATGATGAGATCGGTAAATTAATTTTAAAACTTTTCTTCGTTTTTAGAGAGACTCCAGATTTTACGATCTCTTTCGTAAAGAGATTATCTTATAAGAGTAAATTAATTAAAAATTCTTAATGAAAATGTGTTGTCTACAAATATAAACATTGTATTTATAACTTTGTGTTGAAAATTTAATGTTTAAAATGTAAAATGGAATCGTTAATAAGATATAATATAGAAAATAATATACGCTGGAAAAGAATTAAAATGAAAATACGAATTTTTTTCTGGGGAATTTTGGAACGGCAAATGCAAGCTCAGAACTACTTCGCCTTTGAGAAAAATCCCAGCTTTGAGATTAAAATCACTTCTTCATTTTCATTAACAAATCACGACAATTCACGATTTTATAAATTTCGGTCTGCATTTTGACATTAAATAAAAAGTCATGAACATTTCACAATTTTTTGGAAAAAGCATTCTTACATATAAGTATATAAAGAGTATATTAAGTATATTACAATCGTGCAAAACTTCGATATCGAGGTTGGTTGGGTTAAAAACGAAATTTCTTTCGGTAACAAAATTTGGAAAATTTTGGGCTGATTGCATCAACTTGTCGAACCTGTTTGATACAAACTTAAACATTAAATAAAGATATAGGATGTGGCCTATTAAGTGAAGCCTATTTCAGTTAATTAACATACAGAACAAATGTTGAAAACATCCTGGTCTTGCTCATAAAAACTGAAAAATAATTCTTGTGCTAAATTGATACTCAGGTACTCCAATCTTCTTTTTGTCAGAAAATAGAAAATCATATTTTGGAAAAATGAAGAATGCTAAACTAAAGTTTAGCGAAAGCTAAGGAATAATTCTTCAATCAAAATAAAACTTAATCGGATCTTCTTCGTTCAGAAAATATGAAAGTTGTTATCTTAACATTAAAAAGGTTTTGTCGAAAGAATGTAATGTATTGATACGTTTATGATCTTTTAGGTGAACCGCCAAAAAAATTACAAAATTTAAAAAAAAAATCGCAAAAGCCACATTTTTGAAAATTATAGAATGGCAACCATGCAAATTTGGGTTTAAACCGAAATGACTACAATCTTATAAATTGCAAAATCAAATTTTTAAACATTTTGGAATGATCAATTTTAAACTTTTTATTTTTAATAATAACAAAGTTTGTCATTGCTTAGTAGGAGTATGCACGTAAGAAAGTGGCACTTAACCTAAACACCTATCAAACTTTTTTTGTATTTATAAATTTGCACTTTAAAATCTTTTTGTTCTTACTTAAGCCCTAGGCTTGCGTTACCCATTCGTCATTATATCTTGGAATGAGGATGTCAAACACTTCTTCCACAGCTTAGGTGAGCAGTGGTCGTCATGACAGTGGCTTTCCATTCATACTGATTTTGACCAATCTGTTGTTCTCCATACATGTTTGTTCCAACCTCTCCTTCTCGCTCGCATCAATTGCACTACATCACTACATCATGGTACCACATTCATTTCGAACATGCTTGTTTTTAAGATTATGCATCAACGAATTAATCGTTGTTGTTCTCAAGTCTTTCATCTTATTTGTATAACACTTCGTTTTGTTTTTGCCGTCTCCACCCTTGTTTTCCCCGTATATATCATACAGATCTCGCGCATGCAGATTGTGTACTTTAGCGCACCAGAAATTGCTGACAGTTTTAAAATATTGCTTAGATTCTCGTTATTCAAAATAGTAGTTCCTAGATAATTAAATTATGATACTTACGGAGTTCTCTTGCAATCATCATGGTCTTAGTCTTGTTTATTGAGATTTGCATAATTAATTCTTCAGCTGCAACGTTAAGTAGGTCATCCTTAGCATCAGCCAGTACGACACTATCATCTACATAGCACACAATCTTGATTTTTTGTCCACTCATAGTAAACCGTAGTTCACTTTAGATACTTTGTCCGTTATTCTATCCTTATATAGATTAAACAACAAGGGACTGAGACTGTCACCTTGTAAGATGCCAGTCTTTATAAAACAAGTGTTAAGTTGTACTATTATCTCAATGATATTTAGATGTAGGTTATTGCGTTTTGGTGAACACCTCTGTTATACTCTACTACTTCTTAAATAGAAGTAGAGCAATCTTTCCTAAAATCTTGTTGTTCTTCACTCTTTTGGATTTCAGTAGCAATATGTTAACTCAAGAGTCTTGTGAAGAGCTTTAATGTCCAACTAATAGATACAGTAGCACTTTACAAAATTAAAAAATTGGCATATAGTCCAAACTTTCATCACCGTGTTTTAATACCTACATATTTTCCATTTTTAGTGTTCTCAATTCTTCTAATAACCTGCTGGTAATCCGCACTTCCACTTCTTACTCATTAAGTCTATTTTAGGTACATACACTTTATGGGCATTTGAATATAATGCTCTGAAGTGCTTAGTTCATTTCTTCAACGGAATTCTATTCCGAATCTGATTGTGATCCGTTCGTGTAATTCTATATCTCTTTCTCTCCAGGTGTCTTCGTTGATTTATGTCATAGATGTGCCTTTTCTTTTTCTTCCACCAACTTCTTTAATTCCGATCTTAACCACGGCACCTTATTTTTGCGATTTTTTTGATTTATCAAGAGTCATTTTCTCGAGTGCTTCTCCTTGTTCTGGTCATCCCGTGTCTTGCATTATGTGAAAAGTATCCACCTCCATTTTAATTTCAGCTGTAATTATTCTGTCGCTTCTATATGTTAGCTGTTTATGGTAACTACGTTTATGTGCAATCTTTTAACTGACTAATAATACCCACACCACACGATTCTCTTGCGTCCTTATGCCTACAACAACACAGTGCATATAGTCTCCATAATATTTTGATCCTTGGTCTTTCTTCTTTATTTTGGAGATGACGCAAATGTCTATCTTGTGTTTTTTAAGATCTTCGATAATTTCTTAATCTTTTTCGCTGACCTTACATTTCAAAAAGCTATTCGCAACTACATAGTTTTCCTATTTCTTTACATTTCTTTACTTGCGTGTCACCATGTATACTGTTCCAAGACAAAACTTTTGGGTCTTTCAGCAGTTCAATTTTTTAGACAGGAAGCTTGCCTAATCTTGGAACTCGTGATAGGGACCATAATTAAATCAATTTTTTGTGCTATTTGAAATTAATGAAATAACTCGTTAACACATTTTTTATTTAAAACTAGTTTTTTTAATTTAAATTTTTTAAAATCCACTCTTGTGTACACCCTAACATTAAAATGCCTTCAAACATAGTCGACTGTAATCAATTCCGGGGGGTCCACATATTGTCGTAGAGAATGGGAACATTGAAAAAAGGGCCCAAGGGAGTTTTAATTAAACCGAAACGCGCCCCTCCGGATCGGGATTTTAGCGAGGGGCGTCTCTTCCATCTTCGGGGAGGTGGCAGCAGCTGCCGTCATCTCTTGATTTGCGCATAAATTAGAAAAACTAATTACAAGAAGACTCGTGAAGTTAATCCTACCCTCGTTTATTTTCTTAGCGTTAAACTCCTCTTTGTGGTCGAAAATGTTATAACAAAAAAGGAGATAAGGTTGAAATAGATTGTAGTGGAGGAACTTGGGGGTGATCCGTCAGGTCTAAATAGGAGGTTTAACGGTTAGAAGTGTTTGAGTGATGGGCTATTACGGGAAATCGGTTAAGACCTCCTTAGGGTATCTATTCACTAAGATTTTCTGTACAATTTTTATATTAATACTTTCTTGTTACATTTTTAAAAGTGTGATTTAGTAGTATATCAACTCGAAAAAATTTGAATCTCAAGGGTCCTCTTCGAACTAAACCGACAGTGACATTGGTAATACCACCACTAAATAAGCCTAGGGAGTCGAGCTTACCGCTGAAAAATTGTTTCAGCTCGATTCCAGTAGACCAGATAATTTACTGACGGATTTGACTAGATACCACTGTTGTAAAGCTCGATTTGATCGGATACGAAAGGGAGATTTCCGGAAGAAAAATGGAAATTGAATTGTTATTTAGATATCCGGAGATTTGGAAGTTGGGGTAGAAAATAAATGAAACAGCGCGCGAGAAAATAAATGAAATGGTGATAAATCGCTTCGAGTTCTTAACCGCGAGGATCTTTCCTTCGTTTTTATGAACACAGCAAAAAAAGGTAGTTACCAAAAGCTGGATCCAATCGATATGAAACTGAAAGGGGGGATGGTGGTAGCAGATGTTTGGGACTTTATTGTAATATCTAGTAGAGAAGAGGGTGTTCGGGTATTGACCCAAAATATTCTTTTTCCTTCTACTTTTTAATGTAAAATCGATGGATAATAGGTTGATTTAAACTTTAAAATAACTTTTCGATAATGGAAGAATTGCGGTTGTAATCCCTCCCACTAAATAAACAAGGGGTGCCTTTTCGGGGTGATGCCTCAAATGTGTTATTTCTATCCTTTTCATTCTACTACCATACAATATAAGTAGAAAAGGAGCGGACCCAAAATACGCGTTAAATTTATACCCGAAATCCGATAAGCAGATTTTCCAAAAGGGATTAAATTTGCATTAATCCGGTTAAATAATGCACACTTTTGGTCATGTTGAAAAGTCTGAAAATTTATTTATAATAATATCAATATGATTTATTTTTGTTTTAATTATGAATTTACTCGAATTAAAACATACTTTTTCGATTTTGACACTCGAGAACTTTTTCTTGTCAATGTTACGCTATCAACTCAAGTAAGCAACCTAAATTTAACTTAGCTTACTAAAATTGATAACCACTAAGGTATACTAACATTCTTTAGACTATGTGATTTGATATACACTACACTTATTATGTACAATTACAAGCTTTGTTTTTTAATAGTACTAATAGCAACTGCAGTTATTTATCCTTTTTTGTAATTCAGCATTATCAAGTAGTTGGATGACCTCGATGCTAACATTATGGTGTAGCGTTTCTTCAAGACTCTCGACAAATTTCCTAATAGTTTAGTCTCCAGCTCCCATTTCCAAGTCCTTATGGAGGTCGCTATTTGCTAATACAACAAGGCGCAACAATGATGTTTCTTAGCACTTTATTCTGAAATCTTAGTTATAGCTATGATACTTTATCTAGTGCAGACCTATAACTGGGTGCCACATGTCCACATATATGGACAACTTATTTTAGACATAGAAGACATAGAAATATCTCCATATCAGCCAATACATATTTCTATATTTTATTACGAGCCCTTGTCTTTTCTTTTTAACGTGTGCTTTCCAGCGGAGATTGGCAGCAACAATTCGCAGTGTTTGAGTGTTATTGATTATATACTGGCATCTGTTGTCATGCATTATTTAGTGTTGGTCTGCTAGATGACATGGTTTTCCTGGTTAGCTAGCGAGCTTTTTCAATACTTAGTTATTAGGTCCGTTTCTTACACTTCTTTATGTTATTCTGGTTCTTCCTAGTCTTCGTTTGGTTTAAATGTTTGTTCTAGATGATTTTCAAAAACTTCTGCTTTTTATAATGTGGTTTCGCTTTTAATTAGAGGGTTCTGTATTATAGGTCTTTTAGTAGTAGCTTTTTAGATAAGCATTCATAGATTCATCATTGATCATTCTCCAGAATCTGTTTTTTCANTTTTAATTAGAGGGTTCTGTATTATAGGTCTTTTAGTAGTAGCTTTTTAGATAAGCATTCATAGATTTATCATTGATCTTTCTCCCGAATCTCTCTTTTCAAATTGTGAGTAGGGTTATATTTTCTTCAACTGCTTCTGTCCTTTAGCTGTGTTTAATTTTGCTCCCCAGTTGGTGTGTTTTGCATTTAACTCTCCGCCCACTATGAATCTATTAGCTTGCTACCTTAGAAACTGTAAATATTAACGTTTCTTACTTGAACACCCGATAAGGTTTTGTTTTCACACTTACAGATCTCTATTCCAGTCTTTGGAAGAGTTATCAGGGTGAAGGGTATGATAAAGGCTATAAGGTATAGCCTTAAAATTTGAATATGATTGATTGTTAAAGTAACTTTCTGCTATTAAGCACACATCAATCTTATCAATGTTTAGGATTTCTTGTTGTTCGTCTTGATATTGCAAGACTCTATCAGTATTTCATGATATTATTCTAAGGTTAGTATCCATCCCTTTGCTTTGGAATAGTACTTGTATTGCTACGTTCAAGTCTATTTAGTCGCTCATTTCGCTCAAGGTTTTTGAATATTTGTTTTTGTTCCTTTAGCTGAGTTAAAATTGGTTCTAAGAAATGCTCTATAATAATACTAATATACTAATTATACAAACAATAGCTCGGAATTGAACAATCAGTACATGTAATGATTGAATATAATACCATATTAATCGTAGATCAATACATGTTCAATTTAACACATTTTAGAGTAGTTTTTTTCTGAAAAATTAAAACCTGTGGATGATAATGTTATTAATAAAAACTGATCGTAATACATATCAAAAACATAATCCATAAACGATATTCTTTCAACTGGTTCATATTCTTTGTTCGCTTACAATTTTTTGAAAATAAAGATCTTTTTATTTATGGAATATATATAAAAACGATATATATCTTAAATGAAAGCTGAAAATGTATTTTTTGAAGCATAACATTGAATTTGTTTAATAATAAAGCTATCGAGAGTTAATCATTAGACCCAAAAGTTTTTAATTTTTTTTATGTTTTCAGACCTATTGCCATACAAAGATGGTTCAACAACCAATGAATTCCTTCAAAGAATCGTCGACATCCTTTTGGACTTCGTCAAAGCCACCAACGATCGTAAAGAGAAGATTTTAGACTTTCATCATCCTGAGGAGATGCAAAATCTTCTCGATTTAAAAGTTCCAGAAAAAGGTGTCACTCTCCAACAGCTTGTTAATGATTGTGCAACAACTCTTAAATATCAAGTAAAAACAGGTAAGAAATTTTTATATTTTGAGAATGAGGTTGGGGATTCATTTCCGTTTTAATAATAATACTCTTATCTACCCCACAAGCACCTCTACAGATTGTTTGTTATTTAAATCACTTTGTGCTCATAATCCATCGTGCGTTTGCCGACGGTGTCGCTCTCAATGTTTGTGGGGGAACGTTTCGTAATCGAATCAGTGCTTATCAGAGCCACTAACAAGCTATTGAGTCCAGCAGAGGGTGACTTTTGCAGTCTGTTATGATTCCATTACCTGCAGTATTCGCTCGTGGTATCTTCAATTTTTTCGTTGTTGTTAATTCTTTAGGGAGTGCGGATTTTATCTTCCCCATTTATCATGCGTCATCGTAAAAAAAATATATGGTCCTCCTGAACCTAAAACTGTCCATAACAGATAACGGTTACTATCCGGATGGTGTTGGGCATCTTATCATTGAATTATGAAGTTTTGCGGAGGCAAACAAAGTATTCATCAGAATAGGGGAGGTTCGAGAGGGTTCTTCGTTGGAGTGGCGATGACACGTGCCATCAGGAAGCTGTTGTTGTGTATTTATTATCGCCTGTCTAACCACAAACACACCCTTATTGAATTCAATTGAATTGAATAAATAAAATTTCAAAATTTTCTTTTTATTTTGAAATCTGAATCGTTTAAGAAAAATCGTTGGGAAATCTCGAACTGAGGGGAACGATGAACCATACGAAGGCACGTCAGTAACATCTGTTCAAGTAGTACATCTGCGACGGCGGCAGTATGAGAGAGGCATTAAAAGGCGAGCAGAGGGGCCCCATGCCGGGGGCGGCGGAATCCCGAGATTACAAGGATTACCGAGCAATCCCACTTCGGACTATCAAAACCCGGCTCTTATTTGTAGACTCGCTTATATTTGTTGACGTTTATGGACGAGGGGGTATTTCGAGAAAATAATTTTCACTCTCAAATAAGAACGAAACGAAATTAAGAAAGTTTCGTATATTCTTTTGGAATTGTTATATTATGTTGCTATTTTTCGAAATCTCTTTAACATGCCTAGATAATAATGTTAGGTTATATTTACATATACTTATAATGTTATCGGTTAACAATGTTTACTGTAGTAAAAGCTTGTACTAAAACGAATTTGACGTAAACATTAATCCACTTAATTTTCGAGGTAATTTCAACAATGACCATAACAAGTGACATGATTACACAAGAATATAGTATATTTTAATGTCTTATTATTAAAACCAGAAATTAGTTAAAATTGAAATTGAATTAATATCTTCGGAAAATGATCAATAATTTTTGAAAACGTTTAGTTTTTTTATTATAATTATTGTTAATGATATTTTTTGTTGGTGGCGCTCCGATGCAATTAAATGGACATGTCGCGTCAAATGTAGCGATCCCCTAAGCTTTATGGGGTGCAATTATCGGAGCATTCCGAAACTGGGGTAATTTTTAATCTGACGTGGGACCGAGTTCGAAAAGGGCTTGGAATCATGGGGGAGCTTTGAGTGCCCTTAATTGAGGATTTGCCGTCGGGGTGCAAAACTTTGCTCACCCCGGAGTGTGCCTAACCCTCTCTTTTTCTCTTTTACTACTCCAATAACAGATTTTTATTGTGGCTATTAATCTTCTATTCATATATAAATTTTAATGATACTTCTTAAAAAGAAAGAAAATAGTAGTATCCGACTGAAAATTCGGTTTCGGCCAAAATATGAGTTTCGGTAAATGTTGTTGTTTCGGCTAAAAATCAACCGAACCTTATGCAAGAACCGAAACTTTGTTGCTCTAGTCTTGGCTGGTGTTCGTCTATTCTCATATTTGCTTTGGCCTGCGCGTACGGAAGTTTCATCTTGTTTCAAGCAAGATGAAGGATACCTTGTGAAGCGTATACAAAAAGTATGTAAAGAGAGAAAGGCGAAAAACGAGTTGGGATTTCTACGATAAAAGCATTGTTGACTTGTCAAAAGCCATGTAAACTTTGCAAAAAACTGTATTCTTTGGGCAGTAACGAACCAAAACAACAAACTATACATGGATTGAAGCAACTTTTGTCCAAATTTCACAATTCAAAGGATCGACAACATTTGAAACAATCACAAATGGATGCGAAGAAAAATGAAGCTAATTTAAAAAAGATAGATGTGATAGATATAACAAAAAAATGATGAGAGAACCGTAATGGACAGGTGATCATGCAAAGATAAAGAGAATTAATAATAATACTTTAATAGTGGAAAATACTACTTTTAGACATTTTAATTGAGCAGATCCAAACGTCAATTGTAAATACAGTTTTAAATCTGAAAAATATCACTAATGCCCTAAACATATGACAAAGTGAAGGCAAAAGTAATGGACATAATTGAACAATGCAAATGGTGAAGTTGCACGACAGATGTATGGACAAATACATCAAAGTCGTGATCACTACTGAGTTTGACAAGTCATTTCATAATGGGATCACAAAGATTGAAAGTTATATTGGAAGCTACTGTACTAGAAAAGGACAACACCGGCGTTTACGTTTCAAAAAAGCTTATTCGAATTATGGGTGAATGGAACATAAACAACAAAATTTTTCTATTCGTGAAATATAGCAAATATGGGTTGTGCAACTCGTATGGCGCTATTTGATTCTATAGGTTATTTACTTCACACTTTGCAGTTGGTCTTCAATGATGCCTTATTCTAAGCAGAAGGCATAGAAACAGCGACAAGAAGATGTAAAGAATCTCACAAGACTCACTTTCGAAGGAGTGCACGAGTGATCAGGAAACTACAAGACAGTCTTTACTACAAGACATAGACGTGCGGTGGAATTTTTTTTTATTTTTTCTATATTATGCATAGCACAATTGTATAACACCTAGTAAATATATACTATAAGTACGAAGGTTTTCACGGCCGGAGTTATTTGAACTAAAATTAGGACTAAAACTAGAACTAACACTAGAAACTTTCGGGTTTTCCCGTGCGTCTTTGAAGAAAAGGTTTGACGTTTCGGATGCCATGTTGCAACCTTCTTCAGAAACTGGTTCGAAGTGAAATACATACTAATTAGTTACTTATTTTTAACACCAAATTAAATTAGATAATGTTTTGCAGCTTTTCCCAGTGGTCTTTATTTTATTATATCAAATGGTCAATATTTTTACCATTTTAAGACCAATTACAAAAACGCGCACACTGCGATACGCGAAACACACATTTAGGATTAGGGCACTAGGTCACTAAACTAAGTGGTCTTTTTACCGACCACTTTCAGATTTCTGGTTTGCTTATTTTCATAAGTTGACCAGGACAAATTCTTTTCAGTAATCATCTTTGATGCGTCTCTGTACTTTTCTTCCCAATTAAGATTCAGTTTTACTGTGCCGTTATTTACCACATGTGTTAAAAATCCTTCTTTAATTATGCCTTTAAGTAATTTATAAATGTCATCATATTGTTTGACATCATAAATTAATATTGGTGGGGGTAGTAATACCTTTGTTTTGTTTTTTACGTCAAATTGTACGGGTTGCTTTTCAGGTTTGCTTTCAATTTCTGAAGACAGTTTAGATGGCGAGGTTTCAGTTTTCTGTTTTTTGTTTCTTTTAGCTTGTTTTATTATCCAGTCAGTCTCCGAAGCTAACTCATCTTCGTCTGTGGTATAGACCACTTTGGTGGTTACTTGAAGGTTAAAATTTTGTTGGGTTTTTAGACCTTCTATAATGCCCTTTAGTGCGTTGCTCCTTTATTTATTCTATTTCTTTTTTAAGTTCTGTGGAATAGCACGATTTAACAAAAACGTGTATTATTAGGATTAGTCATGTTTTTTACTTTGTGATGAATACAGTATTATTAAAATTCTTGGATTTTGTCTTTTATTTATGTTACGATTTCAGCCGAAACTGAGACAAAAAAGACTTTTATTTTTTATAAATAATTTAAAAAAGAATTTGATAAAAAAAAATCTGCTCCACCGTGACAATGCTTTTTCACATTGCCGTGACCAGGATTCGAACCTGGGTTACTACGGCCACAACGTAGGGTCCTAACCACTAGACGATCACGGCTACCGGAGCAGATACAGCAGCTTATGTAAGCATATTTTACAGAGAACGTAACGATATCGAAAAATTATTCAAGCGTAACAATAACAGTTTTTTACAAAAAAAAATCGCTTCACCGTGACAATGTTCTTTCACATTGCCGTGACCAGGATTCGAACCTGGGTTACTACGGCCACAACGTAGGGTCCTAACCACTAGACGATCACGGCTATCGAAGCAGATATTGCGTCAAACTTCAGAGCTGTTTACGTAAAAGGTGACTCACTTTGTTTATTAGATATCTAAGTTCAATTTATCTATTAACCTTTCTATTACTGCTAAAGGAATCTTAATGTAATGTGTTGCATACATCTTGTGTTGCATTAGAAATAATTTCAAAATAAAGTTACATCTAAGTCCGGTTTTAGTTGCTCAGATAAGGAACCGTGAACGCATTTCGACAATTTGATCATCAATAAAATATATTTTTGAATACGTTTTTTTGTATACCACTACTAGTAAGTTTAAATGCAAAATTTGTAAATATGTGGTTTTTCTTCACTCAACAAAATGATCTTCTTTTTGTATAAGCAAAAATATGATAAGCTTGAACCAAAAGTAATAATCTTTGTTCAAGAATATTTTTTACTTAGTGAAGTATAAATTTACAGATACAAAAATGAAATATAAGCAAACAAGTTTTGATAGTTACCCAGATAATGTTAAAATATAAACATGAACCACAGGAAGTCAAATTGATTATTTAATCGCAGAAACAGCAACTAGTTGTCAACATGTTGAAGAAACATGTTTCGACAAAAAAAGAGAACCTTGCATGCAATGAGCTATACAGTACCGTAATATTTTCTGAATACATTTTCAGCCTGGGGTGGGCTTTGGCTTTTTGGCAATTTCAATCCTCAGAACCCTGGCATCATAATCCACTCTATCTTTCCATCTCGTGCGGGGCCTGCCCCTACTTTTTGTACCTTCCATGTTTCCTATAAAAGCTGTGCTCATAGCTCTTTTCTAGGGCATTCTGATAATGTGTCCAGCTTATCTAAGTCTTTGTGTCAAATCTCGGAGTTCAAAATTCATTCTTCTCCGTATTCCATCTGCTTCTATCACTGGTCCAAATATTCCACGGAGTATTTTTCTCTCAAAAACTCAACGTGCGCTTTTGTTCGCTTCTATCTGATTCCAGGATTCCGCTCCGTAAGTTAAAACTGGTCTGACCAAGGTCTTACACATCCTCAGCTGGCCCCTCTGGAAATTGGACGACTATTTTACCAAAATAATACATATATCGATAAATAATAAAAAAATATGCAACATAATTCTTTTAAAATCAAATTTTATTAATAATAATTGTTTAAACTGAAACAAGTCCAGCAGCATCCGAGGAATTGTTTGCAAAATGCGTTCTAATCTTTCTGGTGTGATTTGCAACATCGCTGCATTAATTCTAGTAATAACTTCGTCAGCATCTTGGGGATGCGTAGAATAAACATTTTCTTTAAAAAAATCCCACACATCTCCGACGCAAATTATTGCGAAACTAGTTTCAAGAACCAAAACTGAAGCAAATTCTAGCCCGGGCAGAAAGACTACGGTCGATAGCCCTTTTGAGCCAACGCTTTTTTACGCTTTTTCTCTGTTGTTACTATGTTTTCTACTACGTTACTATATATCTTGTTTAATTTTGTTTAAAAGTGAATTGCAAAAATGTTGCCACGGAATGTTATCATTTTCGTAGAGTGGCTAAACTTTAGTAACTCCGGTTATCTCGCACTACTAAATGGACTAACCATGGGATTTTAATCTACAACGTTTAGAATTTGTTCCTCTAATCGTGCTGTTCGTCTTTCAAGGTGGACCAGCATTTGATTTTTAGGTATAAACCAGTTTCGCATAAACATTGATGGAGTCTCCGAAATACATCTTCGGTTCGGAAAACGTAATCGCTTCGTAATTCTGCTACTGTGCTGTCAGCATTTCCCCCACAGAAGCGTACAAGTCAGCATATATAGTCAACATCTTGGCAAATATCGTTGTAGCAGACATTGTAACAGCTTTGATTTGCTCACACATCCCATCCAAGTAACAAAATTCTTTTTGACTAGATTCATCTTTATAAAGCAATTCACCTCTAGTATTGCAGAATATTGTAGAAGAATATTCATACCATATCATGTACCACCTATGTAGGAAATTATGCAACGACATAATATTAGAATTCTGCGAATATATCCATATTAACAAAGATCAATTTGTTCTTTATCTAGTATTTCTGCAAAAGCAGCGTATGGGAAAACTATTTACATTTATTTACAACATATTTTATGAGGATAACTGTAAGATTTTCTGCGTAATGAATATATGGAGGAGTCTTTAATAAATACTATGTATTTTAAGCTTTTAAGCTAACCTAAGTACTGCGCATACTTTTCGAGCACATCTTCAACATTATTACAGAAATACAAAAATATTTCAATCTAAGAAAAAATAAAAACCTTTATCGATATCTCACCCCTTATAAAAAGGGCTTCTGACATATCTTCTCCTGTCATTTTCCGATCCGATAGACGCCACCCTACAGCCCCCATTCACGCACAGATTAGCGCGACTCCTGCCACTTCAGCAGCAGGAGTAGAACACCCTAACATCAAGCAGGAGGCACCACATTTCCTTCCGTTTTCAGCAGGAATGCATTCAATCCCTTTTCGTCCCTTTCGACACTATTGTGACAATGATTCGTTTTCTAAATCCAAAATCGAACTTGGTATTCGGGGTTAAAATGAGCAATTAGGAAATGTAAAATAAAAACGATCTAATTTCTTTTTGTGCCCATCGCGACTAACGTCTGGGAATAATGTTTTTGTCTACGCTTGACTGGCATTCAATTATTTTGGGCAACCGCCCGAGATAATGTCCAATTGATGGTTGGGATCTAGATGTTTTTAGGAGGGTGAAGTTTTTGGGGTTAAAGGATTTTTTGTTATTGCTGGTTTTATTTCATTTAACAGGACACCCGCATTTCTTCAATCAGTTATCTTGCGGTCTTGATCTTGTATCTATGGCTGGGGAATGGCTTACCGCAACAGCCAACACGAATATGTTTACGTACGAGATCGCTCCAGTTTTTATTTTAATGGAAACTGTGGTTATGACTCATATGAGAGAAATTATCGGGTGTAACTGGAAAAACGGTGACTCGATCTTAGCTCCAGGTATAAAAATAAAACATTTTTAAAGAATTCATCTTGAACGCTGGGTATTTTATTTTAGGGGGATCAATATCGAATCTATATGCTTTTCTCGCAGCTAGACACAAGATGTTTCCCAACTATAAAGAAAAAGGAATTGCTACGATTCAAGGTCAGCTGGTGATGTTTACATCCGATCAGGTATTTTCGTTTTGGATCGTTTACTTCAGGAAATTTGACCGATGAGTTTTCTTTATAGAGCCATTATTCCGTGAAATCGTGTGCTTCAGTTTGCGGCTTGGGAACCGACAATTGTTTGATGGTTCCGTCGGACGTTAACGGCCGAATGATTCCATCTGAACTCGAAAAACTCATCGTCGAACGGAAAGCAAAGGGCCACATCCCATTTTTCGTTTGTTGCACTTCAGGTACAACCGTTTTAGGTTCTTTCGATCCAATCAACGAAATTGCCGATATTTGCGAAACATATGGCTTGTGGTTACACGTAGATGTAAGTACCTAAAAATAAATGTTTTTTAACAAGAATCATATCAATATATATTTATTTTTTTATTCCAATCAATCAATAGATATAAAAAAATACATTGATCCGGTTTTATTGTTACGATTTATTATCTTACAACATTCATCATTTTAAAAATAATTTTATTTGTTTATTGTTTTTAAGGCTGCTTGGGGTGGAGGACTTTTACTTTCTAAAAAATACAGGCATCCACGTTTAAGCGGCGTCGAAAGGTAAGCTCTTTTGATGGATAAGATTAATTAGGATCGAAAGTTCGTTCCTTTAAAGTTAGCAGCAACACCATTTTAAAGTGACACTTCGTGTTACACCACCAAGTGGAGAAGTAGGTGTGCCTCAAACGTCATCTCGAGAGTGATTGATGGTGGTGTAATTAATAACAGGGTTTGGAGTGCCAACTGTGAACAACGGTTACCCTCCAATGTTTCAAACTAATCCACAAAAAATTATACAAAAACTTGAACCAAAATTTAGTTTTTTTAAAGATTACTTTTTTTTAAGATTACAATTAAATTAATGAAGGTTATAAAAAGGATGGAACATGAAGTGTGTTTCTATCCAATTGCTTTTTTTCGCATTGGGATTTTTTTAAGACCCACAAAATGCAAATTGAATGGGTTCTTATCGGCTTACCACACTTTTCTTGGAGGGTGTTGAGGTTTACTTGTGGATCGATACTGCAAATATTTTTGGGGAAAATAAAGAGAGGGATGAAAAGAAAATTTTTTTTAATATTGAAATTTTGGTTGGTGATAAAACCATATACAGGTGTCCCGTTAAGGATACGGAGCGGCTGTATCTCGACAACGGTAAGGCCTAGAGCTTTCAGAAAAAGATCCTTATGGGCAAAGTGGGCAAGAGAAATGGCTGGAAATTGTTTTGAAGTTCGTAATTCGACCGCTAGGAGGAGTAACTAATAGTAACATATAAGCAATGTGTAACTCTTGAGGAATGTTGTGGACAATTGTTTTCGGGGTTCCCAGATTATATGGAATCGCATTGCGCATCAATGTGATTTACAAATTCATACAGATGTTTGAATAGGCTACACATTGCCAGTTTCCCGTAATCACTAAGCCAATCTTAAAAACACTTCTAGAGAAAAATATCTTTCTTTGTCGTAATTTCATCCCACATTTTTGCATCATGTTCGAAATATTGAAAATAAATCATCATACGCTTTATCATACCCTTCTGCGTTAGTAAATGACATATTTACAAATACCATGGTTACGTGATTTGTTTTTCTCAATGAGGTAACTGGATCAGATTGATGGCACTCGAGTTTTTAACATTTTTTTCTATAATTCAAGAACGTATGGCGATATCGAAATGCGGTTTTCACTAATATTTAGCAAATTTTAAAGTGACTAAGGATCTGTGAAGTAAATACACTGTTGGAAATAATTCACGAGCACACCCTGTATAATCTGAACGCGTGTGTCTAGCGCAATAAAATTTAGTATGGAAGTAGTACTAAAGTAGTGTAACTTACTCTCACAAGGAGAGCGGCACAACTCTGCTGGGANAGAGAGGGATGAAAAGAAATTTTTTTTTAATATTGAAATTTTGGTTGGTGATAAAACCATATACAGGTGTCCCGTTAAGGGTACAGAGCGGCTGTATCTCGACAACGGTAAGGCTTAGAGCTTTCAGAAAAAGATCCTTATAGGCAAAGTGGGCAAGAGAAATAGCTGGAAATTGTTTTGAAGTTCGTAATTCGACCGCTAGGAAGAGTAACTAATAGTAACATATAAGCAATGTGTAACTCTTGAGGAATGTTGTGCACAATTGTTTTCGGGGTTCCCAGATTATATGGAATCGCATTGCGCATCAATGTGATTTACAAATTCATACAGATATTTGAATAGGCTACACATTGCTAGTTTCCTGTAATCGCTAAGCCAACCTTAAAAACACTTCTAGAGAAAAATATCTTTCTATGTCGTAATTTCATCCCACATTTTTGCTATGCAGTTGCATCATGTTCGAAACATTGAAAATAAATCATCATACGCTCTATCATACCCTTCTGGGTTAGTAAATGACATGTTTACAGTTACCATGGTTACGTGATTTGTTTTTCTCAATGAGGTAACTGGATCAGATTGATGGCACTCGAGTTTTTAACATTTTCTTCTATAATTCAAAAACGTATGGCGATATCGAGATGCGGTTTTCACTAATATTTAGCAAATTTTAAAGTAACTAAGAATATGTGAAGTAAATAGTACCGTTCCAATTAACTTTTTTTCAAAAATCATAAAAATATGTAATCGCTGCAAATAACGCCCTCTAACTTATTTGTTTTAAACCAAACGGTCTTACTGAAAACATATTTTAAAAGAGCATAAAATGGTCTTTCAAACAAGACCAAAAATCAATCAGGAATCAAACTATCAACCAGGATCTTTAGTGTATTAATCTTACTAATTTGTAAGTGACTCATTGTTGGTCCTCTAACATTTATAAGTAGTATTCTTTATTGAGAGGATCATCTTAACCATTTTCTTCCTTGATAAAGAATCTTCTTGCTCAAAGTGCTTTCTTGAAGCATTTTGGATTTATAACGCTTTGTTGCTTGGTTGTCTTGGACGGATTCCTGCCTCCCGTTCTTTTACCTTAAAGGAAACTCCAAATTAGCCCTTTATCGTTACAACTATATGCTGGTATCTATAACCTTGAACTATTAAACCTTGCCATTGAACATTTTGCACCAATCTTCAAGTATCTACATTCCNATTAAAATGTAAACATTTGAAAACGCATTGGCCTCCCCCTCCCTTATTATAATAGATATTAGAAATATTGCAAAACAAAAGCGATGCGGTATTATCCAAGTTACTAAATGATGTCAAAGTTATAGCTTCAAAATTATTCCATTTTCATCAAAATAATTTCCAGCTATTTCTCTTGCCCACTTTGCCTATATGGATTTTTTCCCCAAACCTCTAGGCCTGATCCTTATCGAGATACAGCCGCTCCGTACCCTTAACGGGACACCCTGTATTAATATTGAGGAATTCTATGTAATTCATATTATGGTTGTTTTATCATGACCTAAACTTTAACTTTATGAAAGTACTGTCTAAATCTTATGCAGCTTATTAGTGTTGTACATATCAAAAATACTTTTTAAGTGCTGGAATTGGAACCTGTACGGACTAGATTCTATTCTGCCTCTGCTCTCTTGCAGAAAGTTTCTAACTATCAACCAGGATCTTTAGTGTATTAATCTTACTAATTTGTAAGTGACTCATTGTTGGTCCTCTAACATTTATAAGTAGTATTCTTTATTGAGAGGATCATCTTAACCATTTTCTTCCTTGATAAAGAATCTTCTTGCTCAAAGTGCTTTCTTGAAGCATTTTGGATTTATAACGCTTTGTTGCTTGGTTGTCTTGGACGGATTCCTGCCTCTCGCTCTTTTACCTTAAAGGAAACTCCAAATTAGCCCTTTATCGTTACAACTATATGCTGGTATCTATAACCTTGAACACTATTAAATCTTGCCATTGAACATTTTGCACCAATCTTCAAGTATCTACATTCCTGCTGTGTAGATGGCAGAATTATCATTAATATCTTATTATTTCATTTCATTGTTCCAAAATAGGGTTTCCGGAAAACAGTACAGTTAAGTGACAAGCGTCTCCATCCTCTATTTTCTTGGACTCAAAGTATCACTCATGGTATACTTTGATACTATATCTTATTGTAGAAAAAGTAGTTTTTAAGAAACTAATTACATTGTCTAGTTTTGTACACCCATCTTATTGACGTCCTCCGTCACACCATCTATCTACCGTAGTTTAGGTCTTTCTCTACTTCAAGATCCTATAGGTTCTGCCATAAATCTCTTTTTGCTGCCCATCTTTATAGTTGACACTGTATCCCTGTTTCTAGATGATCCATAGCTATTATGTAGTTTAAAGTTGCACTTACACAAATCCCCCAGGATATTCAACGCAGTTTTCCTTTCAAATATGGCTAGCACAGATTCATCTTTTCTTATTAGGGTCCAAGTTTCGGAACCATATACCAAAATGAGTGTTATAAGAGTCTTATAAAGTGTTTCGAGAAATCTTATGGCTTCGTAGGTATTTGGATAGGCTGATATAGCATTTATTCGCACATAAGTAGTTTCTAGATACTGAAATTCTGCGACAACCTTTAAGTTCTGGTCAACAATTGTGATGTTTTGTCCACCATCTCGCGGTCTTCTATTATCCATAACTGACTTAAACTTTGTTTTTGTCTCATTAATAAGGAGGCCCATCCCCCAGAGATTCCACAGTCAACACAGCTTCTTTAACTTTCCTTGCTGATTTTGATATAACAACCACGTCATCAGCATAAGCAAGAATCTGAGTGGATTTATTAAGAATTGTGGCTCTAGTGTTTAGTTCTGCATCTCTTACGACCTTTTCAATGCTATATTATACAGGAGGCAGGTTATCTCAGATTGATTTTAAGATAATAAATCGATATTTATTTCAAAATATATACATAAAAGTTAACTATCAGAAAATAAATAAGTTTTAGTTACAAATTTGTTATAAAAAAGTTTGACGATCGTTTTATACCTAATTTTAAAAGTTTCCCATTGTGAAACCCGCATTTCGTTGTGTAAAAAGCAAAATCATGTCAGAGCAAGCTGGAATTCAAGCTTAATCTCGTTCCGTGAGAGTCATACATCTGTTCAAAGTCGTACCCTTAGTATTCAAAGCTCAAAGTACAAGTACAATCCCTGTTTGTATTTGATCTACGGTTATTTAAACAACTTTATTTTTCCCGTTTTAGAGCTCACTCTGTAACTTGGAACCCCCATAAACTACAAGGAGCTTTGTTACAATGTTCAACGATTCATTTCAAAGAAAACGTAAGTAAAAACATATCGAGTTTCATCACTTTTTGCTTGTGCTTGATAATAAATAGGTTTGGGGAATATAACCGAGATAAACGAAAAGAATGTTGCGAACCCCTCTAGGTTTGTTGTGTTCCGGAATTTTCAATTTAACATTCCGGAGATTCTACGACCGTGTTACATCGACTGGCAACCCTCGCGTGATTCGAAATTCAATAGATAGTGAATGTGAAATAAAAATAAAATTTTTTAATGTTTTTTTTTTGTTTTCAGGGGTTATTGTTGAGTTGTAACTCCATGTCGGCCGATTATTTGTTTATGCAAGATAAACTTTACGATATCCAGTACGATACCGGCGATAAAGTAATTCAATGTGGGCGTCATAATGACATTTTCAAATTGTGGCTGCAATGGAGAGCTAAGGTAATTAAGATAAAATAATTTTAGAAAAAAAAAATTCCCCAGGTGAGGCTCGAACTCACAACCCCGGCATTGCTCACGACTACTGTCTTATAAGTACCGTGCGCTAACCAATTGCGCCACTGGGGACACGAGACTCGATTCCGAACAACAAAATATCAAACCCGGGTGTTAAAACAGCTTTTAAGGACTTCTATTTAATCGAAACAGTTATTTTAGACGCTCGGTTTTTAACTGGCGATTTCAAATTATTTATTAAAAATTTTAAACGGATGTGTTTGCGACGGTTAGGCAAATTCTTGAACGCACACGACTCGGCGTAGTATATTTATATCTTAGATTTACCTTTCACTGATGTGGGATTGAAGTCGAGATAAAATTAGAATTTCAAATAATAAACAGATTAATTAAAATAATTTTTAAAATTACAATAAATATAATGGAATAATATTAATCTACAGATTTTCAATACTTCAATAAAGTTGTATCTTTGAAGTATTATGCAACAAATCATATTTTCGTATTTTCTCAATATTAACGCATCTAAGGGCAAAAGTGCAAGAGAGCAACATTGTTAAAATTAAAACTTGCTACAAGTTTGGTTCTAAAAGTTTATGTGTAATATGCTTAGATTTCCCAGTGATACCATCAACAATTTGGAAAAAACAACGAATTCATCAAATTTTCATATTCTTGTATTTTTCTCGATATTGACGCATCTAAGAGCAAAAGAGCAACAGAGCAATATTGTTAAGAATAAAATTTGCTACAACTTCTGCTCTAGAAGATTTTTTATGACATGGACCAATTCCCGAATATTACCATTAATTACTTGAAAAAGCAACAAATTCGTCAAATTTTCATATTTTTGTATTCTTCTCAATATTGACGCATCTAACGACAAAAATACAAGAGATCAATATTGTTAACAATAAAATTTGGTACACTTTTGTTCTGGAAGTTTTTTTTGTAACATGCTTAGATTCCACAATGTTACCATCAACAACTTGCAAAAAACAACGAATTCATCAAATTTTCATATTCTTGTATTTTTCTCAATGTTGACGTATCTAAGAGCAAAAGTGCAAGAGAGCTATATTGTTAAGAATAAAATTTGGTACACTTTTGTTCTGAAATTTCTTTTTGCAATATGCTTAGATTCCACAGTGTTGCCATTAACTACTTCCAAAAAACAAGGAATTTATCAAATTTTCAAGTTTTCGTACTTTTCTTGACATTGATGCATCTAAGAGCAAAAGCGCAAGAGAGCAATATTGCTAAGATTAAAATTTGGTACAACTTCTGTTCTAAAAGATTTTTTATGACATGCTCCGATTCCCGAGTGTTACCATTGATAACTTGAAACAGCAACAAATTCGTCAAATTTTCATATTTTCGTATTTTTCTCGATCTTACCGCATCTAAGAACAAAAGTACAAGAGAGCAATATTGTTAAGAATAAAATTTGGTACACTTTTGTTCTGAAAGTTCTTTTTGTAATATTCTTAGATTCCACAGTGTTTTACAATCAACAACTTGGAAAAAACAACGAATTCATAAAATTTTCATATTCTTGTATTTTTCTCGATATTGATGTATCTAGGAGCAAAAGTACAAGAGAGCAATATTGTTAAGAATAAAACTTGGTACACTTTTGTTCTGAAAGTACTTTTTGTAATGTGCTTAGATTTCACAGTATTACCATCAACAACTTGCAAAAAACGACTTCATCAAATTTTCATATTCTTATATATTTCTCGATATTGACGCATCTTAGAGCAAAAGCGCAAGAGAGCAACATTGTTAAGAAGAAAATTTGCTACAACTTCTGTTCTAAACAATTTTTTATGACATGCTCCGATTCCCGAATATTACCATTAATAACTTGAAAAAGCAACAAATTCGTCAAATTTTCAAATTTTCGTATTCTTCTCAATATTGACGCATCTAAGAGCAAAAATACAAGAGAGCAATATTGTTAACAATAAAATTTGGTACACTTTTCTTCTGAAAGTTCTTTTTGTTATACGCTTAGATTCCACAGTGTTACCATCAACAACTTGCAAAAAACAACGAATTCACCAAATTTTCATATTCTTGTATTTTTCTCAATGTTGCCGTATCTAAGAGCAAAAGTGCAAGAGAGCTATACTGTTAAGAATAAAATTTGGTACACTTTTGTGCTGAAAGTTCTTTTTGTAATATGCTTAGATTCCACAGTATTGCCATCAACAACTTGCAAAAAACGACTTCATCAAATTTTCATTTCTTATACATTTCTCGATATTGACGCATCTTAGAGCAAAAGCGCAAGAGAGCAACATTGTTAAGAAGAAAATTTGCTACAACTTCTGTTCTAAACAATTTTTTATGACATGCTCCGATTCCCGAGTATTACCATTAATAACTTGAAAAAGCAACAAATTTGTCAAATTTTCATATTTTCGTATTCTTCTCGATCTTGGCGCATCTAAGAGCAAAAGTGCAATAGAGGAATATTGTTAATAATAAAATTTGGTACATTTTTGTTCTGAAAGTTTTTTTTGTAATATGCTTAGATTCCACAGTGTTACCATCAATAACTTACAAAAAACAACGAATTTATCGAATTTTCATATTCTTGTATTTTTCTCGATATTGACGCATCTAGGAGCAAAAGTGCAAGAGAGCAATATTGTTAAGAATAAAATTTGGTACACTTTTGTTCTGAAAGTTCTTTTTGTAATATGCTTAGATTCCACAGTGTTACCTTACCATCAACAACCTGCAAAAAACGACTTCATCAAATTTCCATATTCTTGTATATTTCTTGATATTGACGCATCTAAGAGCAAAAGTGCAACGGAGCAACATTGTTAAGAATAAAATTTGCTACAACTTCTGTTCTAAAAGATTTTTTATGACATGCTCCAATTTCCTAGTGTTACCATTAATAACGTGAAAATGCAACAAATTTATCAAAATCTCATATTTTCGTATTTTTCTCGAAATCTATGCATCTGACAGCAAAAATGAAAGAAAGTAATATTGTTAAGAACAAAATTTGCTACAACTTCTGCTCTAAAAGTTTTTTTGTAATATGCTTAGATTCCCCAGTAATACTGTATTTTAATAGGGCGATGAAGGTTTCGAAAAACATATGGATCGTTTAATGGAACTTTCTGAATATATGGTGAAAAGAATTAAAGAGCAACCCGATAAATTTTATCTTATCATGGAACCTGAAATGGTCAATGTCAGCTTTTGGTATATTCCAACAAGATTAAGGAAGATGCCTCATACTTCAGCAAGAGAGGCGGAATTGGGAAAAGTAATTTATCAAATTCTTTTTTGCTCAAATTATAAGTTTCTTTTTGATTTAGATCTGTCCGATTTTAAAAGCTCGTATGATGGAAAGTGGGACATTAATGGTCGGTTATCAACCGGATGATAGAAGGCCGAACTTTTTTAGAAACATTATATCTTCAGCTGCGGTCAAAGAAAGCGACGTCGATTTCCTCTTGGCTGAAATGGACCGACTTGGACACAACCTATAAGTAACACCAAAGATAGTTGTTGACCATATATAGATTATATCATTACTTTCAACACAAATATTACTCTTTAAAAAAATCGTACACTTATATCTGTACTTGGATGTTCTTTTTTGATCGATTGAAACAAAATCTCTTTTATTTGTTAAAAATGGTTAAATAAAATGATTGGGATTGAAATTTTGGAAAAGCATCAAGTGTATTTGATGAATTAGTTGCTTCTTTTAGATGTAAAACATATCAAATCGTTAACATATCATTGTTAAATTTTATTTTAAAATTGATTGTTACGCAGAGTGTTTTTGTTTTTAAGAAAAAATTTTAAATTAAATAAAAGTTGTAATTTTAATACTCAGAGTCAATTAAAAAAAGTAATATTAAATAATTATTATAGTTATAATTTAATTAATCATGTTGATTTATTAGAAGCTTTTTATTGAGAGAAAACCTTGATTTTGAAAAAATGTCAAAAAAAATATGTGTATATAGGGTGTTTCACTCAAGCTTAAGAGATTTTGGAACACTTTATATATGTAAAATAAAAAAGAAAACCAACTTTATCAGTATAAAAACATATCATGTTAGGCGATTAGATGTTATCGTTATTAACAAAACTAATTGATCAGATACACAAAAGAGATTCTTTTTCATTACATCAAAGAAGAAATCATCCATTATTGTCTGTTGTAAATGTTGCAAATATAATTAAACGAAATATAACGAATCTTCCTGAATAAAAAATTATAGTCTTCAAAGTTCAAGAAGAATCGAAATAGGTGTATAAAAAACTATGTTGAGTAAACAATAAAAAAACACTACAAAAATATAAATAAATGTGCTATAGCGTATATTTCTAATACTGGTAATTAAAAATCGATTAACCAACAAAAAATGTGTAGCTAACGCAATAATGTTGTATAGAGAGAAAAAAGTGGATTAAATTATTTGATATTTGTATAATATATTTGCTTCGCTGATTGTATATTATTCCAGGTTTGTACAGATTTGTTGAGTTTTAAATATTTATTTATAGGAAATGTTTTAAACCTAAACGACTGCCAAAAACGAAAAAAAAAAAATGAACAAAAATATTAAATAATTTATTTATTCGCTAACTCAATATTTATGAATACTAATATGAATGTTATAGCTTCAAAAAAAATCATTATTTAACCTCTGTATAAATAAGAATCCTATGGCAAAAAAAGAAGTATGCACAGAAAAAAAAAATAAATTAAAAATATCTATGAAAAAATAAATCTATGACGGTATATCGATGGACAAAGGCCGTGATTCAAAAACGTATAAGTGTACAAATATATAAAAAGAAAAAAATTCTTACTGTTGTTGACTGATCAATTTACAAAAAATGTGTATAATTATACATGAAACAACAAAACACGAAAGTCTTCCAAAAAAAACTTAAGTAGTAGTCGCACCTCCTAATTATTATTGTAGATTTTAAGTGTAAAATAAAAAGAAAATAATTGGTACGAAAGTATTTGTTGTTTTTAGTGTAATTTAGCTGCTTGTGTCATCGACGTCTCACTTTTGTCAAAAAAGAAATAAGCAATTGTATCGACAGAATTTCATTAATTAATAAAAATGTGTACAGTCTATAATTATTTTTTTTTCAATCAATTCTGATTCCAATTAAAGTTGTGATATACAGCCTGTAGAATGATGTTATGATTGAGTTTTGAGTCTTAGTTCTGATTATTTGACACTATCACCTCGTCCTATTACTATTTAAACTCTTCAACGTCACTTTGTCACTATCATCCCATCATTTCGTACTTTATATCTACCCCGATACATTCTGTTCCTCATTAATTACATTACATAATGATTTTGTATGGATGATTTGAAATATTTCCTATTACAGAGACTCAGATATATTCTTTTATGGGCACGTCTCATTTGTCTTTCCAAATAACAGACATAAAGGAAGACATTTCATAGTGGAGACTGAAAGTGTATATTAGAGATGCTTACGATTTAGAAGTACTAATAAATATTTCTGTACATAAATGGTGCAGAACTTTTCCGTCATATGGAAGTTGATAAAGAAGCTTATAAGGTCAACAAACTTACATTTGATATGAAAACCACATAAGTAGCATAATGAACAAAACCAAACATTTATTGCAAGAATGTTAAATTTTAAGAAGGAATTCGCGAATTTCATACCCTTTTGATGATCAAACATTCAATCTTAGCAGACCCACCTCCATGGGGATTGGAAGCTACGATATCTCCCTTCATGCCGAATGGAATTAGAAGGAATTAAATGAATAAGCCAGTATTTGGCCATTTTGAGAATGTGCTAACAGAAATTCAATTACATGTATTTAAAATGCAACTCAAATACGAAAGTTAGTATCTATTTTGATAACAGTCCATGCGAATCTAAAGAATAGCATTCATATTGACCTTTGCGAGAATATTTTATGACAGAAAAATTTTTTTAAATCTTCATTTTCATCAATAAATAAAATAAAATCGTAGGTAAGTACCTACTCTAGAAAACTTCCGCCTTCATTTGACCTTAAACAAAAAATTCTTATGGAAAAAAAACCTGTATAAACAAGAAAACCTGTATTATCAAATTATACATCTAATTTGAATATTCATTCGTTAAGTCACACCACACGAACCAGATAAACAACATTCTCGTAGTCAGTGTGTGTTTAACAGTGGAACTTTACCAATCCTGCTTAGAAATCGGCTTCTCAAAAATGAAATGTTTTATTGAATATCTGCAATTTTGCGATTTCCCGATTGAAAATTTACCCTACGGTGTATTTTCTACATCTGATGATGTAAGTATTAACTAATATTTCCGATAAATAGAATTGAGGTCGTAACATATCTTGAAGATTTGGAATCAGTAACTCCATCTCTTTTCAAGAAAATTATTTTGTATAGAAAACTGTAATTTTTTAAAATTTTGATTCTATATAAATTTAAATTTTTTTTAGAATTGTCATAGAATTGGAGTTGCAATTGGCGATAAAGTACTTGATTTAAAGAAAATATCTCATTTGTTTGATGGGCCAGAATTAAAGAATCACCAAAATGTTTTCCAAGAGGTAAGATTTTTTAGTGTTTTTATCCAAAATGAAAAAAACTTTATTTTTAGACCACCTTGAATGGTTTTATGGCTTTACAACCGAATGCTTGGAAAGAAGCAAGAGAAAAACTTCAAAATTTATTAAACATTGATAATAAAACGTTACAAAATCCGGAGATATTTTCAAAGTATTTTTTTATTTTTCAAGAAAACATTTCATGTAATCAAATTTTTTAATATTTTATAGAATTTTTTATCTCCAAAAAGATGTCACCATGCATCTTCCAGCCAAAATTGGCGATTACACCGATTTTTACTCCTCAATTCATCATGCAACCAACGTTGGAGTTATGTTTAGAGGAAAAGATAATGCTTTAATGCCAAATTGGTATTCAAAACTAATTTTCTTGTAGCATTTTAATCAACTTATTCTTTATAGGAAATATCTTCCAGTTGGTTACCATGGAAGAGCCAGTTCTGTGGTAGTTTCTGGTACTCCAATTAGAAGACCACTTGGACAAACTTTAGTTGCTGATGGTACATTACATTAATTCTTTTTATTAAATCAAATCGAATTTGTTTTTAATTAGGCGCCCCACCTGTATTTGGACCATGCAAACTTATGGATTTTGAGTTAGAAATGGCATTTTTTGTGGGGGGATCCCCAACAAAACTCGGAGAAAGGATCGATATAAATAAAGCTCAAGATCATATTTTTGGATTTGCTTTAATGAATGATTGGAGTGGTTAGAACAATCTTATTTTGAATCTTCACGTGTATTTTTAATTTATTTTTGTAGCTCGTGATATTCAAAAATGGGAATATGTCCCATTAGGTCCATTTACAGCAAAAAATTTAGGAACAACAATATCACCATGGGTTGTTAGTACGTTTGCTTTGGAACCGTTCAAAATTGAAAATTTCCCTCAAGATCCCGAACCATTTCCTTATTTAGCTCATAAAGATCCTTTCAATTTTGATATAAAATTAGAAGTTGATTTAAAACCTCAAAATTCACCAATTTCAACAACTATTTGTAGATCTAATTATAAATTTTTATATTGGACCGCCAAACAACAATTGGTTCATCATACTGTTACTGGTTGTAACATGAATCCAGGTGATTTATTAGCTAGTGGAACAATAAGTGGTGATGTAAGAAATCTTTTTTGTTCCGTGACTTTTTTATGATTCTTTTTAATTTTAGACATCAGACTCATTTGGGTCACTTCTTGAATTATCTTGGAAAGGAACGAAAACTTTGACATTAAAGGATGGGAGTCAAAGAAAATTTTTGCAAGATGGCGATAATGTTATCATGAGAGCAGTTTGTGAAGGAACATCATTTAACGTTGGGTTTGGAATTTGCGAAGGTGTTCTTCTTCCAGCACATTAAAAAAATTTCATATAATTGTCTCCAAACGTTCATTTCATGTTAATTTTGCTAAAAAAGTATTCAAAAAATAATTTTGTTTTATTTAATCTTCCATATTAAGTTGTTTTCAACTTTTTAACCCGCATAAACTTGAAACTATAATAAAATATCGATTGAAACTGAATGTACACAAAAACTTGGCTCATAATGAATTCTAATTCTGACCAAAGACGATCGATTTTCGATTTTCCAACGACTCACATAATAAATTATTCACCGTTTATAATGTAGTTCATTTTGAACGCAGGTAAAATGTCTTTATTAAAAAAAAATTCGGAGGAAAGAACCGATTTAGTCGCTTATTGGAGTGTTCCACTTTATGATGGTGTTCATACCATTGAATTTGACCATGGAACAACCAGCGGTAAAAGGGTTTTAAGAGTTGATGGGCAGGTAAATTAAATTTAAGACTCACAATTAGTTTGATTTTGTTGTGTAGGAACTTTTTCGTAGAGATTGGATGTTTAAATTAGTTGGGGATGAAAAATTTACGATTGGAACTAATAACACGTTGTGCGAAATCAAAGTTGATCCATTACCAAATTTTTCTTTTGGATATTCTTTGTATATTAATGGTGAACCATTAGAAAAATTTGTTGAAAAACAAAATCGTTCCTTAAAAAGTTGGGCTGTGGTTTCAAATGGAAAAAGATTCAGAATCGTTTTTGGTAAAAAAAATTAATAGCAAGGTACGCAATTTTTAATTAATTAAATTTCAGAAAAATCTACGTTAAATGTTTGGATTAATGGAGAACAAATTGAAACTGAAAATGATTTCACTGAGCTTGGTACAGAAATGAAATTCTTACTTGATGACCAAGATGCTTTCATCAAAGCTACCACAACAGACAAAAAAGAAGGAGTTATACATAATTTGTACATAAAAGGAAAACTTATTGATGTTGATTATTAAAATGTAATAAAATTTTCAAGAATAACCTCTTTATTTCGACTATTCCCGTTTTTTAAACTTTTATAAATACAAGAACAAAGACTTATGCGATACTACTAGCATTTGAGGCAATCCTCGGCCACAAATCAGCACATTCTTTCGCAACAGGCCCCGTGATAGCAGAACCCTTCATCTCCCCCTTGTTATTCACAATGACACCAGCGTTGTCTTCAAAATAAATGAAAACGCCATCCTTCCTTCGGAAAGGTTTCCTTTGCCTGATCACAACCGCAGGCATTACCTTCTTACGAAGTTCTGGCTTACCCTTTTTAACCGTCGCGACAAACATGTCACCAGAACCAGCAGTTGGAAGCCGATTTAAACGACCACCAACACCTTGTACTGCAATTACATACAGATTTTTTGCTCCTAAAATCAAAATTATTCAATAAAAAACTAAGTTAAAAGTTTTAGGTTATGTCAACATCATAACCTCATGTCAATAAATTCGGTTTAAAAGTTTAAAACGCAACAATTACCTGTATTATCAGCGCAATTTATTACAGCTCCAACTGGTAAACCCAGTGATATCCGGAATTTGGCTCCCGCGGAACCACCACGTCCTAAAAAAATACAAAAACACACGTAAACATAACCTCAAAACAATCTTACACAGGTTAGTTTTGATTTTTAATCAATCATCCGGGCGAAAATAACACCGAAAATGAATTAAATGGGCCATCCTAAATGACTAGACCGCAAAATTAACGTATTTCAATAAAAGATTATTGCAATAAATAAAGATTTTTGAGAGAAAACACCGAACGTACCTCTTTTAGACATTTTGGTTTTGTAGAGAAAGGAAGTCGCTTAGTGACGTATATTGAAGTAAGCGATCGAGCGACCTCTGGCGTACGCGCCCAAAACTAATAAGTGTCAAATGGAGGCAATTTCAAAATTTCCACTCTCGGTTGTAAGCAAGAATAAAATCGAATGAATTTACATGATTTTAGAAAACATTACAAAAATATGATTGATGTTGACGATGAAGATAGCGGAAGGAGTGATTCCGACGAACGGTTCGATGATGCAACGGGTAATAATTTTTTTATTTAAGTTTTAAATGTCTAGAAAATTCAAGATTAAAATAATTTGGGTTATAAAATTAAAAACTTTATACATCAATTTATAACCGATTATATTAAAAAAATATTAAATATTTTGATATTAAAGAAAAAGTACAAATTTTGAGAGCTCAACAATTTTTCATCAGATTTGGTGGGCTTCTCATACATGAATTTACTTAGGATTAAAGTAAAGCTGAAATTTTAATTTAATAAATTATTTTATTATAAATAATAAGTTTAATCTGTTTTGTAAAGTTACTTATAGCATTTTCTACCAAATAAAAAGTAAGGTTATGTGCAGAAACGTATGTCTCTAACCTCAATTGACTAATATTTATGTTCTAAAAGTATTAAAACACATTAATTGTGTAATTAACATTCCTGCAATCAATAAATTAGAAAAAACTTTATGAAATGGAATTTTATTACACATTCCTTAGAACTCGGAGTTAGTGGAGGCATCTAAATCTTGTGGCAGTTGCGTGATAACAGAAGTTAAATTATCGGTGAATTTCCCTTAATGTTCTGTAATATTTTTTATTAATTTATTTAAAAGAAGAAGATGTGTTTGTGTTCGTTAGGAAACATTTACATTAATTGATAGTTCCTATATCTTAACATCTTCACTTTGAACTGTTATTTAATTTAATACAAGCAAGTTCACAACTGTTTATATATTAGGCAATATAATTATAAATAACGATATAAACTGTCCGATGTGTCTTTCAGCTTTCAGTATACTCCTACCCCGATCCCTTCCTGCGTTTTTAATCCATCTGTGAACATGCAAATACCTGTCTGAACCAGAGAACTAGCACAATATCAGTGCTTATAGTGTCTTCCGTAGAATAAGGATAGGACGTGTCGGAGCAGGTTTGAGCATATTGCTTAAACTTGTACATGGTAGTTCTGGTCACTTTCTCTATATGTAAATACAAAGGAGATGGCCAAGCAGAACATCAATTGCTAGAGTTGGCGTTGTGCTTATCGCACCAGAGATTGCCAATCGAGCTACTCGTTGAATTCATGAAAGTTTACTGATAACTGAAGTCTGTCGGACTTTCCTATATCAGACTGCCGGCCATTTCCCTTCTAAGTGCTGCGAAACATTATAAGTCTCCATCTATATAAGTCGTGAACAGCGTAGTTCTGCAATATGCGGTGTTTGGAACAATCTTAACTCCTCTTTCTTGAATATCAACCTAGATGGGAATAAGGTTGTTGGCATAATATTATATATATTCCAGTAAGTCATCAGAAACACCTGAGGCTGGTATCTGGGAAATCTAGATTCTGGATCAAACTTTTAAGTTTATTAATGTATTATTTTTCCAGATTTTTCTAATAACTTTTCCCATGAATGGAATCCGTTTTGCAACTTAAAATACATACATCCGGGCGATGTAATTCCTAACTGAGCTTTTATTTACTTGTCTTATTATTGTCAAAGAGATTATCACAACCAAAATTAATTCCATTTCATTACTGGCTGAAGAACAACAAAGCTTTATGTCAGGAAGGTCTTGTACAGATGCGGTGTTCGTGATCAGACAAGTCGTAGAAAAGTCAATAGAATATAATAAACCCTCATTCTTATGTTTCATTGATTTACAAAAGATCTTTGATAAGATCAGATTAAAGGATGCCATAAATCTGCTATACAACCAACATAATATAGTTAAAACCATCGAAAACATCAAATAGAAAAACAGAAAAAATAGAAAACAACATACAAGCACGGATAAATGGAAAAATCACGGAAATACCTGTAAATTCTGGCATTCGAGAAGAGGATTCATTGAGTCCACTACTGTTTAATCTTGTGATGGCAGGAGCTATAAAGTGGGTGATCAAGAAATTGTGTTCCTTTATTATGCGGATGACACTTTGCGGAAAACGAGAACGATCTGCAAAGAAACGTACAAGAATTTAACAACATAACGAAACAACTCAACATGTACATTGCTGCTCAAAAAAACTAAATGCATGACAACAGCGAAAGAGCCACTTCGATGTAAGCTGGAAGTGAACCAGAACGTCTAGTACTTGGAGGTTCAACTGTCAAGTTACGGTAATATTGAAGAGGAAGTATCCCAACAAGTCAGGAAAGCCAGTAAAATCGCAGGCTGCTTAAACAACACTTCATGGAGGAACAAACATCTACATATTAACACAAAATCAGGGAATATATGTATAAGACCACCATAAGACCGATCATGACCTATACGGCTGAGACTAGACCTGACACATCTAAAACAAAACAGATATTTGAAACAATAGAAATAAGATACTTCGCAGAATCACCGGGAAAACTATATGATAGAGAAAGAAGCGAAAACTTAAGAACATTCTGTGGACTGGGAAATATCAACAAGGTCAAAAAGAAGACCTTTATTGTAATACCTTTAGAAACGCCATCGCATTTCTGGATAGTATTTCCTATTTATTCTGGCCATAATCTTCGGGATATGTTGAACTTTTATATGAATTAAGAACTTAATTCCGTCCTAAGGAAGACTTAGCCCTCTGTATAATAAAAACCAATTCGACACATCTCCATGACTGTTTAGTGTTTCACCATTTCCAGTGGAACTAAATGTTACATCGAAATTGATGAGAAATTAAAAAATCTAAACTTATAATTTGTAAATTCTGTAATTATGTAGAAATCTACAATTAAATCCATTAACTCCGACGTTTCTGCTATGTGTAAGTGAAATAAAAAATCTTAAATATAATTTAATTCATCTTTACCTCATCTACTGGACACATTCTTTCTTTTTTACTAATCTGTAAGGATTTAGATTTATTTTCTACAATTTTTTATCTACACCAAAATAGTAATTATATAAAAATAAAAGGAATTTACTAAATCTTATTTATTTTATTAACAGAAATGCCAGGTGAAGGATGTAACGAAAGTTTTAAAGATCTACTTACTGAATGTCAATCAGTAACTGATATAAATATGAGATACGCTGGAGATAGTAACATTGAAAATGAAATAGAAAAAAATAATAACAAAGAAGATGAAGCGGGTGATAAAGAAATTAATGAAAATAGTAAAGTTGAATTAAGTATTGATGAATTGAACGAACAAAGAAATATTCGATGTGAATTATGTAAATATTTTTATGTTATTGGGAATGAAACTCATATTGTACACGGTAAGAAAATTTATTTATACTTAAAAAAAATAATTACATGGACACTTATTTTAAAGTCAAAATTAATATATAAAGAAAATGATAATTACATTTAACAAACCATATTTTTGTTTTAAAGCATAAAAATGACAAGTATATTACAATTATTTAAGAGATTACTTTACAAAAAAGAAATCAAATTAAACGTTTTTATCCGATATTAATTTTTTTAAACCGCACAATCTCTTTTTAATTTTTTTCTCTAAATTTTTTATACGACACTGATAATTTTTGCTCTCCATAAAAAAATCATCAGAATCTTCTAAATAATTCGGTTTAATAAATCTCTCCATACTCCATTCTTCGATAGAATTATTTAATTCTTCTATTAAAGGCTCGCAGGAAATGCTGTCAAGATGTGTTGAATCTGTTTGAACTTCCGCTGAAGCCATTTTAATTTCTTTTTGATAAAGTTGTTGGGGTAATTTAATATTGCAAGTTATATTGATGCTAATTCTTCGGGTACCAAATTTTTTAATTTTTTTATTTTTAACTTTAACCGGTAGTTTTTGTCCTTCTTCTATAATCACACTATTTTGAATACACGCTTCTTTATAACTATCATTTCTAACAATCCCTTTTCGAATCCTACTATCTCTTGGAACTAAAGTTTTTGAATTTGTTGAACAAATTGATTTTCGATTATGATCATCGCTCGAATTAAAAGTACGATCGTTTTTCCCTTTAATAATCTTCCTTTGATTTTTTAAAGTTGAAGATTTAATTTCGGCGAAATTTCGATGAACAAATGATTCATTTCTTATTAAATTCGGAAAGCTTTCGTTTTCAATTAATTGTAAAGATCTGATTGAGGATTTTTCATTGAAAGCTACGTCTTCCATCTTGGATGATTCCGCTATCGGCGTGGGTTCTTGTAAAATTTCTTTCGAAACTTGAATATGTTGGATTTCAAGAGACTTTTCGGTCGATTTTTTGGATACCTTTAGTTTTGATGATTTTATTTTAGTTGGTTGATCGACTTTTACATTTTTCGCGTGCTGCAAACGCAGGACGAAACAGCGATTAAAATTTACGAACTTTGCAATTGGATGCATTGTGGAGAACTGGTTTCAAAAATTTTATTTGTCAAGATATGTATTGGGGATTCAGCTTGTAAGTTTTTTTTTCTGTGGAACTAAATGAAAATAAATATTCATTTTATAACAAAAAATTTAAATTCAAAATTATATTATACTATATTTAAAAACATTTTTATGTCGAATTTGTCAATTGTGCAATTCTAGATTTCTTTTTGGAGTCTGAACTTCATACTTTGCCTTGAGTCTGGAGTCTGTCTATTGTAGTTCTAGATTTCTTCATCTGGGTCTTGAATCTATGAAGTGCAATTTAATCCTGAAGTCTTCTTAAGGCTTGCAACGTATTCCTAAATTTCCTTTTGCAGCCTGATAGCTGTCCAGTACAATTCTAAATTTCTTCTTAGAGACTAAAGACTCTCGGTACAATTCTACATTTCTCTTTGGAGGTTTTAAGTCCGAACTGTACAATTTTATTAATCTTATAGGAGGCTATCTAGTGTAATACTGATTTCACCTTGAACAACCCCAAATGCAGCAAATTTTGTCGCCTCAAAGCAGCAAAATCCAACTCAACCCAGCTTATAATTAGAAGCTGTTGAATGCTTTTAAAGCAGCATCTATTTAGAAGTAGATAAATCTTAAATCTTCAATGTTGCCAACACAACTATTGATTATCATAAAATGTTTCAGTTATTTTCAAATAATCAAATTATTTATTTATTTAATGTTTAATAAACACTTTATCAATTTTTCATTAATATTTATTTATTTTATTAATGATATTTAAGAAACTTAAATCGAAATGTTCTATATAACTGTCAAAATAATTTATAAAGAAACCAAATATCCCTAGAATTTTCAATTAATTAAAAGTTCAACTTAAACTAACCTGACGTAACGTCAATCTTAAAAAAGCGTAAAAATGGCTCTAATTGATCGAATCAAAGTTCATTTTGATGGTAAGTACTTTTTCCGTATCGTAATAGTTCCACTTTCTCTTATTTTTATTTCAATTCTAATCTCCACACAAACATAACCTAAAAGCAAAAATTTCAATCACTATTTATAGGTTAAAATTATTTTATATTTTAATTACTTATTAAATGTTTTTTAGCTCATGAACCATGGCCTAAAGATGTAAAACTTTTCCAACCCTATGAAGTAGAACAAATTCTTCTTCCCGACAATGCAAATTGTTTAGCTGTTCAAGCATACCTAAAAATGTGTCACTTAGATTTTCAAATTGAATCAAGAGCGAATGCAGAGTTTATGTCACCCACTGGAAAAGTTCCATTCATTAAATGTGGCGCCTTTGTTGTTGCTGAATTAGAAGGAATTGTCTCATTTGTTGCACAAAAAGGAATCACTCTTACTGAGCACTTAGAACCTGACCAAAAGGCTGATATGAGAGCATATATTGCTTTGATTAATAATGTGCTTGGAAATGCTGAAAATTATGTCTGTTGGTGTGATAAAGAAACATATTCTGAAGTTACTAAGCCTCGAAATGGTTCTGTTTATCCTTGGCCTTTAAATATATTACAAACTTGGAGTAAAAAATCGAAACAGGTTAAACATTTGAAAACTTTGGGTTGGTATGAAAAGAGTTTAAAAGAGGTTTTCCAAGAAGTTGAAACTTGTTGTCAAGCTTTAACTGATCGACTGGAGGGTAGTATTTATTTCTTTGGAGATAGGTAAGTTTAATTTAGTATTTCTTTTATGATTTTATCCTTTAAATCCTTTCTTAGATTTACTGAATTAGATGCTTTGCTCTATGGCCATATTTACACCTTATTAACTGTACCTATCCCAGCTGGTGGTAACGGTTTAGCTAATCTTATACATAAATTTGATAAACTAGTCGATTTAGTATCTAATATTGATAAAAAAGTAATGAATAGAAATACTATATTTACAGTTCAAGAATGGACTAAAGTTGATCGGTGTACAGTGAGTCCTAAAAATCCTAAAAAAATTTTCACCCTAATTATTTTTTGTCCTATTTTTTAAATAGTTTTTCAGTATACGTAAAGTTAAAGATAAAGCAACCAGAACCAATACTTACATGAAACAATTAATTGATGATCTTGATACAACTCAGTCTGTATCTACATCTCAGATTAATACATCTGATGATATAGTAACCGATTTTTCCCATACCCATCATTTTGATCAATCAGGTGATACCAGAACTATGCAAGATCAAGCTGTTGAATGTCAAGATTGTCCTTCAGAATTGTTTAAAGATTTAACTCAAGATGATGGTATTGGGGATATAGGGGGTAAAGATGGTGATTGGTTACTTATTGATGAAAATTTTGAAATTCAAGGACTTGTTAAATAGCTTACAACATGATTATTTTTGGACGCGTTGATAAATTTAATAAATTTAAAATCTAATTATTTTTAGACAGATATTTTTGTGCTTAATTTGTGTAGTATAGTGAAAAAAAAAACTTCCTCCAAAATCAATCCTTTCCCCAAGTAAGTCCAGATTTCTTTTTAAATGTTTAAAAAATTCTTTTTTAGGATTTTTCTTGTAATTAATTTATTTTATTTTTAGTCCTACAGAATTAGACGCTTTATTATTTGGACATTTATTCACAATTTTAACAACTCCACTGCCCAATTCTGATTTAGCAGCAACTGTAAGAAAATTTCCGTCCCTTATCAATTTGGTCCAAAAAGTAGAAAAGGATTACTTCAAGCGTGATAGAGAAAGTTTGGATCGCTGACAGTTCTTTATCAAAAAAATGTAGAAGTAGTCTTTATTAATTGTATATTATTGTTTAATATTGCTAAAGAATAAAATATAACTTTATAACAAGTCGAATTCGTTACTTACTGTAAGGAAAAATAATTAGTAACAATTAATCTCAAAATTGTTAATCTTCTTTCCATAAAATTATAGAGGGATCACCCTGTTGGACACTACATTTAAAATATATTGAAAAGTACTGATGGGGAAATTGAAAGAGGAAATTGAGAGGGGTGAGTTGTTGCCAATATATATTGAAACACCTGGCAGATAGGGAATTGAACAAGAAGGGAGGAAAGTTGTATGCATTGTTCATAGACCTTATCAAATACCTTCTATTTGATAAGGTGGATACAGGGAAGATGTGGGAGGAAATGAGGAGGAGAGGTATCACAGAACTGCAGATTGAGAGAGTGAAGGAGGATACATACAGGGAGGTAGTGGCTAAGGTTAAAGTGGGGGAAGAGTTAAGCGAGGTATTCTGGACGACGAAGGAATTGAGACAAGGGTGCCCACACTATTTGCGATGTATATGGCGGACTTGGAAAAGAGATTTGGGAGAGGGCAAATAGGTGAGGTGGTGATAGGAAGAACGAAGGTGCACGCGTTGGCGTATGCGGATGATTTGGTGGTCGTGGCTAGAGAGGCGGTAGAGATGATGAGGTCTCTGGAGAGGTATTTTATGGCGCGGGGGTAACGAGGATTGCTGAAGGATGTACAAACGAAGGTATTGGAGATAGGTCGAGAGACTTGGCGAGGGAGACTCCACTTGTAGTGGGGGAGGAGGTTAAGGTGAATGCAGTAAGGATGGAGGCTGGGAGAAGAGCTATGAAATACGAGGAAATGATAGAAGGAAGACCGCATTTCAGGATCCTGGGAAGGTGCTGGAAAAAAATTAAGGAGAGCAAGCTGATATATGGGCAGACATATAGGGAAGGATATTATAGGACTGTGGGATATTTTCTAACTGGGATCAACAACAGAAGAGTGGATAGAGGTGAAATGTGGGGAGAACTGAGAAATAGCGACAGGGACATACAGCAGCAGAAAAGAAGGCCACAGAGGAACTGCCAAAGTATCTGTTGATGGAGGGGGATGCTGAAGGGATGATATTGGTGCTCAGATTCCGCTGTGGCAATGAGGAGAGTTAGAACAGGTACTGGGCGAACGATGTGGAGAGGATTGGGAGACGCTGGAACACATTCTGAGAAGGTGAGCTAAGGGAGGAGGCGATGGACAGGAAGCAGATTTTGGGAGAGGGGATGGGTCAAAAGATGGATGAGGGAGATGATTGGGGCGAAGAGCCAAGGGTATGGGTCTATACATATATTGTACTGGAGAAATATTGTAAATTGTAAACAATAAAACGCTTATTAGTATTCTTTCCATAAAAATTAAGAGTCCAATAGATACTTGGACTCTTAATTTTCCAAGGTATCGTATTCATATCCTTAGCTACAGTATGGACAATTTTGGGAAAGACAGAAATTCAAGATAGGAGTAAAGGAAGGATGCTATCAACCCCACTATTCAATATTGTACTAGGTTGGGTTCTGAAAGGTAAAAAAAAAACAATTTCTTGATGATAATTATATTTATTATAGTAGTTGAAATTGGATATGTTAATTTTCTTTAATTCAAGTTAAATACGTCTTAATTTTTCGTTTACAGTAAGCACCTTATGTGTTGATGAATCATGTAACAAAACATTACCTAAAGATATAGTGGTTAAGAACCAGAACGCATTTACATAATTATCATTTTATTTACTCACGTTTTTAAAATATGTACAAAATCACTATACCAATTCGTTTTTTAAATGCAATTGTGATTCAAAACCAAGGAATAATTGAGCTTTAACTGAAGCAAAATTATCCTCTCCATTAAAATTCGTCGAATTTAATAAAAAATCAACGAACCTTCATAACTGATGAAGGTTTGCTATTTAAATTTATTAAATTCAAGTTCGTCAATAACGATTCAAATAATATTACCCGCCACCAAAGTTGTTATTAAGATTATCACCAGAAGTTGCTTTTTTCGTGACTACAAATCACATTCTATTCAAATCGTCTTAAATATTATAAATTAATGGGAACATGAGGTCAAAATTCTGACAGTCTGATTAATTAAATTGAGGTCGGAAGCGTATCGGCAAGTATACGGATTTTTTTGAAACAAAAAAACGTTCGTTGGCAGTTAACACTGAACACTTTCAAGAAAATAGGTTGTAAATTTGGAATGGCACCAAATCGCATCTATTATGATTATTTTACTGAGTATGCACCTAGAAAAACAAGAAGGGACTTGCGCGTTTATTATTCTTTATACGTTCTTAACTGCTGTGACTGTAGGCAGTGTTCGTATACGGGCCGCTGTATATTGAGCTGCTTGGATTCGACGAAGTCTTCTTCGATCGTCTTCTCGCCATAAGACAGCCAATTGCTATGATGGCACATAACATTAAAATTACCCCGGCTATACAAATTCCTATTGCGAAATTTTTCTGGGATATACAAATACTGTCTTCTGGAGCCTATTGAAGCCAGAAAATTAAAAAAAATATATAATATCATTTAACAAAATACAAGGACAAAACGTGACAGATGTTTAAATAAAAACCGCTCCCGCATCAGTTAAATTCTTACACAGATACGATGAATGAACGTTTAAAGAATCAAGAAAAGGGGCGTGAATACTTGCACGTGCAATTATTGGCATCTTAACGATTTAACACTATCTCTTTCTCTCGCATAAAAAAAAACATACAAGATTTCGATTTTTATCCTGGCGATAGATGTATTTGAGGTGAAAGTGGAAAAGATGATGATGATATCTAAGAATAAACGATCGTTTCCCAGCGTTTAGCAATTAGCCGAGTACAATACCACATATTTTCGCACCGTTCACACGATTATGACCTAAAAGACAAATATAAACCGTATTTATGGTTCGAAAGTAAAAAACGGTCGAAAAAGTATTTTTTGTTTTATTTTTATTAAAAAAGAAATTGAATTAAAGGGAAAATGAGCTAGAGAGGAAGCCGAACAAAAGGTTTTACCGCTTTCACTTGACGGCCGCAGTTTGCCCTCGAGTTCTCAGTGCTTTTATTGGCTATAATCTCGTGTAAAATATAATTTAATAATGTGTACTATAAACGATTAATGCTTTAATACTGATAGGTAGGTGACGGAATAGTGTGGTTTATGCAATTGGGTAATTGTGTTAATGAATTCTTGCGCAAACGAAATGTTAAATTACGTAAATCGTTAAATGATTTTGGTTTTAATTTTGAAATCAAAAAAGTAAATGAAACTCGTAGAAATCGTTGTGTAAATTGAATAAAAATAATTTAAATTGAGTTAAGAAATCTCACCTTCTCACTAAACACCGAATCATCTGACCCTTTTGATAAATCGTTGGCGTCGTTTACGTAAAGTCCGCTATATACTTCGATGATAGCTTTAGTTCCTTCACTAGTGTCCGTATCTCCATCAGCTTGCCTTCTTTTGCGATTAGAGTAGTCACATTGGGGCTGAAAACAATATCGATTTTAAATCAAAAAATTTTTAAAAAAAGATCATGAGTAATAACTCTGCTTTATTTAGATATTTCCTTAAATAGAACAAAAAAGTAGGAACAAATGGAGATAACCAAACATGGATGGGAACGAGTATTCCACGTCCATTAGGAATCGGGTGTCCGTTTTAGTAGCCACTTAAAACAGAAGAACTTATACAAGACAAACAGCGCAGATGCGAGGTTAAGATACGTTGGCCGTGGAAGGGAACTGGTTCCAGTCTTGACGGCCATACATGGCCTTGGCCATCGCCGGGTTCCATCCGTAACTCTTAGGCCACCACCGAGGGATTTTTCTTCCGAAGAGGTATGACCTCGGTCGACCCACGGGACGGCACTTCCCAACCCGTTCGTTTTTTCTCTTTCTCTCTTTCGTTTTATTTTTTTTTGTGACGCGAAACCTGCAGTTAGCACCGTTAGGTCTTCAGCTCTTCGGTCATGTATTGTGCTGGAGCAGTAATGATAATCGTCCTGCTGTATGACGTTCGGCGTGTCTCGGAACCATGGGAACCCAACAGGTTCATTTTACTGTTATATGCCGGGATTGAGATTCGTGATGTTGTAGTAGACGGGATAAGAGGATTACGGAAAAAAATTTTAAGATGAGAACTGCGGAGGATCTCGAGGTCGCATAACGTCATATCTTTGTTGTATCGGTATGATCTCACAGGCTATAATTCAACTATCCTTTTAACGTTTTATGGTTTAGCAACGATTGTATTGGGGAAAAATTGTATAGAGTTAAATCAACAAGTAATTATAAGGTGTTTAACGTCGTCAAGGATAAGGATAAACGGTTATGTCACCACAATCATCTTTGGTTCCGGTATTACACAGAAGAATTACAGACTTGTCATCGTCAAAATTAACAACGACAATAAGGAAGAATTTTTTTTAACTTACCGCTGCAATTTCACATCCACCGTCAGCTATTAAACAAAGCCTTACGTGGCATTGATAATATACGGAAAACGTTGAAGGGAACCTGTGTGCTTGGAATTGAACGGTAGCTTTAGTTTTGTCTTCAGAATACTCAAACATGCCCATAATTTCAGGATCAAGGGGACATCCATCTTCGTTGATCAGTTGCTGTTCTCCCGAACCAATTCCATCTGTTACGTAGCAATCTGCTACTCTTATACCATAAATGTCTTGTTCGTCTAAAGTGATTTCTAAGGATAATGGATCGCCAATATCTACAGCTTCGGCTACTTCGTGTCTTGATGGATCCCCCGAAAATATTCTCATCGTACAACCAGGCATAGGCATAGAAGATGTTGGATTTGCTAAATCGTTGCTTTGCAGATAACTAAAAAAATAGAAAAGAAAACCAATAATCAACTTGTTTAATCATTTATAATTTATAAACTCGTTTTCACTCAAGTACATTCTATTTCCTGAGTTAATCCGAGTTACAGAGCAGTTCGTGAAAGTTATTTATCTTAGAAACAGGTAAGCATCTATAAATATCTATGATATAAGTAGAAAGCGCTTTTTCGATAATAAAACGACTGTTTTCCCTCATTTTCAATGTGACAATTATAAGTCACGTTCAGAGGTTTTGCTATGCGCATTTCAGCATTTCTCTGACCAATGTGACTCGAATCTTAACGACCGGTTACGTCAAAGAGGCAATGATTCTTTGAGTTACCTCGAACGTGCTTGGAAACTTGCTAATGACGTTTTAACAACCTCTGACTTCGACGTAAGGACGTTAAGATCATCGATTGTTTTAGAATTAACTTGTTTATTTATGATGTGACTTTGTCGACGAATCATCAAGGATACTTTTTATACACCTGTATTTCCAGATATTAATTTGTTTTAGGATAACTGTACATTATTGGAACTGAAAGTCGAATTCGCCACACCTTAGAGAGAAAGAAAACGTTATAGAAGAGTTTGCTAAGTCACTCTATCAAACCACAGAGAGAAAAAATCCTATCACCGAAACTAACGGTACTACAATTATGATGAAGCTGTAGCTGTAACAAGAAATAATCTTTGGCGAAGAGACGACGATGTGGCGACCTCACGAAATGTAATTAAACGACTTATAGCATTAGTTGTGGTCCATTCGAATCCAATGGGATAGATCCCACCTTTAACGGTACATGGCGTGTAAGCAATATGAATTCTTTCGGTGTTGATTTTTTCGCGTTTGGTTTCCCACGGCGCGTCGTAGACGTCGACGCCGTCGTCATCCGTCGTCGCTTCCTCTTACCATTTCTCTTCTCATAGCTTGCGGCGTGAGTGAGTTTACAGTTAGCCCGGTGTCACGGGATCAAACTTCGGTCGCAATTTGGTCGTTTATTATTGAACGCTTATTGAAATTCCTAACGAAACATACCTTTAACGTTGAAACGGTTGGCCTCTCTCGTGACCGTTCACTGTTCTAAGTTAAACCGTTTGAATTGAACAGAAATTAGAACGAAAAATTATAGAACATTTTTTTTTTGTTGGTTATAAAGAAAATGTTAGCGTTATGAAACTGTGAACAATTAAGGAGAGTTGTTTACTTACTCTACTTTCGGCCCTTCGTTTATAACAACCGTATTGTTTCTTGATTGGTACCAGCACCTAATAACGAAACCTTTTCCTTGATTGGTAACAAGTTTAAGATGGGGTTGTACAACAATGGTATTGTAATATTCAACACTACCATCGTCCTGGAACAAAGAAAAATATTACTTTTTATTATACCGGAAGAAATTTTTTAGAATTTATTTTCTTAAATTATAAATAATAACTATTTACAACTTAATAAAAGCTTTTTTAATTAGACATTCGACAAGGCCTCGACATTCAACGATCTGGAAGACTGAACAATAACCATGAAGACAACCGAGAAAACAACGAAACGGAACACTTTAATCGCTCGATTTTTTAGGGACATTTTTTTGGTTTATACATATGTAAGTAAAGTGACTCAACAACATTTAAGCCGCAAGCATACCGCCCACTTTTAGTACCGACCATACTTGGTTGTACTACTGTTAAAAACACTTTTCCAGACACTCCTCGTGACGTCACGGATGTGTTTGAAGGACGGTCGAGGACAAAGACATCGCAAAAAAACAAATTACTGAAGATTGAAGAATAAGAAGGTGTAAAGGAAACGATGGGTTTGGTTGAGGATGTGTTAAATAATCAAAATTAGCAAGTTTTTATTAGTAACTTTCGAATTGCAAAAAAAATCTTGAAGATATGTAAATTTTTTGTTTCAAAATTGCGATTTTAACTATTTTATCTATTTACAATTTTTTTTCTTGGAGGAAATGATTTAAGAATCTCCTTAGAAATGTCGTAACACAAATAGAAAAGCAGAGGTGAAACAGAATCTCTGTGGTTTCTACAACGCTGACGTTCATTATGTTGTAAGCTGGTAAGAGGTGTAATTCAATATATCGTTTGTAATTAATCTATACAGTTATTTTTTTTTAGGTTTAATTGAAAAATGTATAACTAAAATGCGAATAAGACTTTGTGATTACAATATAGTTTAAGGCATAAGATAATAAAATTGAACTGCAACAAAACCGATAATAGTGTTGCAGATGCGCCAATGTGCACAATACAATGGAATGACAAGAAAGGTGAAGAGTATAAACAGTTTCGCCCACCAAAACTTAAAAACCTACATGTTGCATATGATTTAGAATACTTCTAAAGAATCTGCATTGGGAGTTCTCATACATGTGGCGATCGTCTTCGTTAGACTTTCATGCAGATTAACCGGGTATTGAAAAACTACTGTCAAAAAATCCCGAAAAGTCCCAAGCGGTGCGAAAACGCATCCCTTAAGTCAGGTGATAACACCGTTAGTTGTCCACAGCGTTCGAAATATACTGGAATTTTTCGACGCAAAATTTGAGGAACACAATTGCGTTGTTTGGTTAAACTCAAATGGTTAATGAGGTAGAGCACCAAGAAACATTAAATTGAGGACTGATAATAAAACTCTTAAAAAGACACAGGATACCCTAATGATTTTTGTGGAGTCTTACTACAGAACTAATTAAAGGTCATCTTATTCATTGCGAGTTATGCTGACCATTGAGACAATGTAACTGGTGTGACAGATCGAATTTGTCGAAAAAGACAAACCTAATTTTTTCCACATGGAAGCGAAAATTCGGTAATTCTAGAACGTCATTGCACTGAAGGAGCTTGTTTAATGAAGCTAGATATGTGGGTATTATTCCAGACAGTGAGATAATGTAAAAATCATCCCTAAATAACAGTGTCAAAAAAGCAAATTAATTCCATCCAATTAGAAATAGCGGGATGTATCGAAATCTTTGGGAATCAACAAGACATCATTGTAGGATATGCAATCGACAATCTCAAGACCGCACACATGTTACCTGAAGATACATAAAATAGAACGACGTGCATTCCGTCTAGGTGCAGTAAAGTCAAATTCAACTGAGAATGACAAGATCAAACATCCAAATTGGAGTTTGCTTATAACAAAAATAGTGTACAGAACTAAATTACTAACTAATTTCTTCAAATAAACTGTCTCGTATGATAAAGCAAGTGAATTGAAATTTTATATCTGAAATCTAGGCCCTTCTACAAATCCCTCAACAATTTATTACCCAAAAAAATCAGCAGTAGTGCAATTGGTGTTAACGTGTGATGTCCATTTATAATAAAACGATTATCTTACAAATACAATAATTGCAAAGCCTGGCTTGTCTTTTTGTATTAAGGTCGAGGCTAATAAATAAACAATGTGTGAGACGGTATTAGTGATGAGATCACATAATACTAAGTGAAAGGTCAATTGGAGGGCAAGAAACATGAAATGGCTGACAAAAGGGCTTGGAAAGCGAAGAATCGACATATTCGCCAGAATCAAAAAAGCCTCAATCTGATACGGAATCTAAGTCTCAAACATTTCAAAACTAGTATGAGAGATATCAGAGGGTACGACCTAGTTAAATACTACGTTTATAAAGAATTTTAAGTGCTTAGTAGATCTTCCAACGGTTTTTGTAAATGTTAATCACATTTAAACCACAATCAAAATGATCTAATCCCATTTATAACAAATGATTACCCTCATTGTCATTTAAACAGCAATGTAGCAGAAAGTCACTACGACTAGGTGTGCAGTGTTAGTAGCAGGAATCAATGGACCACGTTTCTTGGAAATAACACAATGCGTTAGATTGCAGCAAAATAACCTCCTTGACTTACAATAAATAAACCTATATTCTAACAATAAAGAGTAACAGCGGCCAATTTCAAGGTTTAGAAACGTTAAACTATCATTGTTCGTAAGAATTTAAGAAGTTGTTCCCACATATTGCGAAAATCGAAAAATGTTAAGACTATAAAATTAACAAAGTAATAATTTGTTTTTGTCAATATTAACACAATTATGATTAATTTTTTAATCTTCTAATGTGTTTCCAGTTAAATTATTTCTAAACATACCAATCTTCTTTATACAAAACACCAGATGTTCAAATAATTTAAACATCATTTTACAGATTACAATTTGCTTTTCAATAAGTATTATATTAAGCCATCTGCCACATTGCCTTTAACGTTGATTATAAGGAGTTGTTTTGACATAACCGTTTTTACGTCATTAAAAAGAGCTTTTGTACAATTTAACTTTTGTACGGCTGATTTAGTTTTGATTAAAAAAATTATAGCTTCATTAACACGTGTACAGTATGTTATTACAATTTTTATACTCTGTATGCAACAAGCTTTGATCTACCTACTCAATTTTACTTTCAAGCGGACACGTACGAAATGATAGCGAAGGCCGGACGTGGGTTCCAGAAAGGTCAACGAGATCGGTTATTACTACAACTTTTCGTTGGTTCTGACGACGAATCTTACACACCTTCATCTCCAAAAGTAAGAACTCCCACCTTTGTGGGAATTTTGCAAGGTTGTTTTATTCTATTTCTGTTTTTTCCATTTTCTTTTTATATTTGCCACAAAGACAACTTTTATTAGTTTTAGAGAAAGTGCAAATTTATGTTATGTACAATTTCTAAGATTACGTTTTAACATTTAAATTTTAAGTATTTAATTAAAATTAATATGAATGCTGTCGCTAAGAGAAAGAGAAAGTTTATAATCACTCTTTTCTTGAATATTAGGAATAAGCCAAGAAATTCAATTTTGTTGTGTAGAATACATAAATTGTTAATATCCATATTTGAAGTGATTTGTTGATTTTAAAGAGAAACGCATCATTAAGTTAATAACGACCGACCCTAACAACTTTAATTATAGAAGTAATAACCTGTGTAAAGCAGCGCATTCCTGCCAAGGACACATTCATCAATTTACGTGAGTTTCGCAGAAAATAGGACGTTGCGTTCGTCAAGTGATTGTTACAATCATGATAATAGAGCACATAAACTAAGATGAACCTCGAACAATTTATGGCGCAATCTTTTGATTTGCAATATATTAAATTTTGAAATTTATGACTTGCTATAACTCTGAACACAATTCGTTTTAATAACGGGTTACGTGACTTAAGTTAGAAAGACACAGTAGTGAAAGTTGGCCAAACGAAATATCAAATTAACAGTAGTTTATCTCGTCTAAAGCGGGTCCGAGTTAGAGCTAGTTTCACAAATGCTACCACGCCTTCTGATTGTCAATGGTTTTAGATTATAGAAAAAAAATATTGCGCGTAACCACTTTATATCATTTCCTTATTAAGTTATTGAAATCTATTTTACTTTCAACCGCAAAGACGACGAACCCAATGGAGTTCGTTGATCGATCGAATAAAAATGAAGAAGTTAAAGAAGAAGAAAACTTGTTCAAACTAGTTTTTCTAGCAAAAATTGTATTACTTCTGCTTCGGTGTGTAAGAAAAACAAGAAATCGTTGGTTCTGAGAAGATATCATTAAAATACCGCCGTTTTCTTTAAATGATAAATTATAGGATCGCTCCAGAAGGTATAAAGGACTCTGTAGGAGTCCTTCAACCTCTTTGTGCCACACCGGCTGCCTCAAATGCAATTGCTGGCGCCGCACTGGTTCTGCAACACTTCGGGTTGGAGTTCTTTTTTTATAAACTCCGCGTTGCTGCGGGTTTTTCAAAAAAGTAAGTGTGTCAAAAATGTATTACTTCTGCTTCGGTATGTAAGAAAAGCAAAAAATCTTCGGTTTTGAGAAGATATCATTAAAAATCGGCGTGCCGTTTTCTTTAAATGATAAATTATAGGATCGCTCCAGAAAGTATAAAGGACCTGTAGGAGTCCTTCAACCTCTTTGTGCCACACCGGCTGCCTCAATATGCAATTGCTGGCGCCGGACCGGTTCTGCAACTCTTCGGGTTGGAGTTCTTTTTTTCTAAATTCCGCGTTGCTGCGGGCTTTTTAAAAAAGTACGTGTGCCAACCATCGACGGAGGGCTACGACCTACGATTGCTGCCTCGCCGCTAAAGGATTTTCCATGGAGTGTCTATTGACCTTGGCTATTATCGATAATCGAGAAACGTGAACATCTAAAGACATATCTTTATTAAAAATTTGCAGCGGAAACACTAATTTAAATTTGTGTAACTTAATGTGGTCGTAAATTTAAGAGTAGAGTTTGCTGGCGAGGAAAACAATAGGGGAAAGTTGGAGTTCATTCTTCTTGGAACGACCTAAGATTAGTTAACACTCTACCGAAGAAAGTGATCTTCGACACTACTTGTTAAAGATGTTTCTTTTGAGAATAAAAATGCACGTGTCTGTCTTTAAACCATGCGTTGCACAAATTGAAACCTTGCGTGGGACAATATTACCGTTTTGGCAAGCCTATTTAACCTACGCTAATTATTGTGATTTGTTGAGCACTCAAATGTCACGTAAAATGAATTGTACAATATTAAAACATAATTAATAAATTAAATTTTCTCAGATACTTAATAAATTGTGTTAGAATAGATTAGAAATGCAAGAAAATAGAACTAATTGTGTAAATTATGAACGATAATAATTTCTTCTAACACATCAGCCTCCCAGAACGGTTCATAAAAACAGGATGTTCGCTTGACTTGCCAGGAGGAAAAAGCGAACATAAATTTTATTAATTGTGCCTCTTTCCTTGTTGAACATTAAACAGTTTCCGTTTAAGCGCAAAGAAAGCGACCGTAAAAACAATTTTCCATCGCAAATTAACTTTTATTATTTATTTTTTGATGCCCATTTATTGATTATAATTAATTACAAATCACGTCATCAAGGTTCTTGTATTCCAGTTTCTCAAAACCGAGTATAACCACGTTTTGTTTTAATCAAGGTCATTCTACACGATCAGCAAATAATCCAACAAGAAAAATAAGCAGATGGTGATGGTCTCAAATTGACCTTTTATTGTCTTTGCACGACCAGACATTTCATAAAATATTTTTACATTGAAAAATTCTTAATAACCTTTCATAAGATGACATTTGGGAGTGCTTAGATATATATTGAGTTTATTTTATATTCATATTTCACGCATAATTTCTGCCATATATTCCGTTAGTAATTACTAAAACAGTTAAAGAAAAAAAAAAACACTTCCTTTTGCAGGAATTAACATTATTATGCATAAGCTCCAATTTGCGGTAAATTGCCTCCATACACAAAACATGCAAACCCGCGAACCGCATGGGAAAAGATACTTAGACTAAAATTATCTTTTCGTTCTCCGAATTTACCATCATCACAATGGATTTTTTTAAAGAAGTCACTCACCCTGTCTATACTCATTGTATTACAAGCTCTTAATGGTAGTTTGTATTTAACCGGAACGGATGCATCAATATATTCGCCAAAACAAGGACTAGTTTTCGTTAATCCATCAGGATAAATCATCCCGTTGAAACGTGCGGTATTCGTCGAGATGCTAACCACGATTTCGTCGTTATTGCAGTCAATCTTCACGTCCGATTCCGATGACACATCCGGTTCCGTCGTCACATCCTGTGTACCTGTAACAAAAAAACGTAGTAAAAAATCGTATGTAGTAAAGGTGAGTAAGCATAGTAACATTACAGTTCGTCAACGCATACATTCTTTAAAGTACCAATTAAATATTCACAGGACAATCACCCTTCAAAGAAAAATTTCCAAGAAATTTAAACGTAAACGTTTATCTTGTTCGTGGAAAACTTAAAGTGGAAGAGCAAACGTTAACGTCGTCGCTTGCTGTGTTAACTTTTACTTTTAGCGGTTTATTTTGTAGCACTCAAAGTGGGCGAACGAAACGATTTTTTTCTTATTTTATATTCTACGTTTTATGCACGTAAGGAAGGTTAATTTGTGTTAACGTTAGATGTTGTTGGGTAATGTCGTAGCTATTAGAGATAATTGAAGTAGAAAGTAAAACATTAAGATTTTAGTATAATGTGACTCTTAAAACAGGTTGTTAGTTATAACCAATAGAATTACATAATTTGCAAAATCATTAAAATCTTGTAAGTATAAAATTAATGAAATGAATAGAAATTGAAATTAAAGAAAAAAAGCTTTCTCAAAAGAAAGGCGATTCAACATTTAAGATTATTAATACAATGGGTAATATCTATCCCATCAATTAAATTCTTAGAAAATTTCTACACGAGGCCAATGTCATGGGAAGGGAAACGAAATCTCCCCGCGAAATGCATTCAATCTATTAAATCTGTCTGTAGAAAGTGTTTCATTGGCGGAATAGCTAACACACTCCAATAATCGACCGGCAAAATCAACAGGATAATTGGAAATAACCGGGAATTCGTGCAGTTTGGTAAGCTCTGTTATTACAATGAATTATAATTTATTGCAATACTTTCACGAATTAGAAAAAAAAATAGGTTTCGCTATCAATTAATTACCAAACTGATAGATTTTGGTGGGAATTAATCAAACGTAATGAATCCACGTTTTCAAAAATGTATTGTTACGTTTATATTAGTTCCAGAAGAGGTAAGCTAGATTGGCTTAAAGAAGTAAAGAAAGAAATAAATATACAAAATGACTTAGACATTAATATAAAATTGCCAAAATTGCCAGACAGAGGTTAACCTGTTAATGAGATAATCTTTGAAGTGTATAGAGTTTTCATTTGATATAGCCATAACTCAAACTATAAGTACTAACTGTGTACAGTGAAATATATGCAGTTAGTGCAATAATTTGTACAAGTACGTATTATATGCCTAGATATTTGAATATCTGAACATTCTCGAAGGAATTCTCGTCTATGGTTATATTTTCAGGTTTTCCTCTCCATTCATTTCGTGCCATCTTCATATATTTGTTTTGATTTTGGCTGCTCTTTCAATGTCAGTAGATATCTCTACAAACTTCCCATAACTTCTGGTCATTTCATAATTCATAATCTTTATTGTGTTACACATACAATACAATATGTTCACACTTGTCAAATTTTACATACATATATTATGCAGTGTCATATTAAAAAAAAAAATAACATACAAAATTACATAAGATTACAATAGGCTACATTAAGTGCTAAAGGTGGAAATCATCTCAAGACTGTCACTCATATATTCGGAGATCGAGTAGTACGCCCTTGTCACATGAGTTTGTTTAATATACTCTTTAAAGCCCTTCAATGGCAACTGACGGACATGTAATGGCAATTTATTAAAAAATTTCACCGCCAACGCGTTCACACTTTTCTGGCATTTTGTTAATCGTGTATATTTGGGTATCAGATCGCTATTTTTCCTAGTATCATAGTTATGCACCTGCTTATACGTGTCAAACTTATTAATGTTCTTTTTAACATATGTAACATATTCGGGAATCTCTACGATTGACTACCGCGATTTCGTTATTATATTGCCTCTATTTTTAAGACCAACAATAGAAGACTGCAAGGAAATATTGAACATCAGCACCGACAAATCATCTCCTTGTCTTACACCAGTCCATATCCCGAATTTATCAGGTATTTTCTCCTATACCACTACCACGACTCTGGAGCCCTCCATTGTTACCATGGAAGGATTTAGAGAGTACAACGATTATGAATTGAAAAACTTTTGTTAATATCAAAACAAATGTGTACATCAATATAAAAATATTTACATAGTTACTAATTACATGGTTACAATTTAAAGTTAAGGTTGGCTGTGGTGCAGCCACAGATACTCCCCCTCTAACTATGTAAATACTAAAAACTATGTAGTACGTAACTATGTAAAGTTTAGGTTGGCTGTGGTGCCACCTTCGTCTAGTCTGGTTCTTTGTATGTTGTCAAAGGCCCTTCTAAAGTCTATGGATATACAGTGCAGGTCAGTATCACACTCATAGTATTTTTCCATTACTTGACTAATGAAGAAAATGAAGATGATATTCAGCCAGTATGTCCTGGACATACTATCTTATTCTCTCATAAATTACAGTTGACAGTACTTTATATGCGGCGCTTAAGAGCGTGATTCCTCTAAAGTTATCGCAGCTGGTCTTGTCCCTCTTCTTATGTTCGGGACCTAAGAAGGCCATATTGTAGTAGATGCAATGTATCGCAGAAAAAAGCTGGGAACAAGCGATCCATTGCAAAAATGTAGTGATGTTCAAAAACACTTAATATTTGTATTCCTTTGCCAAATTTGGATTGTGTGTACTTATCATATTTAGTAGGTCATTCCGTACATGTTTATATTAATCAGAATGCAATAGGTCCAATGATATCAGTCCACTTTGTTGCAGTTTTTCGTTTTTCAAAACTTCAAATTTAGACTCTTTCGAAACATTATAAACATTATTGAGAATAACGAAAATCAGTCGTAAAAGATCTCTGGTCTATCAGCTTACTAATAATATATTAGAAGTCATTATTGTGAACACCTTGCCATATGAAATGTCTTTGTTCTGTACACTATAAAAAAGGATACTCAAGCGCACAAAGAGTTGATACTTTGTTGCACCAACGCACATTCTGGAGATTATCAAAGATCAAAAAAGACTAAAAATAACACAATAAATCGTACCCTAATTTTTTGCACAATGTTAAGTAATCAAAGCAACAAGATAAGTATAACGATGAGGTTATTTCCTATTTTTTATAAATATAGAAATATTCATTAGATTGATTAGATTAGAAAATGAGAGACTAACAAAAAAATGTAATTTTGTAGTTGGTTACAAAAATATTTGTAAAATTATTTCAACATTGAACTCCATATTAATCTCAGTTGTAATCAAATCTAAGATTTCCATCTTTCTACTATCACCATGAAACCACAAATTACAGCAACTGTAATTATTTTTTTATTTATTTCAACAAAAAATATATTTAACACTATATCTTCATTTTCTAGTGAATATCAACACTTAAAAAAAATAGCGGTTGGTCAATGAGGCAATTAATGTAGTCGTGATCATAGGCGGTCCCTTAGAAGATTATCGAGAACCAATTTATGATTTTCCTCCTATAACCTAAGATTATTATGAGGGAAGGAATTGCAAAGAGGATACGTTGTAGATAGCGTAGTTGTTTCATTTAACTCATGATTAACAATGTAAGAGAAGACTCAGTGAGAGCCGCTTAAGTGATGCATACTTTATTTGCTTACCTACTCTAGATGAAAAGCCTTGTAATTATTAAAATAATAGGTAAATAGATAAAATTGGAGGAATTACAATGTTTGCGACAACGCTTGTTTGTTTGTTATATGAACCTTACCTTTCCTGTTTACAAACTGTTTATTCTCGTATCTGGTTAGAGATAAATAAATTTAAATAAATCTAAAATTCTAACATTACAAGTGGTATAATAATTTTCAAATAACCAAATGGTCAAAATGTTTTTCCCACTAACAAGATCATTTTGATTTTGCAAACCACCAATTCTTTAAGAGACCTTATCCGATCCTTTTTTGTGTGGTCCTTATAATTTTATAATTATAATTTTTTTTATGGCACACTTTATGATAAAAAAAGATGATTTATGTGAAGAAAATACATCTTAATTTTTCAAGGAAACAATAGACAAGGTGGAAATGTTAAATTACCTAAGAGTAATCAACTTTTACTAGCCTAGATTTCTTGTTAGTCTGCGACGGAGGTCGAGAACTACATCTCTAAATAACTACTTACTTGTCGTCGACACTGGGATGTTGGCAGCGTATATGGCAGTGTGCGTGCAAACCTGTAAAACGAAAATGGTATAAGGAGGTGGCACTCTATCACCAATCTTCCGAATGTGTTACTACGAGACGTGTTCGTGCATGCACTTCATTTTAAAACTTCCCGCACGAAAAGCGAATTAACCGTCTGCAACACAATCATTAATTTACTCCCAACAATGGAGAATAGGTTTTTCTTTTAACAAAACCGAAAAGAAATCTAATTTGAACTGATTCACATAAATTCTTAACACTTTTGTTCAATTAAAAGAAGTGTTTCTGATATTCATGAAGTATTTCATTATGTTATTTTTTTCATTTCTAGAGAGAGTGGAACGAAAACAACATTGCCGATGTAATAATTTACTTTATTTTACATAGAAAGCAATATCTCTATGAGTTATATCCAAGATTTCAAATCGATAGTTGAGCAGCGTGAAAGTTTTACAAGCTAGAGTATGTAAGGTTCAATCAACATCGTTATATAGATTCCACTCTTAGAATTGAAGAATATTCATTTTAATGAGATGTAACGTGTAATAGAGACGTTTTAATTATATTTCACATCACAAATCTTAAACGTCAACAATATCTACTGCAATATTGTATCGTAAGCGGATATTGTTTCGTAATCCATTTCGAAATTGTGTCCAAGGTATCGCCATCCAATATGGACCGTAACACTGCACACTGTGCGGACGGTGTGAGGTAACGGTTTTATTGTAGGAATTAATTACTTGGTTTAACAAAACCAAGCTCGTTCAAATAAAGAATTTCTATTCAGCTTATTTTAACACATTTAAGAAATTTCTTAGTAACATGATTTTTTTAATACTTTTTTCATTTACTGTTTATAAATAACGTTGTATAACGGAGTTTTTATAACCAAAGGTTAAATCTATCAATATGAATTATCCACTTATCTAACGTAATTAACGTTGATAAAACATAAAATGGTTATATTTTCACATCAACCGTAATAATCTTATATTGATTCATCTTTTCAATGCACATACGTAATTTTTATGATCTTTTTCCGTTATGCAATATGAACTAATCGAAAGTGTTTCGAAATTCTTTCTGAAAGTGGCCCCTAGATTGAAGTAGGTCGCAGAACTTACCAAAACGATGGTCGTCAAAACGACGGCGAGTTCTCGATGCATCATGACGATCGGTAATTTTTTTTTCTGTTGAATGGCGGTGATCCTGTAAAAGAAATAGAAAGTGGTCAGTTGTCTGCGATCTCAGATAATTTTTCAGAGTCGCAGATGTGACGACACCAAGTGGGTCACGCAAATACCAGCCAAATATGGAATGGGTTGTCGGGGTGTGGACAACCTTGAATAATCCAGACTGCGCGACATAAATATTTACAGCAATTTTTGAACTAATCGTTGTAATCTGATTAACGTTGAAATATTCTGGATTAGGAAATTTACAGTAAATCCTTGTGATATTCATGTATGTACAATATGTTTGAAGTTATCGATACGAAGTCATCCATAAGAAAGGATTTCCTCTTATACTGTTAACAGGATGGACTAAATTACAGACTTCCTTTTTATCTATTCGAAAATACTGAATACAAGAGATGAGTCTCGTTTACATAAATAATCGTCTCAATTTAGAAAGACCAGGAAATGATCTTTATCTACATCAACTCAAATGATATTATCAAAAGATGACAAACCCAAACTGATCAAGACTTATGCTTATAAGATTAATATCTTTTGATACAAAAAAGCCATGACTACACAAAATTTTGGAAAAAAACACCAATTTGTGACTGCATACAAATAACATAGTTAATTTTTTTTTTGATAGTATTTCCTGATTTTATTTATATAACTACAAGGACAAAGCTTTTTTCATCATCAATTTTAAGGAAATCATCTTAAAAAACGTTACACTTCACGATGCATAACAAATTATGTAAGAATGTTTTCTAACTCTTCGTGATGACAACTATAATAAATATTAATTTTTGAATTATTACAAAAATTAACACAACGAAAAATGTTTAAAAAGGCCTTCACTCACCTTTCAAAAATCTTAAAATTATCGACGACACTAACTTTTTAAATTTCTGCTTTTAATTTTGACTTAATTTTTATTGATCACAGATTTTCCAAAAACACTTCAGCGAAAAATAATAATAATGAAACTAATCTCAGTCTTTCGTTTTGACCTTCCAAACTCTTTCTTTTTTCAACCGCACATAGATCACCTGTCCATGTTTCGCGGCGCAACCACGTATTATTATCACTTTTCGTTTCAACGTTTTCGTCGTCCGATTGTTTCAAGATGTTCGTTTGTGTACGGTGGTGGAGGTTTGCTCATGTTTTAATGGACACCGTTTTCCATTAGATGGTACTGGTAACGATACGCGAGAATGCGAACCGATGATTTTTGATGCGGATCTACCACCGCGAAGGTTCGTAGGTTGACTGAATGTTGAGATCACCGGCGGGCGGTTCGTTTCGAGTCGAAAAGGTGGAGGTAAAGTTAGTAGGTAGAAAGCAAAAGCGAATGGTGGGTCGCCGATTGACGACGTCGATCCGTGCGGTTCGCCACGAAATGACGGAAAACGTGTTGCTAAAAAACCAAAATGAAAAGATTCATTTCGATTTTGATTACTTTTGGGTTAAGATTTCTTACGGTCTATAACATCTAAAGATATTATTACTTGAAATTGACTTTTTATAACGAAGATGAAACAACTTCGGTCCTTGCAATAAAAAAATAAATCCGCAAATAGTAATTGTGATACAGATTACATCATGTTGCTATTCTTAGAAAACTCATCTTATTGAGTGACGTAATGGGTTTTCAATTCTTCTAAGAAATCGACTATAATATTTGAATAAGATATATTTTTGAACCAAAGTGTTGAAATTCAGTGATGCTAAAAACTTGTCATTATAGAAATTTAAAGTATACAATTAAATCTCGTTTGGTTAATTAAAATCCCGGTTCTAACTACAAATTTCACTTTCAAAAGATCATAAAAAACAGATGGAACATGAAGGAATAAGTATTTAAGAAGTTGATTGCCTGAAATTTACAACATTAACTTCTACAGGTTACGTCAGGCATCGATGCATTTTTTCAAATCTGGACGTTAATGCGTCTCCAAACGTCCTTATGTATATGTATACAGCAAAGATGTCCTCGATAATAATCGCTTCTTTATTAATTACATTTATTTGAATTCTTAAAAAAGCATGAGTCACGATGTTGCTGTGAAAAATATGATGGAAATTCAAAAATTGTAACTCCAAAAGTTTTAGTACATTTTTTAGCAATCCATTCGTATTAACTAATTAATTCGTACAAACTGAAATGGATTTTAATGGAAAATAAAAATGATATAGTGGGCTGATTATCATAAAAATATTCACAAGATCACGTGGTCTAAATTGATATAAAAGAAGGATATAAAAGTTCAACAGGACGCAGATTGCGGTACCGATCACTACTTATTTCAGAAAGATTGCCAAAGCAGTAATTTGCACAACGACGGTTAACCCAAGATAATAAGCCCACGCAAATTCAACCTACTTGGTCTTCAAGACAATTCCACCAAATTTCTTTACAGACTAAGACTAAGTAAAAAGCCGCTTAGCGAAGTTCATATTTATGCATATTCATCTGGAATATGCATGTATAAAGACTGGATACTGGGAGAAGAGAAACTCCCAGAGTGGGGGAACAAAGAAGCTGAAGAAAAAATACAGGAGAAGAAACTACTATAATAAAAGTGGCTATCTATTATGGATTCAGAAGACTAGAAACAGTATACAAGGACAACAGTAGCTGAGAAAAAAATAAAGTATGGGCTAAAGTATGTGAGAGTATCGAAAAATGTGTAGGAACAAACATAATGAATAAGGGAAGAATGGAAGTAATTAATATGGAAACAAGGATCAAACATTACAATACCCTTCTGACGGAGGGTAAACTAGTCTTCTCTAACAAAGAGGGAGAATATGATAAGGAGGACAGTATACTAGAAGAAGAAGAAGATGGGATTACTCCAGAAGAAGTAAAGAAGGTTGCGAAAGGAATGAAAAATGGAAAAGCATCTGACCATACCTAGCGTCATCTGGCCATCATAGAATTGATAAAAGAAAGACCAGAGGTGCTGATCGAAACATTTAACACCTTTCTCAGGATATACGATATACCAACTGGGAGTGAACCACTGTGCACATTCATTGGCAACATTCATAACAGATGTGACGCAAGGAACTGCTCACAAATTCATTATCTAGAATGGATTCATATATATGGAAAGGTTATTAAGCAGAGCAATTTTTTGTTTCTTTTTTTGCAAACAGGCCGTAGAGAATTGGTTAGCACACAATATGGAAACACATGTTGTGCATCAATCCCTGTATAGATCCTGTATCAAAATATGGCAGCTGCTATAAAAAACGGCAACAGAATATCTGAAGACATATACTACTTGAGCTTTGGTACTAACAAGGATGCATTATCGCCCCTATGCTATTCAAAATATATATAAAACAAGCCGTCACAAATATATCCAGATGTCTATCTATCCAAATAGATACTTTGTGGATGACCAAATGATATTGGCAGAAGACGAAATGGACGCAGAACATAAGGTTCGGAAACTGTATGAGGAGTATAGCAGTTGGGGGCTTTCAATAATAATAATAATTTTATTAATAATAAATTTGGTCTTAAGAGGAAATTGTAAGTAGGATTGGGCAAATGAAAGCTGTTACCAGGCAATTAAATGGTGTTCTATGGAGCTATCTTTCGCACTTTATTTACGCCTATCTTTGATTTTTCTATTGTGTCTCTGTATTTTTGTTTTCTTAACGTAAATAAAGGTATATTATTATTATTATCAACTAGTCATGTATGGTTCCGTACAATGAACCGTGAATAAAAGAAGCAAATCAATAATAAACGCAGCTGAAATAGACTACTGGAGGAGATGCTACCAGAAAATAAGGATGGATCGAGTGAGGAATACCAATATCGTAAAGGAAATGGTAATACAGATTAGCACACTGTAAACCATGGAAGTAAATACGCTACGATGGTTCGGACATGTCTAATGGATGACAGATGACTAAAGCAAATGAGAAACTCGATACCGCCAAATCGAAGAAAACGAGGAAGGCCAACTTCTGACCAACTCTTGTAGGTAGCTAGAATCTTTCAGTCTATTCTCTGTGCATTCTCAGACTTCTCAGAGGTGTGCACTATAAGGGCAATCTTCTTTGTGTCGCTTATATTATCTAGAAGTCTATGTGTGGATGTATAATTTCCTTCTATTGGACTGAAATCATTGCAGTATAAAGTAGTATACACTTCCTAACTTATACTGATTCCTGGCTATAAAATGTAGTGTGGAATTTTTTTGCTAACAAAAGTCCAAATTGGGCTTTTTTTCTCCACAGAGTTAGGTATACTTCTTATTCATTAAAATTACAAATAAAATCCGATCTGTATTTTCAATTTGGAGTCTAAACAAAAAAAAAACTACAATTTATCAACATTCTTTTTATTAATGTGATGTACAAAATTCTGTTTCCAAATCACTGTTTCAGTATTTACAAAGCACACAGCAACTAAAAGACGAAATTCATCATGACTAGATGCTTTTTCTAACAATTTTTTAAGCGAAATTTCGTTTGGCGACTTTAAAACGAGGCGTTACAAAAATATATACCCTTTAATAAAGAAATTCAAACAAATTTACATTATGTATCTATATTAAAAAAAAAAACATAAATTCTAAAAAAAAATTAAAAAAAAAACAATTTAACATATCAAAATAATATATATATAATTTAAAATTACAATTAAATTATGTTTTTCCTTTCATTTGTATAACGACTGATGAGTTTCCATTTATCCGTATTGTAGATAACGTTTTTGAAATTGTAGGTGATGGTGATGGGTTGTTTGATGTTAATACTGGCGGTGGCGGTAAAACGGAAGTATGTTTTATAACCGGGGTTTTTCTTACAACTGAAGCAGGCGTTACTACAACCGCAGGAGTCGGTCTTGGTAATAAAATAGGTAGGTCTTTAATTTTTTGTTGTGATGCTGGTATTTGTATTGCTGCAACAACGGCTCTTGGTGATGCATTTAGCTTTAAAGGTGTTAAAGTAACCGGTCGTGGTTTGATGGGTTTTAATTTTTTAACTGGATTAAATTGGTTGAGAATCAATTGAGATGACGTTTCTTTTTCAACATCAACTAAACAGATAAAGAAAAATATTTTTTTTATGTACAATCATTTTATACTTACTATTTAAAGAACATTGATTGTGTTTTAATAGTACCGATTTTAAATAAGCATTTTCTTCTTTTAATTTTTTATTTTCAGCTATCAAATCTTTGTTATCCCCTTTCAATTTAATCATTTCATCTTTCATTTGATCCAACCACACTTTTTTTCTTTCCCTACTTCTCATTTGTGCCATTCTATTCATTAACCTCCTTCTATCTACTTCACTTACATTTTTATCATAAATATCAATTAAGTTATCCTTTTCCAATGATTTTTTTGGTGAGATGCTTGGGTAAGGAATTTTGTGTTTCAATTCCAATCTAGGTCCACGCATCTTTAAATAAAGCTTATCAGTGTCGGATATTTCTAAGGGATCCTCTTCTGCTTTTCTTTTATGCAAAGCTTCTTTAAGTTTCTCCCTCAATTCTAATTTAAAATCGACATTTTTACCCGAATTATCATTCCACATCTCTTCATTACTATGGTTTGCTTCTGGTAATATAGCTTCACTTGAATTTGATGAGCACAAATCAATTTCAGTTTCAGGTTCAAACATAACTGATCGAAAATTTGGTGTTTCATCTTCACCTTCATAAATATCATCTAATTCATTGTCGGTTTTTATTCCTTCGTGTATAGGTATTACTGAATGTAAACTAAAATCTTCTGGGATATCAGGTTGTTCGTATTTTTGAGGCACCAATTTTTGAGAAGTTTCAAATATCTGTGGGGTGTGAAGAGAATCTTCTGATGTTGATTCAATAACATGAGTCATCCCATTTTTTGTGTTTTCTATTGCTTTTCTAAAGGTTTCATCAAATGGGTTTACATTTTGGAGATCTTGAAATAAACCAACCTCTTCACAATTCCTTATAAATCTTGTTGGAGTTGGTGTTTGATCTAAACACAATAATGTGGGGTTATAATAAAAGATTATATAGCAAAGAAAAACCTGCTATTGTTGGAGTTTTTGATAAACCCAAATTTAAAACCATATCATGTTTCTTGCTGTGGACACTCAAGTGATCTTCGTTTGAAAAGGACATATTGCAATCTTTATTTGTACATACGAAAGGTTTATCACTGTCCCCCATGGTAAATTGCATTTGGTTCCTTAAAAACTATAAATTATCAACTAATATAATCAATTAAAATTAAGATTTTCCTATTGTGATATTTGTAAACACCATTTCTAACCTAAAATTTTTCCATTTGACGTGTAGGTGTCAAAAATTCTAACCTATAAGATTCGATTTATATAAAAATTATTATTATTTCGCACTGATTAGAATTATGGAATTTTATTAAGTGAAACAAGATTGTTAGATAAAAATGGTTTACGATCATGGACAAGCCGTGAGACTGTTATACAAAACAATTTTAAAATTACACAGAGGTTTGCCTCCGGCGATGCAAGAATTGGGGACAAGATATGCAAGGGAAGAGTTTCGGAGACACAAAAAATGTACGCCAGATCAAGCTTTAATCTTTGTTAATGAATGGACGGTATTTTATTCGTTTTTAATACAAAAATTGGAGGTTATTTTTTATATATTCTTATTTAAGGATTATGCTATAACGTTAGCAAAACAATTAGGTGTACAAGGAATTAAAAAACATACTGAAATTGGGAAAGCACTCAATGATAAAGATTTGGATCATTTTCGTCCCGAACAAGTGCAACAATTGTATGAATTAATGCTTAATGCAACTGGACGTGAAAAGGATAAAATTAATGATAAAACATAAGTGGGTATTGTTAATAGAAAATATTTATTATATCAAATTTGTAGATAATAAATAAATTATATAAATTATCTTTCATTTTTACATAACCTGTATGAAAACAGCGCTATCTATTGAGTTAAAAGAATATATTTCTTATTTATTTATAATTATTGATTCAAATACAAGTTAATTAGCTTTTATCTTAATTAATAACTACAAATCGATTACTTATTATTACCTCACTACTTTTTGATTTACTCTCAAAATATTTAAATACAACAAATGAAATTAAATAGTAACTTTTATTTTTAGAAAGTTGGTACCGGTATCTCAATGTCACATACTTGTCAACTCGGTCAACTGTTGTCATCCCCTTTCTACAACATAGAGGCTATTTTATGTTTTCCGTAAAGTTCAAGTAACACAATTCGATATGGTACGTACATTTACATTAAAATCAGCACATAAAATACCTCATTTCGTTCATAAAGCTTTTTACCCGCGGAAATCTTAGATAAGCCTTCGATATCGTCGTTTTTACGTATCAACTTTTCGAATTTTCAGCCTACCACACCTCAGCAGTTATCTCCTGTTGAGGAACAGGAAAAGCTTCTTGATGAAGCTCTGAGTACTGTAAAAGCACAAGCTTTTCAAATGAAACGATGTTTGGATAAGATCAAGCTTATGGAAGCACTTAAATATGCTAGTGCTATGCTTGGGGAGTTAAGAACTTCTTTGTTATCGCCTAAAAGTTATTATGAATTATGTAAGTAGTAATCACTTATAATGTATAATTCTTATTTTTATTATTAATTATTTGTTGATTCTTATAGATATGGCAATAACAGATGAATTAAGACATTTAGAAGTCTACTTATTAGATGAATTCCAAAAAGGTCGAAAAGTATCTGATTTATACGAATTGGTACAGTATGCTGGTAATATCGTGCCTAGATTGTACCTTTTAATAACAGTGGGATTAGTTTACATCAAATCAAACAATAATTTGCGAAGAGATTTGTTGAAAGATCTGGTAGAAATGTGTAGGGGTGTTCAACATCCTTTAAGGGGATTATTTCTTCGTAATTATCTTTTGCAATGTACAAGAAATGTTTTGCCAGACGTTCCTGAGTTGGATAATGAAGATATTCCAGAAGGAAATGTTAAAGATTCAGTTGATTTTGTTTTAATGAATTTTGCGGAAATGAATAAGCTTTGGGTTAGGATGCAACATCAAGGACATTCAAGGGAGAGACAACATCGCGAGAAAGAAAGGGAGGAATTGCGGATTTTGGTTGGGACGAATTTGGTGCGATTAAGCCAATTGGAGTCTGTCACATTGGAGAAATATCAAAAATTAGTTTTACCTGGAATTTTGGAACAAGTTGTAAGCTGTAAAGATGCTATTGCACAAGAATATTTGATGGAATGTATTATTCAGGTTTTTCCTGATGAGTTTCATATACAAACATTAAACCCCTTTTTAAAATCTTGTGCAGAACTTGAACCTGGTGTTAATGTTAAAAATATTGTTATTAGTTTGATGGATAGACTTGCTAATTATAGTCAAAGATCTGATTCAATTGGTTTAAATGCGACGACAGAAACGGTAGGATTAGTAGGAAATCAAAGCGTATTTCCAACAGAGATTCAACTTTTTGAAGTCTTCTCTGATCAAGTAGCTTCAATAATCTCAAATCGACAATATCTACTTCACGAAGACATGGTTGCTTTACAAGTCGCCCTTGTTAACTTGGCCTTAAAGTGTTACCCCACCATAGTAGAATACATCGATAAAGTTATGTTAACAACAGTTGAAGTTTTTCATAGACTTGGTCTTGAAAGGCTTGAATCAAATTCAATGGTGGCCAGGGAATTGTCGAAACTTTTAAAAATTCCTTTGGATCATTACAATAATTTATTAACAGTTTTGAGGTTACAACATTATGCTGCTTTGATGCAACATTTAGATTATAATGGAAGGAAAACATTGAGTATTTACATTTTAAATAATGCGTTGGAAAGTGAAACAATCATCCCTACACAAGAAGAAGTTGAACAAGCTTTGAATTTGGTTTCTACTTTGATTACTTATCAACCAGATCAACCAAATGGGGAAATAGATTTAGAGGAATTATCAGAAGAACAAAGTTTATTAGCCAGATTTGTTCATCAATTTAAATCTGATTCACCTGATCAACAATATTTAATATTGGTTGCTGCAAGAAAGGTAAGAATTGCTTTGTTGTGTTTCTGTAATTGAATCACTAATTGCAGAAAGGATATATGTCAATAAAACTTAGTTTTGAGAAAAATGGAAAAAAAATTATTTTTTAAATATGGGCTTTATTCTTGCAAACTATTTTCTGGCTAGTAAAAATATCAACTATTATCAGTTGTTTGTGCCATAGATCATAAAAATAAATTTGTGTAATTAATTTTTAGTAAGATTTAATTATCAAAATCTTATACCCTTTCTGCAGTCAACTCAAAAGTTAATAAAAAGAGGGATAGTTTTCAAGAAACAGTTTAGTCAACTAAATACAAGAACAAAAACTAAACTTACAATGATAAATACCAACTCAAAGATACATTTTCTTATTCTATGATAGGCCAATCAAAAATTTCATTCCAAATCATGGTACAGTTGCATTGGGCCAGTTATATTGTTGGATAATTTCAAACAAAAAGTGCTAAATATGATACCATTACAGAATTTCTTGGCAACCACTACACCTTTTCCATTATCCTTCCAGTACAAAAATTGGTGAAACTTGCTAATGTTGAATGGTACTTTTCTATACCTCTTCTAGAAGTTTTGATAGAAATAGCAGCCTTTCTATACAGTTTGGGCCACCAGTCTTTGAAATTAATAATATCCTTTCCATCTATTAGGTCAATCATGACTATCTGTTTTGAAGTAGAGTTTGCTATTATCTCTAGGTACTGTTGTAGAGTATAAACACGATCATACTTTTTTAATTTTCGCTTAATGTGGGACAAATCTCTATCACAAGGTAGAAATGAGTGTACTCTAATAGGAAAGTATTGTTCTATATTGTCAACATCTACCTGTATGTATTAAATAAAGACACATTACAAGTGTAACTCTTACATTATCACCATAGTCATAACATTTTGACTGACCCTGTATACTTAATTTATCGTTATTGTAATAGATTTTAAAAAACACTCACTTTTGTATCTCAACATTTTTTACTAGCTATCTTACTTTAGGAGATAACTGACCGTTTCCATACATATTAGCGACCCTGTATAATTTTCATTATATTGATACAGAAAAGAACATACTTCATTGCGCCCCTTTTTGGCGTTACCCTCATGATATATAAAATACACAACTTCACCTGTCGTCATTTTATGAATACAGAACAAACTGATGCTTAATTACATTTAATAAAAGAGATCATGTACAGGGTGGGCCAAATTGGACACTTTTAAAGAGACACTCCTCTTTCTATAAGAGATAGGGGAAAATGATATCAGTGTCTGAGGCTCGATTTTTATAAGGCGAATTATGCAGTGTGCTATATTTTTGGAAAGGAAATTTTATGCTCGTCGAATTTGCAAAAATATATAGGGTGTTCCATTTAAAAAAATCACTTTTATGTCAATAACTGCTAAAATATTGCTTTGAGGGGAAGCTAACTTATTCCATCGAATTCTACATAAAAGGTTGCTTTGAAAATGTTTTCACAGAAAGGAAGATTTATCAAAAAAAAAAATTTTATGACGANTTCCATTATCCTTCCAGTACAAAAATTGGTGAAACTTGCTAATGTTGAATGGTACTTTTCTATACCTCTTCTAGAAGTTTTGATAGAAATAGCAGTCTTTCTATACAGTTTGGGCCACCAGTCTTTGAAATTTATAATATTCTTTCCATCTATTAGGTCAATCATGACTTTCTGTTTTGAAGTAGAGTTTGCTATTATCTCTAGGTACTGTTGTAGAGTATAAACACGATCATACTTTTTTAATTTTCGCTTAATGTGGGAAATATCTCTATCACAAGGTAGAAGTGAGTGTCCTCTAATAGGAAAGTATTGTTCTATATTGTCAACATCTACCTGTATCTATTAAATAAAGACACATTACAAGTGTAACTCTTACATTATCACGTATACAGGTCGCTGATATGTATGGAAACGGTCGGTTATTTCCTAAAGTAAGATAGCTAGCAAAAAATCTTAAGATACAAAAGTTGTAGTGTTTTTTAAAATCTGTTACAATAAAGACAAATTAAGTATACAGGGTCAGTCAAAAAGTTATGACGAAACCAAGTTGTTTTCTTTAATGAAACACTCTGTATATTATTCCATATTTCTGTTTATCTCGAAATTGTAAACAAAATTCATGTAGCAGATCGTAAACCTAAACTTAACCGTTTTCGAGATATTGAACTTTGAAAATCACTCTTATAAATTACACAAAAATATTTTAGTCGATCTCCATAGCAACGCAATGACATAACACATTTCAAAAATACAAAAATTAGTTTGCACCCAAAGATAATTTACGTTACTTATTAGATAAATTCGTAAATTTTTAAAATCTCGATATCTGGAAAACGGTTAAGTTAAGGTCTATGATGTGTTATATGAATTTTGTTTAGAATTTCGAGATGAACTGAAATATGGAATAATATACAGGCTGTTCCATTAGAGAAAACGTAATTTTGTTTCGTCATAACTTTTTGACTGACCCTGTATACTTAACTTGTCTTTATTGTAATAAATTTTAAAAAACACTCACTTTTGTATCTCAACATTTTTTACTAGCTATCTTACTTTAGGAGATAACTCACCGTTTCCATACATATCAGCGACCCTGTATAATTTTCATTGTATTGATACAGAAAAGAACATACTTCATTGCGCCCCTTTTTGGCGTTACCTTCATGATATATAAAATACACAACTTCACCTGTCGTCATGTTATGAATACAGAACAAACTGACGCTTAATTACCTTAAATGAAAGAGATCTTATACTGGTGGGCCAAATTGGACACTTTTAAAGGGAAACTCCTCTTTCTATAAGAGATAGGGGAAAAATGATATCAGTGTCTGAGGCTCGATTTTTATAAGGCGAATTATGCAGTGTGCTATATTTTTGGAAAGGAAATTTTATGCTCGTGGAATTTGCAAAAATATATAGGTGTTCCATTTAAAAAAATCACTTTTATGTCAATAACTGCTAAAATATTGCTTTGAGGGGAAGCTAACTTATTCCATCGAATTCTACATAAAAGGTTGCTTTGAAAATGTTTTCACAGAAAGGAAGATTTATCAAAAAAAAAATTTTTATGACGATTTTTCGAAATTGAAAAACAGCCTGTATCTCTGAAACCGTAAGAGATATCAATATGCGGTTTTCGCCATTAAGTTTCTTAAAAAAATCGAGCCTCAGACACTGATATCATTTTTTCCTCTATCTCTTATAGAAATAGGAGTTTCCTTTTAAAAGTGCCCAATTTGGCCCACCCTGTATAGGATTTTTTGGTAGTTGCAAATTTTGCATGTAGTCGAAAATTAATACTACAACATTATTATTTTCTTTTGATACTGTTGTTGATTCCTGTTAAGTCGTATAAAACTTTTTGCTACGTCTTTTAAGGATAATCATTTCTGCCACAGCAACTCGTTTAACATTTTCTCTTAGACTTTTACTCTTTATTTTTATTGAACGTTTTTCGCACGTGCAACATGTATCTACTAAATTTACTGCCTACCAAATTTAAGATCAAAATCTTCTCTGAATAGTTTATTATAATATTCGTATTTCATTTTAGTATTTGGAAATTTTTGTTGAAACATTGAATACATAGTTACAGCACTTATACACATTGAATACATACTTATCGCATTAGTACTAGTCTGTTTCTCTCTTTTATCTTTAGGTGTCATGCCTTTTTGTAATAATTGCTGAAGGCGCTGTAATCTTTTATTACTTATTGAATGCAAGCTTAAAAAACGCATTTTTACATATCATTCGTTTTTCATTCATTAAATAATAATAATAGTAATATTTAAATGTCGAATTACGCAATTCTTCTGCCTTGCTGTTTGTATTTGTTCGCGAACGACGTTGAGATACCTTCTTTATAGCCATGTATCCTTGTAAATACAGATCTTGCTCATCTTTAGTCGCTAAATTATAGAACTTCGTAAAAATTTTTAACTGCTGGTTATCATCGATTTTCTTAAAACACTGTAGTTTACAATGACAAGGAGTTCCAACACTCTTAGCAGCAATAACAAAACCGGTAATTAACATAATCTTTGCGCTTAACACGAATAAAAATTGTACCCAACCTTAACTATATTTTACTTGCGATAAACGAACTTTCCATTTGGTCCCAGTTAATTTCCCCATCATTTCAAAAATACACACTTTTAACTGACGTACAACATGTCAGAATCACGAAAACTGCGCACTACACGATGCGCGTTCTCCGAAATGCATGAAGAGATACAAGTCATTGACTTATACCCTTTCTACGCTCAATGGTGAATAATTGAGGCGTTTTAAACGTGTTCTGGTGTTGCAATATATTTTATAACTGATATAAAATATACGTTTTCAAGAAAATCTCAAAATGGCCGAAATATTGACTTGTATCCTTTCTGCACTCAGCGATTCAATTACAATAAATTATGGCAAAAACTTTAGCAACATTTATAACACCAATTATTTTCTATTTAGATTCTTGGAGCTGGTGATCCAAAGCGTTTAAAACATACATTACCCCCCTTGGTGTTTCAAGCATACCAATTGGTTTATAAATATAAAGAAATAAAAAAAGAGGATGATATGTGGGAGAAAAAATGTCAAAAGATTTTCCAATTTTGTCATTCGACAATTACAGCATTAGTTAAAGCGGAATTAGCTGAACTTCCACTTAGGTTGTTCCTACAAGGTGCTTTGGCGATAGATCAAATTGCGTTTGAAAATCATGAAACGGTAGCATACGAATTTTTCACTCAAGCGTTTTCTCTGTACGAAGATGAAATTCCGGATTCAAAAGCACAATTGGCAGCGATTACTTTGATTGTTGGCACGTTAGAACAAATAAGTTGTTTCTCGGATGAAAATGCGGAACCGCTTCGAACGCAATGTGCGCTGGCTGCTAGTAAGTTGTTGAAAAAACCTGATCAATGTAGGGGGGTGGCGACATGTTCACACTTGTTTTGGAGTGGTAAAAAACAGGGTCCGAATCGAGAAGAAATGCATGACGGTAAACGTGTTGTGGATTGTCTTAAAAAAGGTATACGTATAGCGAGTCAATGCATGGATAATGGGGTTCAAGTTCAGTTATTTGTGGAATTGATGAACCATTACGTGTATTTCTACGAGAAGAAAAATGAAGAAGTGAGCATACAATTACTCAATCAAGTTATATCGAAGATAAAAGAGGAACTGCCCAACGTTGAAAGTTCAGAAGAAACCGAACAAATACAAAAGCATTTTAATAACACATTGGATCATTTAAGGTCTAGGATAGAATGCGCGGAAGCGGATGGACCTTCGTACGAAGGTTTAGAAATTTAAGTCCTACTAATCGAGTAAGTATTTTTTTTTCTTTTTAAAAGCTGTAGATATTTTTAAGTGTATATTCTGGAACATGTATCTATGCCGTTTACTCGAAATCTGTTATTTATATTTAGATTCGTTATCGTATTTTATAAGCACGAACAAACAACATCAAAAAGAAATCATGGTAATTTAATTTTCCTCTTCCTAAATTTTTGATTTGTAACATTGGTAATTCGTTTCATTTGAAGGTGTATAGTTAACTTTATCATATCATCAAAGTTTGAAATATTTATATTGATTAAAATAGGGCACTCGTACAGTCGTAGATTTAAAATTAATTTCTATTTTTTTTTTAGAAAACGACAAATTTAGGTGGGCTTTACATGATCATTTTAGTTACATTTTCGTCCTTTATCTATACTCTTTCTTTGTTAATTATATTGCTTTATACACCTTTAAGCTATGTTATCAATAAATGTTAAAAAAGAAAATTGAGATTTTTCTTTTTAAAGCAGACATATGAGCCAAACTATATACTTTCAAAATATATGGACATAATCATTAATTCAAGTATATAGTTATAATAATCTTATCAACATTGTGATGGAGTTGTAACGTTTAAGAATAGATAGAATGAATTGCAAATTGTGAAGTATGTATGCGCTTTCACCCCATTTTATCAAAACCACACATATTTTATGTCCACCTCGCGAAAACGCGATACAAAAATGTTAAATTAATCCCAAATAATAATATGAGTTAATTAAAGTGTTAAGTGTGAGTAGTATAGCTATGTGCGTTTTGGACGAAAATCCCATAAGATTTAAGGCCTTGATACATCCGGATCCGGACACAAAACTTTTGGTTTGGCTTACAATCAGAACACAGCATTCTCCGAACTCTCTTTTTGGCGGGAAATTTAAATGAGGCTACCCCCCACAATCCCCTGTCGTTTATAACAAGCATGAACAATATGGCACGGGTGAAAGAAAACTGCCAAAGGGCCTTATTTACTTATCGAGCTGATGACGTCATGCTGCTAGATCGTGTGGTGCTTTTTGATAGTCACCTAGCTAATCATGTACCGGTTAGGTGCGGGGTGTTGGAAGTTCAGATGGAATCCACAATACCGGATCGTTGGAACAACATGGGTGAAAACTGCCGAAAGGACCTTATTTAGTTATCGAGCTGACGATGTCATGCCGCCGGATCGTTGGGTGCTTGGTGGTGGCAACTGATTTTCTGGAGCTTCTTTAAAATAATCTGCGGATGATTGTGTTTGCTTATATTTCTTATACCATCGTCTCTATTCTTTTGCACGAATGTTCTATTTATATAGTTGTACATATGATACACTAGCTCAAGATATGAAAGTGTTCAATATATTTTCCACGAGGAATAATAGGATTAATATGTAGTATGCACTATCAAGGGATAGGTTAGGCAAACATTTAAATAATCCTATTTTAATGTCAAATTATTTTGCACGAATATTCTATTTATATGTACATATGGAAAACTAGCAGCATAAGATATGTAAGTGTTTAACATACTTTACGCGATAAGAGAGCTCCCTCAGCTTTACGTTCTTTTAGAGCATCGTGAATCCAGTACCGTCGTCGCTGTTTTTGCGTTACTTCTTCCTCGTCCAAAATAATGGCAATCATTGCCAATTGTCTGATAGATAACTTTCTAATAGCCATACCGTCGCTTTTTTGATACTATCCGCAGGTAGGCGCAACAGCAAAAACGTACAACAACTAACAGATCTGGTGCTGCACTAAACGGGATCCGAATGGGGCATCTACAGTTTGCATACACGGGCATAATACGCGTTTCATACGAGAATAGAACGCTGTTGGGTCGTTGCAGTGGGCATAGTAGTGTTCGGAATGTTTTCTTACGTACTTGACACGTTCCTGTTACGGTCCTAGTATGGAACGGTGTAGTGGGCAAAGACCTTATGGAAAACATATAATAAGTTGGGCAATGGGCGTAAGCATAGACGTTCTGTTCCTGAACGTTTTTGTGATGCAGATGAATTCAATGATTATTTCTTGAACAATTCAAATAATAAACAACACTACGTTACGAAATTTTAAACAATTGTTTGCTTTTCATACTGTAACACCGGGTGAAGTGGCTAAAGTTATATCATGTATTTACTCCAATGCCGTTGGAAGCGATCTTCTTGGCATAAATACAATAAAAATGTCGTGTCCATTCTTATTAGATATGATTACGCATATCATTAATAGATGTCTCTTGGAAGCCGTTTTCCCTGACTGTTGGAAGATTTCTATAGTCACTCCATTGCCAAAAGTTAACTCTCCTAAGTGCTATGCTGATTTTAGACCTATAAGCATTTTACCTGCTGTTTATAAAACACTAGAACCTATTGCTTTGTGACATCATACCTGACAACCAGTCAGAGTTTAGACCGGTTTTTACCATTAATCAGCTCAGGATTAATGTAGAGAAGTGTAATGCTATCACTTTGACACGTAGAACTACTCCTATCCCTTCATCTTACTGTATAGGTGGGGTCTCACTGCTTACGTGGACTTCTGTCAGAGATCTGGGAGTTCACTGTTTATAGTAACTTCTTCATCACAATCACTTTCAATTTCCGATATCACTATTTCAATAACTGTAAACTTTTTCTGTTACTAAGTAAACAGCGATTGCTGTTGGGTCTCGCCCACCAGAATAAAGAAATCTGGTAATTCCGTTGTATCATTACAGTATAAACAAGATAAGCAATTCCTCGTAGTACATGCATTAAAAATGTATCAACCCAGATGAGATCAACGGTTTTGAGAGACGGTTTTTAAATATATAATACCAAATTGATGATGTGCATGCATCCAATGCCGTCTGTGAGACATGTAAGGATTAATATCTGCTCTAAAAGGTTTTTTTCAAGAAAAGATTTGAGATAGGGATAGAATAGAGATAACAACTACCTGCAGCTGATTTTCGTCGTTTGCAAAATGTAAGTTCTAGTTTATTTGGGTATGCAATCTTTATGACACAAGTCTGGGAAAAATTGGAGTTGGAATCAATTCATTTGAAGGCCAATACAACCAATACGATAACTTGTAAATGTATTTATACAATGTAAATGTGATTTATAGAAGTACCATGCATTTGATGGTGTTCTTGGCTGCAGTTCGGCATATTTATTAGTTTCATTTTCAATTATGTGCCGAAACATATCTTCTAATAAATGAAATGTACAACCAGGTGTTTCCATGAATAGACATTTTTGTGAATTGGGTTGATCTACATTAATTTCTATCCAACCTGATCTAGTACTCATTGGCATATTATCATCGTCTGTCGCCTGTCGGTTTCTGACTCATATTTCACCTGAGAATGAAACTCCACCTGTTATATAGATGTCTCAACTATTCATTTTAACACTTACAATATTTATAAAGTGCAAGTTTTATTATATTAATTGTTATTGTAAAACGAGTATAGTTTTATGACACAAGAAGTAAATATAAATTTTTTTGAAGAGGTAATAAAAAATCAATCAATTAACATTCAAATATACGTCATTTTATTTTAACTCTAACAAAATTCAAAAAGTATAATATAAAACGCTACAACTACGTATACTTTATACACAAGAATTGTAACGACTAAGTAGTCGAGAACTAAACGGCCTTCTCATCATATATGTATACGTTTAACAGCGCGCTATGACCAATATTGCTATTTCTTAGTGAATATAATGTCGGTTAAATTCACTATCTAAGTATGTATAATATGTATACTCGAAAAAGGAAACTTATTTATAGAAAAATACCGGTTACTAAACGCGATCGATTTTTATTTAAAAAAATCGTTTCGTTTCTTCTTTTAGCGAGAGAATTTACGCTGGCGATGAATGGTGATTTAGATTTTTTTAAATAGTTTTTTTTCTTATTTTTTTTTTATTGCGATCAAAATATGATATGATTTCAACAGTCTTAAGCTATTAATTCATTTTTATTAAATGATTTTTTTGTGAATCCGTTTTTATTAGTTTGTAGATTGTAATTTGCGAAATTATGCGTTTAACTTCTTAACAAGTAACTTTTTCTTAAAATCAAATACAACTAAGCTTAGATTTTAATTAAATGATGTGTGCAATTTTATATTTTATCTTGAAATGTAACACTACATGTCGATTTATTAAGTTAATTTTATCAACTTCGGCTTTGGGGGTGTATTAATGATGTTTATATATTATTAAGGTGTGTATAAATTGAGAGTGAACCATAAATTAAATATTATTATTATGTCTTAGATGGATTGTTGTAATTTAAATTATAAACTTAATTCCATTAATATTATTGTTATTTATTATTTACAGGCAACATCAGTTTATACATACCTAATAATGCAATTACATAATAATTCCTTATTATTATTAGTAAGTATTAAGGCTTACAGTTTATCCGTTTGTTTTGCTGTTAACTTTGTTAAATCATGTTATTTTATCTCCATCACATCGCCGTGTTAGAAGATGATATCAAACGTTAAGTGCATGTTTGATTGCGGAAAGGTGACGCATATTACAAGTTATCGATATACATCAATTTCTCATCGAAAGATTCCAGCCATACGAACCTACACAACTAATAATAAATTTTTTATTGTAAATAGTACAAGAGTACGGAAGATTCTTCTGTACACACGTGTTATAATATATAACTTGTTGTGAGCAATCTAATCAATAAAAGGGAATAATTAAATCGTACATTCAAACGCATACTATTAATAAGGGGATGTTTTCACGTCGAGAATCAATCGTCCTCGAGAAATAGTCTGAAGATTAACACGAAACGTATTTTTATCACTTTTTTAGTTTAAATACCGGGACAATTAAACCCGAAAATAAGAACTTTTTTTTTAATGGCTCGGAGTCACAGTCATCCAATAACAATAAATTAGAAACCGAACCGTTCGATTCAAATTCTAAACGTACCACTCTTTAATATCTTTACTTTCGCGTTTCTTCTTTTGCATTTGACCATTTTTCTCCGCACCATTTCTAAGGGCTCCATTCACTTGATATTGAGTTTGTACAGTTGTGCTACTTGTGGCTCCTAATAAAGAAGCGTTCGGTCCTTGTTGATAACCTTTCCCATCGTCGACTTTATATGATCTATCGCTCCTCGATTTAAATTTTAATATCACTAAAATAATTAGGATAACTGCTATAAGGGCGCCAGCTATTATTCCGATTATTAAAGCTACGATTTCGGACATTTCTGAATGAATTCTTTCGGGTTTCTTTGTTGGTCTTGTATTTGGAATGTATTCAGGCATGGTTCTTATGGTAGGTTCTGGAATTCGGTAAGTTGTCGGTGTTGTTACAGATGGTTCGGTTACTGTTGTTGAAGTGGTTGATGAAGTGGAGGAAGAACTCGTCCCGGATGATGATGGATTCAATGATGACGACGACTGGAAGTTTGTCGTTGGAGACGATGGTCCATCTGTTGGATATGTACTTATTGAAGTTGAGTCACTTCCGGTGGTTTGAGATGATGAAGAGGAAGATGAAGATGATAGTGATGATGATGTATCTACAAGAAAATTTTCTTTCAATTTGAAAAAAAATTTCTTATATGTTTTAATTACCTAAGCTTGTGCTGCTTCCTTGTTGTGTTGAATTTTCAGAAGCAGTGGTTTCTTTATTTTCTTCAGTTGTAAGTTCACCTGATCCGGATCCACCAAATCCGCAATCTTCATCGTCACAATTTGATTCGGGACTTTTTGTAGCCGGTTTTGTTGTGGCTGGGGGGCGAGTTGAAGGAACATAAACTGGAGTTATTAAATCGTCATCTCCAGAACCGTTTTCTGGCAAAGGCGGACATTCGTCTTCATCATCCTCATTGTTACATCCCGAGCCAGCTCCACTAAATACTAAGTCATCCATGACACCAGGAAATCCAGAAGCAGGAGTCTAAAATTTTAAATTAATACTTAAATATTTTTTGAATTAATTTTAACCTGTTGCATTTTTTGAAACGGTTCTTGTACTTCCATGATACCAATTCCAGTCATTAATTGTACATCTCCTCTAATGGAGGTGTGAATATCTTTTTCAGCCGCTAAATCAAGTATTCTCATACCATTAACTACAACTCCAGCTATTATACCGGAAAAAGGTCGTTCAATTCTTGATTTTCCTTTACTCCATTTACCACCAATTTGAATTTGAGATTGGCTGTTAAACACTTGTAATTGATGACCTACAATTTTCAATTTAATTATCATTTAAAACAATTACATTAATTAAATACCACTTGGATAACTAAATTGGACGTTATAATCGTCGACTTGCAAAGTTGAATTTGATCCAATTCTTTTAAATCTTACAACGTGATATGTGTTATCGTTAACTTTTATTGAAATTTCTCCTAGGGGGTGGTCATTAGTACCTAAATTGTATACTATAAAAACGTTGCCCTCAACGATTTCTAATTCAACGTAATCATTTGATGTGCCGCTTATTATTCTTAAAAGTACGGCGTCTGATTTTGTCGTTACGAATCCTAATGAAATTGTATCTTCTTGCATTTCAGGTCTTCTATCTTCAGGAAAAGTGTACGTGATTATTCCTCTGTTTGGGCCAAATTCATAAGCAATTGATTCTATAACATAATAATTAATTAAGTAAATTTTTTAATATAATCATTTATACCATCAGAACATGTTGGACCTGTATATGTTGTCATTTCGCAATCACAAGTATAAGAATTCCATTGCTGAACGCAAACACCACCGTTTGCGCAAACATTTTGACTACATTTTTGAGATGCACCTAAAAACAATACATTATTAAAAATTATCCATCAAAAATTTATATTTTTAATACTTTCACATCCAGCTGTAACCAAAGAACTATGCACAACAGCATCTTCCATAATATTCGGCGATTCCCCATTAAGATCCAAACCCGCAATACAACCTTCAAATCCATGTCTAGCTTTAATATCTTCCTGTGGCAATTGAGGATACAAATCTTTATGCACACCCCCAAGATAAAGAATGCCATCCAATTCCAAATTACCGGAACCTTTACTTGTCGTAACAAAAATATCATCATCAACCATCAATGTATGTTGTTTAGCGGATGGTCTTCGAATTCCAACAGTATGCCACCTGTTGTCGTTAAGATGTGATTTTGACGAATCTTTTAAATGAATCGCTCCATCCCCGACATTTACGACATAATGAATATGACCTTCGACCAATTCCACTGCAATAAAGTCTTCTTTACGTCCTCCGTTAAATAAAATTAAACCGTTTGATTCGCGAGTTCTGAACATAAAATCTATGTGTATGCTAGAATAAGCACGAAGCATGGGTAAACCCATGAAGGTGTGTTTTGATCTAAAAGTGACCGGTTTATGAAGGTTGTCGTTAGTTCTTTTAACGAATTTTGCTGTTAATTTAATGTTTGGAAACCCGGATATTGGTTGTTCGCTACTGGATGATTTCGCCAATTCGATATAAGCGATATTATTAAAGTAAAATTGTTGAATTTCCCCTATAAAGTTAGGCATAGTTGTGCTCATACTGATTTCTTCTTCCTGATGGTATAATCCACCTAAGTGAATCGTTCTCCATTGAAGCGTGTTGTGTTTTCCGAATGTTTCGGCTATGCAAGTTAGATTTTCTGTATATTTTGGATTAATATTATTGAATAAGCAATGTTAATCTTACCGCGTAATGGACTTTGATTGTCTAATTGTAGTTTAAGGTTTGCTCCTCTTCTTGAAAAACGAATTGTATGCCATTCGTTATCGTTTACGTTCTGGCCAGCTAAAAGTACCTGTAAGTATTTATTTTAATATTGTTAGATATGAGATTAAGAAATAAGTTTGTAAAAATTTTAAAAAGTCTGACAATAGCTTTCATTGAAGACAGAAAAATTAAAAGAGCTTATCACGACATTGATAATATGATATCATGTATTAACCAAAGATGACCATAAATAATAATGAATTCTATTCAAACACTTTGAATATACACTTTGAAAAAAAAATAGAAAAACGCGACAATTTAGATTTAATGTTTGCTTAAATAAGTTGAAGGTGATCCACCGTGGCCTATGGAAATAAAGTCAGTTTTACAGGGTTCGAGGATGACGTTTAAACATCTTTCATAAACTTCTCGATAGTTGTTCGAAGTTTTCGGCATTAGCAGTTTCTCGAAAAACGAGATCATGACATGTAAGGTACTTTTTTCCATCTCGTTAAGTTTCGGAGATAGCCTATGCGGACAACGAATTTTTGACACCTGTACAGTGGATCCTAGATAAGGTTGCCTCGCTTATTCTGCTGTTCTCGGCGTTTGAACTTTCTGGCTTGTATCAACACCGATACTGCTTTTTCACGAGGTATTTTATGCTACACCAAAAGTGTGTGATTTAGACTTGTCAGTCGATCAATAGAGTTCTTCTAACCTCATTAAAACCCCAAAGTGTAGGTAGAATAGTTTATACCCTATATGGTCAAGGTGATCACCAGAAACGAACTGTGGATACTGGTTGACTTTCAGTTACATTACTGAGCTATGTGGTTTGTCCGCGTCACAAATTTCTTCTTCATCTCCATATGAAAAGTTGCATTCGAAAGATGATGAGACGCTTGTTTCAGTTATCCTGCTCAGATACAAGTTCACACCAGCCTCTTCATACGTAGGATAGAGCTCAGATTAAGGCGGTTGTAGGAATAGACCACATGTATGTATGGATTGGGAAGTGCATGCGAAACTGCACGCCACACTTCATTGGGCCCCTTGTGCATCCTCCCATTACACACTCTGGTCACATCAACGAGCCTAAGGATTTGCCAAAGGCTAGGACAGCTTCTAGAAGTGCATTGGTCATTTCTTCCCGAAGGTCCTCATTCTGAGGTCGGTCAGATCACACAAGATGTGTTTAACCGTCTCGTCATCCTGTTCACAGAGAGGGGTGTCAGCAAGCTTCATGTTTTGAAAGTGCTTATTTAGCTTACAGTGTCCTGTGAGGAGATCTGTGGCAGTGCGAAGGCACATTTACCGAGCCCTACGAAGAACTGGGCTGTTGCGGCTGAAGGATATTTTAATACCAATAACCAATGGAATAGACCACATATGTATAGTATTAATCAAAAAGATTCTCTTTTGTGTGCGATGTTGAAGTATATTCCGTTGGACCAGAGCAAACATATATTTTTTTTTAAATTATGATGTGTCTATTAAAGTCATGGGTTTGTGGTTATAGTTTGGATTTTGGCAGAGCCTATTGGCAACGAGTACTGGAATTGTGGAAAGAGCGTCAATCAATAAATGTAAACTAGGAAGAATTCCAGAGTTATTGTATTCTTGAGGTTGAAACTGAGGATACGGTGCGATGAGAAGGGTTGATAGGACAGCCATTAAATCCGTATTGAGATCAGTCACCCAGCTAGGTATTTGTTCTTCCAAAGCAACTTTCAACTTTTATTTCCCAAGCATTTGAAGCCTAACTATTAATTCTTTTGCTTTATATTTATTATATTAGGTTTAAAAAAGTGTTGTAACCTTTGCAGATTGGATTTCGTCCAGAATTTTTAACCACTATATTATTGTTTTTAACGTTTTGTTGTTTAACTCATTGTTTTAGTTGACATCCTACAAACAGTAGTGAATTGCTTACTTACGGAAGTGTTGGGACGAGAACATAAAAGTGCAGAATTGACGATGTACATTTGTAAAGATGCCGGTTTTTAAAAAACTCAATTTTTGTATAAACCCAAATTTAAAATGAATGAAAATTTATAATAATTAAAATTTTAAATTAGAAAAACAATCGTAATTTAAACGAAAATTAAAATGCGTTCAAATTTGTAGATTTTCAGTATTTATTATTTGCGATCAACATTAATATTCAATCTTTACTTTCAGTTACTAATTGAAAACGATTTCCAATAGAGTTGAAATTTCCTGTGAAATTAGTGGTTTCCCAACAAAGTTTACACAAGTATCAATGATTTAATTAACTTCACGATATTAATTTCCATTAAAGCGCTGCTTTTACATTCGATACTGTTTACTCTATTTTATTATTTATGTTACCAGCGTTTTTATTTTATATTTTATACAGATTTCAAGCACAAAGAGAATTATAAACAGGAACGCTACATAACAATTATTTTATGTATAAGGTTTCAAACAACAAAAACATAAAAAACGGTGGAAAACTTTATATGGAGAATTGTATGTATCAAATGTAGTTTTGGTAGCATTACGTGTACTCCAATTTTCCGGCTTAACCCGTGAAACCGGTAAATCTTTTTCCAATACAGCAAGTGGATCGGACACACGAAACAATTTACCGGCTTATGAAGTGGCATTGTTTTTATGCTTTCTTTTATTAAAATGTCAAATGCACGTGGTGAGTGTTACCAGGCCGATCGGGATTCAAAGTTTATGTTACAACCAACAAAGTGCTATCGGACGCGCGTAAAAGGAACCTTTAAAATATCCGTAAAAGACTTGCAACGACGGAAGCAGCGAGATAGCTAAGTTTGTTATTAAAAATTCTGACTTGAGTTATGCGCCCGTGTCGGAGTTTGAGTTCAAGAACGCTAGATGCGTTAATTAAAAAAGTTATGGAAAATTAAATATTGGATTCAGAGCCAGGCGACGACGCTTTTGCACGGAAACTTTGTTACCTACTAAATATTTATCAAGCATTTTAACAGGTTAAAAAAATGTTAGTCATAATTACCTTATCTTTATCTCGATCCTCTTGTTTTTTATCTTTAACGCCTAATCGTAAAGCTAATCTAATCCTATTAGCAGCAACGGCAAGTTCAATCCTATCTCCAGTCTCCACAGTACTAGTAATCAACAAAAGACCAAGCGGTTTGCTTGTTCTAAATCTCAAAACAATATCCTCGGTTTGCGTAACAACATCGGCATCCATTGTTACTGCCATGTGCTGGGATCCATTGAAACTGAGCGTTGGGGCTTCTTTACCACATGTGGGGCCTCCAAATGTGGTATCCGTGCAATCGCAAACGAAACGATTCCATCCTTCGCTACACGAACCGCCGTTTAAACAGGGTTGCGAAGGGCACTGCAAAGGCTGCACGTGGCATAACGTTTTAATGGCGCCTGAAACCGCAAGAATGGTTAATTTGACGTTTTGGAAATGTGTATGTGTGTGCAGACGTTTGTGCGAACGTACACGGAATCGTTGAATAGTTTCCGGGCGATATACGAGAAATGAAGTTCAAAGTTCGAATGGGTTATGCCAGAGTTGTTTCGAACGGCGTGAGCGTGTTTTAATAAAACGGTAGTAGGGAATGATTTATGCGTTGTATTTTAGAATAAAGGGAATGTGTGTGTAAAACGATAAATTTAAAGTTTTAAAAATTTATTAATTTATTTTTTTTATTCTTACCTGAATCTTGTTCTCGAGCATAAGCAGCTACCTCGATGGGTTCATTATTAATGATGAGATCCATAAGACAACCAACAAATCCTTGTTGAAGAACTGCCGTCCATAAACCAGGGGGAATGGGAATGTCAGAAAAAGGAGGTCCGAGACCGCCAACGTACATACTTCCGTCCAGCTCCAAGCTGTTGGAGCCTTCTGAAACTAAGACACTAACTTACTGCCCTTTTAAGACGAGATAACTTTTCATTTTATTTTTTTTCTTTTTACTTTTTCCCGTTGAAATTTATCTTTGAAACACCCTGACGGACGTCCCCAGTCGATAAATTATAATTAAGCGGAACTTCCCGTAATTAAGAGCGAGCAACAACGGGGTAATTAATTGTTTGTCGCCACTCGAGCCCAATTCTATTTCCGACAGCATGCCGTTAGGAGTAATGAGCCTCGAGTTGATGAAAAATATTGAAGTGCGCGGTTGGGAGGATTTAAACGCCACTTCTCGTGGTGTGCAACAAGAATTATTGCCGTCCGGTTTTCCTGTAAGTACTCACCAGGACACTTGAAATCCGTGTGGTAACCATCCACCGTTATCCTTGCTTCTCGTGAATTCCTCTTGAATGTCGCTTCGTGCCAGAGACCATCATCAACTCTCCTCTTCGATCCACGTTGTTTAGTCGGTCCTGACCCCAAATCCAGATGAACATAAATGTGACCATTATAAATTTCAATCGCAAATAGGTCAGTCTGCAAACAAAAAAAATCCAAAGGAAATTAACTTTTACTAAAGGAAGTTGGTCTTACCCTCGGCGGTCGAATTCCTCCGTTGAAAAGGATAAGCCCATTCGCCTCGTTTGTCCGGAACTTGAACGAAATGCTGCCCGATTTCTTGGCGTTCCATGCTGGCAGCACCTAGAAAATAGAGAAAATGAATACCAACCCAAAGGCAAAGGTATACTATTGAGCGTTGAGCAGGTAAGCAGTAGGATTCGTTCTTATTATCACCAAGCAGCGGATATACGAACCAAATGGGATTCTCTTGTTGTAAACGTAATGGGGTCGTGAGTTTCACCCATCGGACACTTCCATTCCAATTGCCCCGATATCGTTATGATGTCGCTGTTCGATTTTCCCATTTCCAACAAATTCAGTCGTAATGTGTCTGCTACGAATTCCACCTAAATAAACGAAATATGTTAATGTATATAAAAAACTAAAATAAAATGCAAAAAAGAACATTTATGGGTGCTCTAGATTCGAAGATAATGCGATACGTTAAATATTGATTACTATGCGCAGAAAGTTACTTCCCTAGGTATTCGAATTTATGTCCGTTGCTGTAATACAACAGGGAAGGATAAAGAAAAAAACAATCCATATTTTATGAACTCATCGATTTTTAGATCCATCCATCCAATGATATTTTATATCGAAGTAAATTTATACGGGAAAAAGGAATATATTTTTTGATTAAATAACCAGTTCATTTATTTAAAAGTATTTGAGTAGCAATTCAAAAAAAAATAAAAACAAAGAAAATACACGAAAAATAATAAATGTTTTATAAAATGAATTTCATTATGTTTAAGTAAAACTATTTTAGAAATTCTTTATTCGGAAAACCGAACTCAAAGTAATAAGCTCTAAGTGGGAACTCAGTAACGAGAGGAGAAGACATTCACTTAGGAAACCTCCAAGATCAAAATTGATTAAATGGACTATAAATGCTGATTGGACGGTCACGCAGTATAAAGGGGGATGGATCCAGGCTTATTGATAGGTTCCCTTCATCAGGTTTCATTATAACCAACCTTATTCCCAAAATCATTAATTTTGGGATTTGTATCCGTCGCAGTCTTTTAGGGAAATTGGTTATTTGTTTTTATTAGACATCACATAAGATGCAGATGCATGTTTCACGTTTTATGAAAATATGTATCCTATTTGCCTATAATCTATAATTAAAAGACACCTAAAAACAACGAGACTTGTAGAAGTCTAAATAAGTGTGTGTAATTAATAAATGAATATTGAGGGACGAAACTCATCCTATACATTGAGGAAGACTGGAAAGATACTGTAGAGGCATGAAATGTAAATTAGACAGAAAAGAGGAAGACTGGAAAGAGATTTGCAATAAAAAAACGAAACTGAACAGGAATAGGATAGAAAAGAAAAAGTGATAATATGAAGATTGAAAAGAGACTGTAAAAGGAAGAAAGATCCTAGACAGAGAAGAGAAATGCAGGAGAATAACAATAGAAGAGACAGACGAAGACTTGAAAAAATAAGAAGGAACTAGTAAAAAAAACTAGAAAAAGACTTGACAGAGAAGATAAAATCTTGGAAGAGATTGATAATAGTAAGACTCCAAGAAGTAATGATAATGAAAGAAAGAGAACAAAAACTAGAAAGAGGAAAAAAATTTAGACACAGTGAATACTAGAAAGAGAGTGTAAAAACAAAAGAGTCTTCATAGAGCAGTGTAAAGTGGGAAAGAAACTGCCAAGAGGATAAAGCGACTGAACTGAGAAGGAGGAAACTGGAAATAGATTGCAATAGCAAGAAAGAGATTGGACTGAGGAGAGGAGGACTGAAGGGACCAATAATAGAAACTAACTGACAGAGGTTGGAAAGACAAGAAACAGTTTAGTACCAAAAGAAAGAGACTGAAAAGGGATTGGAAAAAAATTGGACAGCAAAGTTGAAGACTGAAACAGAAACTGGTTAATAGATGGCACAAAGACTGTAATGAGACAAAAAGACTGAACAGAAAGGAAGAAAATTGAAAAGTTGCTGTATAGGCAAGAAAGATCCTAAACATAGAAGAGGAAAGCTGTAAAGGGTCTGGTAATAGAACAAAGAGACAGATAAAAACTGGAAAGAAGGCAAGAAACTGAACTGTAACGAGGAAAACTAGATAAAAACTTGAAAGAAACTTGACAGAGAAGAAGAAGAGACTACTCATGAAAGAAAAAAACTGAACAGAGACAGGAAAGTGGAAAATACTCAGGAATCAGAGGAAGAGAGACTGTAAAGTCACGAAAGAAATTTAATATAGCAGTGCAAGGCTGGAAAGAGAATGGTAATAAAATAAAATGATTAAACTGGGAGGAGAAATACTAGAAAAGGACTGTCATATAAAATTACTGTCACTAAAGTATAATTGTTGTTCTTTATACACCAAATTATGTACAAGTTTGCTTTTGCAAGATATTGGATAAACATTAGTGACAAGAGCCATAAAAACACTTGTAAAAAAAGATTTGTCTTCATAATTTTTCAATCTTGGTGGCAGTTCTCATATTTTATATAAAATTAAATTAGATGGATGAAATAGATGTTATTATTGACTTATCTTACCTTTCTCATACATCCGATGAAATTAGTATGCACACGTGATCCGGGCAACGCTCTTGTATTTATACTTCCACCCACGTGTATTTTGCTGGACTTGAGCATTGTGAACTTTCCGGCAATGTGAGACCGGTCGGCGTAGACGCCATCTACAACTGCTGAAAGCTGCAAACGTGAAACATGGGAGCTTAATTAGAGCCTTACTGTCTGATGTATATGAAACTCAAATACGCCAAAGACAAACCGAAACTGCGATGCTCGTTTCAAACTAGTACACGTGCAAGGATTATTTATTAAAGATTCGAGTTAACTCGTATTGGACTAGTTTCAAATTAGCGAAACAAACAAGTGTAGATATTATTGAAGTTTTTTTTTTGTAAGACGATTACAATAATACCTAACAATAAGTGGAATTTGTTTTCTACTTGAAACGGTTGCATTTCATAAAGTTAATAACCGGGGGAATTTCGTTTTGCTTTATGCCACTTTAGTTAGTAAGTAGTCTGAGCCAGTTTCACTGTTTGAAGTCGTTCGCGGAGAACGCTGGAAGCGATATCTGCAGGTTTGCGAATGTTCAGCGACAATGTTTGAAGCTTGGCTAATTAATGCCGGAATTTGTTAACAAAGAGATTTCGGCAATAGTCCCGACGAAAGCAGCTTAGAGTCGAAACGAAGGCTGGCAGCCGTCTGGAGTTTACAAAGCGGCTTATTTCGGGTAATATGTCCAAATTTGAGGTTCGCGGTGCAGTCGACACGACGAAAGTTCGGTTGGAATAATTATGCGTAAACAGTTGGTAGCGCCATCAGTAACGGCGTTACCATTGGTTTTTGCTTCTGTAAGCTTCGCGGATTACCGTCGTATGTGGACGTTCTGGGTATACATTTAATACTGCACTTTGAAACCGATTTTGGAAACATTAATACCCCGTATAAATACGTTATACATCATAGTATCTAGTATAAAACCTGGATAATAAAAAAAGTTCTTACCCTGCAAAAACTAGTAATAGCTGAAATCTGGAAATTAAAAAAAATTAAATGAATACATATTACCTCAATTTGCGGTTATTAAATTAATGTAACTTTATGACCCGGTTTCCACCGGTTCCGTTTAACAAATTATTAATGGCCTAATTAAAACGTAAGAGTAGAGAAAAATGAGAGTGCAATTAAAGGTAGTTTGTCAAAATGATGCTTATCACGTTCGCAATTAATTCGGATTCAAACGAAACAAATTGCTTTTAGTATAAGTTTCCAAAGCAGGCACGACTACGCACGAATATGAAAATGAAGTCGTATATGAAATAAGGATTACGTAGGAAGTTAAATAATCTTCATTTCCCCTTTGCGTGTCTCGCAGACTAATTCAAGTTATCATTACATCGTAGCTCTATGAATTTGTAATCTAATTCAATTTAGATGTTTAATAAATGGAAAGATATATAAATGTTTGATGGCGTCATTTCTGAAAGGTGTTTGAAAATTAAAACAAAAAAATGTTTGAAAAAGTTGATACTCTGCCGTTTTATGTCGAAAATTGATGGATCGACAAAAAAGGTGTCGATCCGTCAAATTCGGTCGGGAAATAAAAAAGCCTTCCGCAACTGCGAAAGTGATAAATTGTGTATACGTTTTGTTCAAAACGCGAACAAGTGAACATTAACTTGCATCTCTTAACTAAGGGAATCTTGACGCTACTATTTAGCTAACTGTGAGGAAATGTGAAGTTCCTCCGGGCGGATGTTGGACGCAATTAATGCAAATTCGCTTACATACCTCCTGTATGCGCCTGTGGACGCTAACTTTGTGCCACTGGTTGTCGTCGAAGCGGACTTTGTTGGGCTTAATTTGCATTTCTTGCTTGCCGTTTGCAAGGCCCATTGTTAAGCTTAAGCAACCATCCTTGATGGCTACGTTTAAGTAGTCCATCTCGTCCCCTAGAACAAGAACATGCCAAATAACGTTTAACTTTTTGTTAACACAAAACTTTATTTATAATTTACCTGTATAAAATAGGAGACCGTTTGATTGCCTCGTTTTAAAGTACAACGTCACAGAATCTTGAGCGCTAACAATAGGCCCACCTCCGGTTTGATCGTAAGAAAGAAATTCAGAACCACGAAACACTGCTTCTGATGGCGCTTTATCTACAAAATTATAACTTATCAGTCGAATAAAAATTAGTTGTAATAAAAATCGAAATTCGATATTGTGGATGGTATTAAAAAGATATTAACCACATTACAGGGTTAATATTTCTTTTAGATACATTTTAACGAATAACACATCAATTGCGTTTAAATCGACCTCGACCAATAATTGCTTTCGATCCAATAACTAAAATGTCACCTCGTGGTCTGGAAAAACCGCTGTCAACCTTTTTCTTTTTTACGAAGCCCTTTTCAGCCTGGGATAGAATGTAAATGTTCGGCTATTATCTCTGCCCTTTCTAAACTCTTTTTTTTTTTTGGTGCTATCTCGTAAATGGATTTATTTTTACTTTTTTATTAACAATTTCATTATTTCTTGCATAAATTCGAACAGCTATCCACACAGTTGCGTTCTGTATTAGTTAGTTTTAGTTCAATAAAAATATATAACAACCTAGCGCTGAATAAAAACTAGAACTAGCACTAGAACTAACACTTGACCTAGAACTAGAGACATTCGGGTTTAGCCGTCTTAAGAGACGTGCGGCTAAACCCGAATGTTTCTAGTTCTACGTCAAGTGTTAGTTCTACTTTTAATTCAATAAAAATATACAATAATCTAGCACTGAAAAACAACAAAAACTAGAACTAACACTATCATTAGAACTAACACTAGCATTAGAACTAGAAACATTCGGGTTTAGCCGTCTTAAGAGACATGCGGCTAAACCCGAATGTTTCTAGTTTTACGTCAAGTGTTCGTTCTACTTTTAGTTCAATAAAAATACATAACAATCTAACAGTGAATAGCAACTAAAACTAGAACTAACACTACCATTAGATATAACACTTGACCTAGAACTAGAAACATTCGGATTTAGCCGCCTTGAGAGATGTGCGGCTAAACCCGAATGTCTCTAGTTCTTGGTTAAGTATTAGTTCTACTTTTAGTTTAATAAAAATATGCAATAATCTAGCACTGAAAAACAACAGAAACTAGAACTAACACTATCATCAGAACTAACACTAGCATTAGAACTAGAAACATTCGGGTTTAGCTGTCTTAAGAGACGTGCGGCTAAACCCGAATGTTTCTAGTTCTACGTCAAGTGTTAGTTCTACTTTTAATTAAATAAAAATATACAATAATCTAGCACTGAAAAACAACAAAAACTAGAACTAACACTATCATTAGAACTAACACTAGTATTAGAACTAGAAACATTCGGGTTTAGCCGTCTTAAGAGACATGCGGCTAAACCCGAATGTTTCTAGTTTTATGTCAAGTGGTCGTTCTACTTTTAGTTCAATAAAAATACATAACAATCTAACAGTGAATAGCAACTAAAACTAGAACTAACAGTACCATTAGATATAACACTTGACCTAGAACTAGAAACATTCGGATTTAGCCGCCTTGAGAGATGTGCGGCTAAACCCGAATGTCTCTAGTTCTTGGTTAAGTATTAGTTCTACTTTTAGTTTAATAAAAATATGCAATAATCTAGCACTGAAAAACAACAGAAACTAGAACTAACACTATCATCAGAACTAACACTAGCATTAGAACTAGAAACATTCGGGTTTAGCTGTCTTAAGAGACGTGCGGCTAAACCCGAATGTTTCTAGTTCTACGTCAAGTGTTAGTTCTACTTTTAATTAAATAAAAATATACAATAATCTAGCACTGAAAAACAACAAAAACTAGAACTAACACTATCATTAGAACTAACACTAGTATTAGAACTAGAAACATTCGGGTTTAGCCGTCTTAAGAGACATGCGGCTAAACCCGAATGTTTCTAGTTTTATGTCAAGTGGTCGTTCTACTTTTAGNGCTAAACCCGAATGTTCTACTTTTCGTTCTACTTTTAGTTCAATGAAAAATATACAAAAATCTAACGCTTAATAACAAAAAAATCGTTTATTACAAAAAGGGCCTAAGTCACATTTTGGTGATTTAGAGCTTTTAATATTTATTAACTAAATCGACCAAGCCTACTCGTTTGGTGTTAAAAAGAACTAAGTCCGAGCAACGCATGCTGTGTTTAAATACTCCATGAAATGCATTTAGTGTAAGAAGGGCCTAAGTCCATGGACTTAGTTCCTTTTACAAATTACCATATAGAGGCAGGTAGTGTCTATATGTGCACGAACCAACACGTGGTAAACCTAACCTAGATTTATAGACTAGTGAATCTTATAAAAATGTTAGACAGTAGCATAGATGAAAGTGAAAGTGGTGCAGAAACACAACATGAAACCTCCAAGAAAAGGCGTAGAGGAGTAAGGAATGATAATAATTATTCCCGAAACGCTATAAAGAAAGCCAAAGTAAAGGGAACAGAACATAAGAATCATGTAGGAAAGATAGTGCCTGCTAAAACAGTAGGAGAAGACTGCAGGTAAATCATAAACAGATACTATGAATTTAGTAAATTAAACGCAACTTTTCTATCCTTTAGGTGCCGTTTGAAATGCTTTGTTACTCTAACCGAAGACGAGAGACTGAATATTTTCTACAAATTTTATAGTTTTGGTACTAAAAACGAGCAGGATATTTATCTACAAGGATGCATCGAAGTAACCAATGTTGTAAGGCACAGAAAACGCAACGAAAATGGAAAAGAGCGGCAAAATTCATTTTGTCACTACGTTTTGAAAGGAATCACTAAAGTAAAAGTATGCCAGACGGCCTTTTTAAATTTACATGGTATTACTAACAAACGTTTAAAGAGGTTGAAGAATTTGTTGGTTAATAATATAATACCCCAGGATATGCGAGGAAAAACATTGAAATCAAATGCCATACCAGAAATAGATAATATCTTAATTCGAGAACATATAGGTTCCTTTCCCGTAAAGGAAAGTCACTATTCGGGAAAGGCATATCACTACCTAAACGCAAAATTAAATGTTAAAAAAATGTATGAGATGTTTAAGGAGAAGCATCCGAAATCGCTAATAAGATATAGCTACTACCTAAAAATATTCCACGAACATTTTCATTTTCATTTTGGACGGCCACAAATCGATACATGTTGCCAGTGTGAAGATTTATCTTTAAAAATTAAAAGTCCTTCGCTATGTGAAAATTCAAAGAGGGCTGCAGTTGCAGAAATGATAGTGCACAAGCGAAGGGCGAAAAAGTTTTACACTTCTTTGCAAAACACTACCGAAGAAACTAAAGAACGGAACGATATAGAAGCAATTGCCTTTGACTTTATGCAAAATTTGCATCTACCTGAAGTTCCAGTCCAAGATCTTTTTTATTTGACGCAATTGAGTGTGAATGTTTTTTGTATTCACAATTTAAATACTGGGAAAGCATATTTTTATTTATATCATGAGGGCATTGCCAATAATAAAAATAACAAATTTGTCGTCAAAGAAGTTTCTACTGCCGATATTTTAAACTGGAAAGATTGGTGGCCTTCTTATTATAAAAAAACATGCTTATCCAATGAATCCGTCAGATGTCCCAGAAATGAAAAGCAAAGTTTTTCAATTTCAAAAATGCATCACATAATACACGACAAAAAGTTATGCGGTCATATATTGGCATCCGAATTTATTAATAATAGCTTTTTACAGCATCATTTTAAACTAGCCATGCCAAATAAAACATGTAACTTAAAATTGCCTGTTATGAAAGCCTATGTTGAAGATAAGGTTCCCATTCTTGAAACGAAAGTAAAGCATTTGAAACTTGTAGTCAGATGGGTAACGGAAGAACACAAACTTTTTTTTGAAGACATCAAAAATTGGAAAACTAAGAAGGGAAAGAACAAAAATTCGGCTGATGCAAATTAAACTTTTATATTACTTGTAATTTTTTGAATTTCTTTAAATAAACTTAAAAAAAGATAGCTAAAATGCCATTTATTGTTAAAAGGACCTAAGTCCTGAACCTTTAATCTTGAATACAGTGACCCCAATCTTATCATTTTCTACTAAATTCTAAAGAATATAAGACTATTATCTAATAAAACAGTTCATATATAAAAACTTTGAAAAATCTGCTGCTGCTCAAAATAAAATAGTTTTTGTTAGTTTTCTCAAAACTCTAGCAATGTGACTTAGGCCCTTTTTGTAATAAACGATTCAATAACAACTAAAACTAGAACTAACACAACGTTTAACAAAAAAGTATAGGTAAAAAAACAAGGAGATATTTTTATCGAATTCAATTCTTTTTCATCTCTGAATCGATTGTTTTCTATCGATGTCACGTCGATTGTGTATTCAACTAGATTTATGGTGTTTGCGTGTAAATCTAGATTTTAAATCAGAAAAATGATAAATCAATGTTCAACATTATTTCAAAATGTCACGTAGTTAACTTAATGTACTTTATCTTATACCATGCTTGTTGTTTTTTTAAATATCCACATAAATAATTTATTTTTTATCTATGTTATAATTTTGTCATTAAGGTAGTTTCTTTTCGTGTCGTGAATGTTGTCATTTTCGTTTATGTGATCGCTACAGATATTAAACGGCTTTTATTCATGACGACTAATGGAAGGATATAATGGCAAAATCATTACGTTTTTGATCGCTTTTATCATTAGTAATAATGATTATATCGATAAGGAAATAGAATAAAATTGTATCAAATACTATGTATAAACATCAAACAAAAAATCAAAACTTTAAAATTTTCTTTGAAAACTTCTAGATTGTTCTAGGGTATCGATTGATCGTAAGTACCTGTTGAGTACCCGACGGACAAAAAGAAAATAGAAGCGAGATCGTAGACCCGGCATGGAAAGCATACATCTTAACCTAGTTTCGCGGAATACGCGTTGTTAAAGTGCGAAGGTTTTTCGAAGAACGATGGATTCGTACCTTTCTCGCAAAATTCTCCCTCGTAATCGGGATTTCTGCACTCACAGATGGGGCCGCTGTCGGTTGATATACAAATACCCCCGTGTTGACACGGATCTCGAATTTCACAGGCGTCGCTGCTGTTGCCACCCTTCAAGATCTAAAAACAAACCAAAAATTTCGTATGAGACAAAGAAAAATTTCCATTTCCAAGAATTGTTTCTATTTCGTTTTTTTTCCAACCATCCAAGCCGTTATTTCATTAAACTAGATTTTTATGGTTGCTGTTTAAGGAAACTTCTAATATTATTTTTTCCCATTGGCAAAATGGCAAGGAAGTTGAAAAGACCTTTAAAAACGGAACATGAAACTATTCTGTTATCTAAACGGACGCGGCGTGAGGATCCGGTTTAAATGGTTATTAAAGGGAATGTATATAGCTGCACCACGTTTTTACAGGATTTTCCGTCGTAACAAAATGAGGCGAACGCTGAACAATACAGTTGATACAATGCCAGTGTTCGTTTTAAAAGGAAACTAACGCAAAATTAATTAGCCTGCGTCGGCGGTGTGTGCTAATTGTTACATGGGAACGTTATCTCATAGTTTTCTAAAATATGACAGCTTATAAACTTTCATAATAAACTAAAAACATCATATTAGAGAGGTGCCTTAATAAAACTACGCTCATATCAATTTAAATAAACATTTTCAATAATGAAAAACAAGAAAATCAATACAATGGAATGTTTTAATTAGTAAATTAATACCAGTAATGCTAATGTGAGAAACGTATTGAATGCATATGAGTATAATGAATGGAAATATGCCAAATAGAATTTGGATTTGATTAAAATCATTCATTCGACTAGATCCACATACATATTAACGTGGAAGTCTATAATGAAGAAGAAAGTAGAAAAATCAATCGTTCGACTTGTGCTGAAAACGAAATTAAGCTTGGTATCATAATGAATATTTTAGTAGGATAATGATCCCAAGCATACTGCTCACATTATGAAGGAATGGATATTGTATAACATCCCTAAACAGTTACGCTCACCACCTCAGTCATCCGACCTTAACCCCATATAGCACGTATGGGAGTTTCTTGGCCCCTCTAAAAATAATTCACTTATTTGTCACTGTTAATGTGCATTTGGAGCGGATAAACTCAGTAATATAGAGTTTGCTGAACAGTGAATTTTTTCCTAAGTAAGTGGAGCAATTAAGGTTGCAATTTTCAAACAGAATGCAGCAGAAGAAATGATATCAGAAGCAGGAAAGGGATGCAGCGTATCCGCTAAATTACATCTGCAAAACGGCATGATAACGGTGGGTTTAGAAGATGAAATTTTATTCCAACCGCGTAAAAACCACGTAAATCGTCTTTCACACTTTGCGAGTTAATAATAGTAACTATAACTATGCTAATCTAATTATAAGCAAAACAAAAAATTGAAAGGAAATACTAAACCCTTCTTGTTCTGTCAATAAATATTAGTTTGAATTTCATGTTAAACGCTCAAACAGATTCGAGCAAAATCGATATCGTAAGATTATTTAATAGGTAATGTGTGCAAGAAAATGATGCTTCGAAAATGACAAGTCGATATTGGGGTATTGTTAACCTGTATTTGTGTCTAATATTAATGTTGTAAACGTCGAATTTTATTGATCAAATACGGTCGCCCGAGTTGATAGTAAGAACCTTGTGGTAGAGTCAAGCGGAATAGAGTGCTCTCTGACGGAACGTGTTTAACCAACCCACACATTTTAAACTTTAAAAGATATTCTCATGTCTTCGTATTCTGAAAATAAGCTTTAAACATTCATTTGGACTGCTTAAATCTTTGCTTTGATGTCGTTATAAATACAAAAACCAGCACGACATAAGCACGACACAAAGCAATTTATTATTCATTAACTTGTGAATAAAATTTTAGTTTATTGTTGGTGTCAGTAGTTAAAGTTGCAGCCGTGAACAAAATTATAAAATACGAGGTTGCCTCTTATTTCCGTTAAACAAGGAGATGAGATAAAAGCTGGATTGCCTCAAGGCAGTGTACTGAGTTCTATCTTGTATCTGCTATATAGTATATACTAGTGATACACCAGAGGAGGTCTACGATGGCTAGATTTGCAAATAATGCAGCACTGCTTGCAATGAAGAAAGATCAGGGGTTATCTATAGATAACTCACACACATCAGTATACTGAGAAACTATAACCAGCAATGTAATACTCGACTAGACCAAAAAAATGGCAGATACAGTTAAGCTAGCTGAAATCCATATTCACTCTGGATAAAAATGACATCATTGTCCCGTATGAGAAGGATGCCAAATATCGGGGCATGAAAGAGCATGCGAAATTAGATCTAAAATCAAATAAATCTCCAACCTTTCAATATCTATCAAACTACTGATTTAGAATCAGATTGTTAAGAACTTTACCTCCGCTACAACGCAGAGACTCTTCAATTGCTGGATGACCAAACACCACATCCGAAGATTGAAGAGAAGAAAAATATTTGTGATGTAGGTGTAGAGTATAAAATCAGAGCGCAGTGCGTGAGAAGAAAGATGTCAATAGAAAAAATCTATAAAATTTAAAATAACTCTAATTTTTCGATTCACCTAATTAATTTTACTTTTTAATAATATCTATTATGCGTCTTGTAAACTTTAAAATAGTATTGATTACCTCTTGTAGTTTTGGACTAATAAAACCGAGTATATATATGCAAGTCGAGCAGAGTGGCGCCACCGTTACCCTACATCCGAAGCATTCTATAACTTTCAAGCGTCTTAATGTACTCTAACGTGCTACTTCGATTATCGTCTACAGGATTCGGGAACGTTATTTATTGGTCTTGTAACGTCGACCTTCTGTAATAGGCACGGTAAGTGCTTTACATCGTCTCCTATTATTTCCTCGGATAAAGTCAATAAATATACACTGAGCAGGTGAGGTATAGTTTAACCCAAAGCACGCTCGGCGTGTTGCTCTCGGAATGCACTCTTGAACTGAAAATTATGTTTCGGCCTGGATGGGCGAGATACCGAAAATTAAATTCATAACTAAACCAGGGCGAAATTAAGCGAGGGTGGCCTCGTTTTTGGTCGACAACCTCGTTAGACAGACGTAATTTTGAAATAATTCACAAGAGAAATGACGACACGACGAGGAAATTTTAAATAATTGAGCGCCCAAATCACTTACACTTCGATACGGTTGATAGATTTAGGGCAATTAAAGACAAAGTATTTCATTGGAGTCGAGCGAATCGATATTACAGAAAATTCATCCGCTAATATTAGTACGTGGTGAGAATAACCGTTAAGGATGAAACAGGCTTTTCTGATTAAAGTAATAAGCAAGCAATATGTGCCACCCATCTGACAATAAGAGCACAGCTTGAATACTAATAAGCTTTAGATTTCGCGCTTACTACGCCAACGGTTATTAAAAAATATTCTAGCTTAATTTTAACGTATCTAGGTGATTTCTCCCATAAAACCTATAAATATAATCATTTTGATTAAATTTAATAATCTTTTTAATTTAAATATTCAAATTTAAATAAATGAAACTAATGATTTAAAACTTGATTGTTAGTGTATAAAGTTTTTAATCCAAAACGTGTCAATCACTTGTTGCGATTTCAGCGTAACTCGATGGAATTTCATAAAACTTGCAAAAGGAATTGAAACCGTTTGTATGTAAACGTCAATCGTCCGTATCAACAAATAAAGCTAAATTTTTGGATTTAATGTGCTTTTGTCTTGGCTACACGATACTTTAACTTCCATATATCGGTTTTAATGGACCAAACGTGTCATGCCAATAACGTTTTTTAATAAAAGTTTATTAAAGCATAAGAATAAAACAGTGTATCACAATAATAAATTATTGCAGTAAAACCTCGATGGAACTAAAGATGACAGAAACTAGTATTTGTGGGGAACAGAACAAAATATCTGTTATAAATGTTCCTCTTGTTCTTTGTTTCCCTGTTAATAATGATATAGCATAAATCCCAAAAATGTCAAAATAGAATGATTTTTCTTAGCAAAATCAATTATAACCTAAGTACTAAAACAGATGGAGACAAACGTTATGAGTAAAAAATATTCCTAATGCATCAAGAAATCATAACACATAATTATTTCATATTTATCTATTACCAGTTTTTAATGATATAGCATAAATTCCCAAAATGTCAAAATTGAATGATTTTTCATAATAAAATCAATTATAATGTAAGTACTAAAACTGATGGAGAAAGACATTATGGATAAAAAATATTTCTATGCATCAAAAAATCGCAATCTATAATTATTTCATATGTATCTATCACCAGTTTCTAGTGATATAGCATATATCACAAAATGTCAAAATTGGTCGTTTTTTCTTAATAAATTCAACTATAACGAAAGTACTAAAAGTAATGGAAGAAGTCGTTATGAATAAAAAATATTCCTAATGCATCAATAAATCATAATGCAGCATTATGTCATATTTATCTATTACCAGTTTATAGTCATATAGCATAAAGCACGAAATGGCAAAATTGGACGACCTTTCTTAACAAAATCAATTATAACCTAAGTACTAAAACTGATGGAGACAGACGTTATGAGTAGAAAATATACCTAATAAATCAAGAAATCATAACACATAATGATTTCATATTTATCTATTACCAGTTTTTAATGATATACATAGCTAGGTATAGCATAAATCGCAAAATGTCAAAATAGAATGATTTTTCTTAACAAAATCAATTATAACCTAAGTACTAAAACTGAAGAAGACAGACGTTATGAGTAAATAATATTCCTAATGCATCAATAAATCATAATCCAGCATTATTTCATAGTTATGTATCATCAGTTTCTAGTGATATAGCATAAATCATAAAATGTCAAAATTGGTTGTTTTTTCTTACTAAAATCAACTATAACGTAAGTTCTAAAACTGATGGAGAAAGACATTATGGATAAAAAATATTCCTAATGCATCAATAAATCATAATCCAGAATTATTTCATATTTATCTATCACCAGTTTCTAGTGATATAGCAGAAATCCTCTAAATGTCAAAATTGGACGATTTTTCATAATAAAATCAACTATAACGTAAGTACTGAAACTG